ATTTAAATGTTCTCTTTTTTTCCCCACTTTTTAACCTTTACAATTATATTTCTAGCAAGTGATACTGCTTCTTTTAAAAACTGTGGTAAAAGCACATAACCTGAATTTGTGTCATCTCAACCATTTTTAAGTGCACAGTTAACAGTGTATTCCCATTTTTTGCAACAGAGTTCTAGAATTTTTTTATCTTGTAAAACTGAGACTGTGTGCCCACTGAGTAACAGCTCACCATTTCCCCTTCCTTCCAGCCCTTGGCAGCCACAGGTTTACTTTCTGTTTCTATGAGTCTGAACTACTTTAGATACCCTCAGTTTTGGTGCTTTTTCTGGGGCTATGTCAGAGATATTCTTTTAGGAAGTACACAGTAAAGTATCTGAGTGTGATGGGACTTCATGCTGGCAATTTATTACCAAATGGTTCCAGAAGAAAACAGTTCTTTGTGCTGTTCTTACAACTTTTCTATGAGTTTGAGATAATTTGAAAATAAACTTAAAAAAAAAAAAAGAATATATTTAGTACATTCACCACTGAAGCCGTTAAGATCTGGAATTTACTTTGCAAGAAAATTTTTAGTTGTGACTCAGTTTCTTCAATACATACCAGACTATTCAGATTTTTCCTTTTCATCTTCTGTCAGTTTGGCAAGTTTGTACTATTTTAGGAATTTATCTCCTCTGAATTTTCAATTTTATTGGCAAAAGATTGTTTATGATGTCCTCTTATTACTTTTTAAAATGTCTAAGATGTCTTTTCCATCCACTAAATTGGTTATTTGTGCTTTCGCCTTTGTTTGGTCATTCTCAGCTGGGATTTATCATTTTAATTATATTAGTCTTTTCATGGAACCAACTTTTGGCTTTGTTGATTTTCTCCACAGTGTATTTATTTCATTCATTTCTATTTTTTCCTCTTACTCTCTTTGGTTTTAGCTTCTTGTTTGTTTTACAGCTTCTTGAGATGGATGTTTGGGTCATTGATTTTTAGGCTTTTTTAACTTTTATTGTGAATAATACTCCTGTGAATATCTTCATACAAGTTTTTATATCAGCATACATACTCATTTCTCTTGACTATATATCTCTTGGGTATATGTATCTTTGGGGCCATATGGTAATTGTATGTTTAATTTTTTGAAGAATTGCCTGTGTTCCAAAGCAACTACTCCATTTCACTTTCCCACCAGCAATGTAGGAGGGCTTCAGTTCCTCCACATCCTTGACTGACAAATAAAAATTGTGCATATTTAGTGTACATCATACTGTGGTTTTGTTTTTGCTTTATTTATTATTTTTGGCTGTGTCATGTGGGCTCTTAGTTCCTGACCTGGGATGGAACCTGAGCCCCCTGCAGTGGAAGCATAGAGTCCTAACCACTAGACCACCAGAGAAGTCCCAACATGATGTTTTAATACATGTATATATTGTGAAATGATTTCCACAATCAAGCTAATTAATTAACATCCATCATCTTACATAGTTTTGTATGTGTATGCTGAGAACACTTAAGATCTATTCCCTTAGAAAATTTCACATATACAGTACAGTTAACTATAGTCACCACGCTATACATTAGATCTCATGAATAGTTGAAACTCTGTGTTCTTTGACAAATATCTCACCATTCCCCTACCCCCTTTCAGCCTCTGGCAACCACATTCTCTGCCTTTGTGAGTGACTTTTTTAGATTGCACATAAGTGAGGTCATGCAGTATTTATGTTTCTGTGTCTGACTTCGCTTAGCATAACATCCTCCATGTTTATCCATGTTGTCAGAAATGGCAGGATTTGCTTTAAGGCTGAATAATGTTCCACTTGATATATATATATATATATATCTCACATTTTCTTTATCCATTCATTGATCTGCAGATAGTTGTTTTCTATATCTTGGCAATTGTGAATAATGCAGCAATGAACACAGGAGGACAGAACTCTGAGAAACTGATTTCATTTCCTTTTGATATATACTCAGTAGAATTAACTGGATAGTTTGGTAGCTCCCTTCTGAGTTTTTCATGGAGGAACCTCCATACTATTTTCCATAATGCCCCTACCAGTTAACATTCCCATCAACAATATACCAGAGTTCCCTTTTTCCACATCTTGGCCAGCACTTGTTATCGCTTGTCTTTTTGATAATAGTCATTCTAACTAGGTGTGAGGTGATGTCTCATCATAATTTTGTATTTCTGTTATGATTAGTGACATTGAGCACCTTTTCATATACCTTTTGGCCATTTGTATGTCTTTGGAGAAATGCCTATTCAATCTTTGTCCATTTTTTTAATCAGATTATTTGTTTCTTCTTTTTTTGCTATTGAGTTGTCCAAGTTCCTTATATGTTAATACTAATCCCTCATCAGATATAGTTTGCACTATTTTCTTTCATTCCATAGGCTGTCTTACAACACTCATTATTGTCTTTTTGTTTATAGCCATCCTAGTGGATGTGAAGTAGTATTTCATTGTGACTTTTATTTGCATTCCCTAGTGACTAATGATGTTGAGCATCTTTTCATGTGCCACTGGCTATTTGTATATCTTCTTTGGAGAAATGACTGTTGAAATCCTTTGTCCTTTTTTTGGTTGCACCATGGGGCTTGTGAGATGTTAGTTCCCTAACCAGGGACTGAACCCCAACCATGTGAGTGAAAACATCAAGTCCTGAACACAGGACCACCAGGGAATTCTCTTTGTCCATTTTTTAATTAGGTCTCTTTTTAAAATGTATACTACTTACAATTATTTTAAAGCCTGTGTCTAATAGCACCAATACCTGGATCTTCTGTGAATGTCTTTAAGCTGGTGTTTTTTCTCTTGATTGGTTATTTGCTCTTGATTTCTGATATGCTGGACAATTTTAGATTTGATGCCAAATATTATATATGAAAATTTGCAGAGATATAATTTGAAGTTTTGAGTGTGCTCACAAAAAGAATTTTTTCTCTCTGGAAGGCAGGTCAGGTAGAATCAGATCATCTTAATCAGAGATTGAAATGAATGTGGACTTCAGTCTTCATAAGGGATGGTCTGTTTTGTTTGCTGTTATTTCTAGGGCTTCAGGGATCCTAACTAAAAACTGCATTTTTTTTTTTTCTTCTAAAACCTTTCCTCTTTGACAGGTCTGAATTCTGTTTTTGCCTCCCTTGAGATTGACAGAACTTCTGCTGAACTTCTCAGCCATACAGCTTTCTCATCTGCATAGGCCTCAGGAGCAAAAGCAGCATCGAAATGTCAGACTTACCTCTCTGCTTCTCTTGCCTCTAGGAGGCTGGACTTGGAAATCCTTGGTGCCTTGATAGCTCTTCGTTGACTTCAGAAACTTTCCTTTGAGAACATGTACCTTATCTGCCTTTTCTAGCTTTTCTTTACAGAAGGTTGACCTGAAACCAGCTAACCCACCGTCACTGGAATTGGAAAGTCTCAAACACATTTTCTTTTTTGTATTTTGTCCAGGTTTATGTAGTCCTTCTCAGTGCAAGAGCTGTCATAACTACTAAATCCACCCTTGCTAGAAGAACACGAATGCATTTTACCTTAAAATGTTTACATAAGGGTTTATTACTAATGCTTTGACATAGGGCCAGTCCTTTTCTTGTAGTAAGTGTTCACTGATTCAGGTTCACCTGGTCTTACATAAACCGTATCCATAACGAATACTTTAGTTTCCATTTCCCAAAAGTGGAGACATAATTTAAAATCAGTTGTGAAGCAGTCTGATGTTTTTCACTATTTCCCACCCTAATTGTAAGTATTTCTCCCATGCTTAATTCAACAACTCTTATTTTAGCAAATCTTTTTTATCTAGTTTTTCCAAAGTGTTCAATATGGATTTCATAGAAACCACAGTGGTCATTCTTTTTGCATATATTTCATTGATTTTAATTAAATTACATTTTAATGAAATGTTTTGTGTTTAAAGTTTAAATGTTTAATAAATTACATGTTTAGTTAAATTACATGATTACCATACAAAGTACAACTGACATATCTAGGTTTAAGAGCAAACACAGTGTCTAACCCTTCATAAGCATAGAACTCAGCTAGTGGGAGCAGATTAACTTACTAGCAGCAAGGGTTTGGTGAACCATAGGCATCAGTTAGAATGTTTTATAGAGGGAATGGAAAGTACCAGTTAGTATGCTGAGTGAGTTAAGTGAATGTTGTGTAAGAGGCCTTGAAGAAGTAAGGCTGGGATAGCAACAACATACAGGAGAACTGGAGGAGGAGCCTGGAGGATATAAAGTTCTTAAAACAGTGCACTTGATATATAATAAGCACTTAATAAGGTTATGCTACCAATGTTATCATGATTATCTTCATCATCATTGTCTGGTATGTCTGCAAAAAATGAGGAGCTCAGGTCTGACACCAGCCCACCTAACCCAGCCACTATTCCAAGCTGAAGCTCTTCTGAAGAGAGCACTTGTATGATACATTATGGTACATCCACACAATAGGCTATTCAACAATAAAATGGGATGAACTATAGATTCACAGAGCAGGCTGGATGAAACTCAGGGGCATTACACCGAGTGAAATGAAAGAAGCCAGTCTCAAAGGGCTGCATACCACAAGTCATTGATATGACAGTCCATCAAAGGCAAAACTTGTATGGTGACGAAGAACTCATCCCTGGTTGCCAGGGGTGAGGAGTCAGGGGAGGATGTGACTACAATTAGGAGAGCAGGAGGGATTTGGGGGGGAAGTGACACAACTGTTCTGCATCCTCATTTTGGTGGTGGTGGTTCAAATCTCTACATGCGTTAAAATTCATAAAGCTGTATACCAGAAACAACCAATTTATGTTCATTAAAAGGTATAAAGTGAGAGCCTTGAGAAACAGTACTGTGGACAGCATCCCAGTGTCTAGGCATCTAAGCTGGCCTGGCCCCAAGTGTGGCCTGGATGGCTCTTGTGTCCAAGCAGAGGATGTGCACCCAAGCTTTGTCTGCTTCATGGGCCACTGTCACTCACTGACTTTTTTCTTCCTTGTGTTAGATTGGAGCTGGAGGGAGCATCACGGGGCTGAAGTTTAACCCTCTCAATACCAACCAGTTTTTCACCTCCTCAATGGAGGGAACAACTAGGCTGCAAGACTTTAAAGGCAACACTCTCCGAGTTTTTGCCAGCTCAGACACCTGCAAGTGAGTAGTTTCAACTCAAGAGGGGAAACGGCTTCTAGGCTCTCAGTGTAGTTGTGGCGAGAGTACCTGGACCCCGTTTATTTTCCTCAAACCTGGCACGGGGAAGAAAGGGGTTAGCTCCTTTTCATCCTTCCCTCTCTTTAGCTGCTATTCCTCTGGGCCAGGTGGGTTCCTGTGTCAGGGACAGGTTCTAGAACCTCAGCTTTTCTCAGCAAGGGAACGGTCTCAGCTCTTATCAGTCCTTCCTGTATCTGACTAGACCTGGATTCTCACTGGACAAGTCGACATACATTAGTCTAGAAAACTACTTAAAGCCTGGAGCAGGAACTAAGAACTTTCAAGAGTCCATTCCCTGCTTTCACTGGGGTGTAACAACCTAGCCAGCTCCTTGATGGAAGCCTAAATGGATAGAATCATGTCCACAAAGCACTTTGGACTCCCCAAGAGCAAGTGGCTAGAGAAATTACAAAATGCTTGTCACTTTGGTTTCCAGACAGAGATCTGACTGCTCCCCAAGTGTGTGAGGTTGTGGGGTTCTGCCTAGCACTGGGCTGCCAGGCGGGGGTAAGAAATACAGGAGCAACAGGACAGGTGACAGATGGGCTTACTCTTCCACAAGGAGCCCTCCTCCCGAAAGATGTTTACAAGGGATGCAAAAAGCAGGGTAGCAGAGATTTGAGGGGAAAATGTGAATCTGGGCTCTCCTGATTGGGTATGAGGATCCCTGGAGCTCCCCCCACCCCTCCCGACCCCAGTCTCTTCATAGCAAGTGGTCTGAGCAACAGAAAGAGCAAGTAGTTCCAAGCTGGAAGTGCTCAGAGCGGGCAGGAGTTCCTTTCCAGCCAGCAGTGAGGAACAGTTGGGCAGCCCCTGTTTAGAGTGTCATCTCCTTTGGCCCAGAGGGTGGAGAATGAAGAGAGAAAACAATAGCTGAGTCTTCCTCAGGGCTTGAGGGGCAAGCCCCGACTTGAGGACTTGCCTTACGGCTCTGGGTTTGGCTGCTTCGGGGACTCTTACCACGTGAGGATCCTGAGCCTAGAAGTAACTGGACAAGTTTCTGAGCCCCATCACCCCCATAACCCTTTGTCGGAATGGCGGACAAGTGAGTGCTCCTCACTGGGAGTCCATGACAAGATATTCATTCACTCAACGGATATTTATTGACTGTCTACTGTGCGTGAAACATGAGCTGCAGCAGTGAATAAATGCAACTTGCCTCTGTCCCTAAGAGTCTTACAGCACAATCTCTCCCTCCAGCGTCTGGTTTTGCAGCCTGGATATATCTGTCAAAAGCCGAGTGGTGGTCACGGGAGACAATGTGGGGCACGTGATCCTGCTGAACATGGACGGCAGGGAGGTGCGTTCTCGAGAGCCCAGGCCTTCCCCTTCCCTTCCTGACCCCCAGCCTCGGTTCTGCGCCCCAGCCTGAACCGAGCTCTTGTCCGCAGCTTTGGAATCTGAGAATGCACAAAAAGAAGGTGACCCATGTGGCCCTGAACCCGTGCTGTGACTGGCTCCTGGCCACAGCCTCCGTAGATCAAACGGTGAAAATCTGGGACCTGCGCCAGGTCAGAGGGAAATCCAGTTTCCTCCACTCGCTGCCGCACAGGCATCCTGTCAACGCAGGTGTGATATACCAGACCTCAGCCTTCCTGCAGACCCCGCCGACCCGCCGCTTGAGGGCCTCTCCCGCAAAGCGTAGAAGCCACTCAGCCAGACCTTAACTCCGCACAGCACTGGCCAGGCAGAGGTCCTGAGCCCTCCTGTCTCTAGCTGCCCCCTCAGCTGCTGAGCCTCCTGGGTGTTTCATGGCCCAGATCACGGCCCTGCCACCCGTCTCTAGAAAGAAGTGGGAGGGAGGTGCCCCTGCAGGAGGCCTGTGAGGGCCAGGATAGGGCCCACCTGGGGTCCCTTGAGCTCAGGGGCTTTTCGCTTTGCCAGCTCATTTCAGTCCCGATGGAGCCCAGCTCCTGACCACTGACCAGAAGAGTGAGATCCGGGTTTACTCTGCTTGCCGGTGGGACTGCCCGCCAAGCCTGATCCCACATCCTCACCGCCACTTCCAGCACCTGACACCCATCAAGGTAAGTGATGGTGGGGAGGCGGCGGTGGCCAGGGAAACCTGCAGTCCCAGCCCTCTTCTCGCCCTGGCTCGCTCTGCACCTTTGCTGCAGCTCCGTGAGCCCGTTTTGCTGAGTTTTCTTCATGCTCTTTGATAAGCTGATTTTCCTGAGTTCTTTCCACGCAGCCCAGATCTCCTCTCTGTGAGGCACTTTCTGAGATCCTGATCCTCTGTTCTGCCCTGTTTCGGTTACCTGTGTATGCAGCTGACCCACAAACTAACTTGGCTTAGTTAGCCAAGCCATTTGTGGCTGCTCTAGCCTTAGCCCCCAAGGCTCCCAGTCTTCAAGTCCTCCATGCCCACCAGCCCCCCGCCCCAAGCAGTCTGAGCTCTGCTGGTCCTCCTGCTGTCTAGATTATATTCTTTTCTAGAACCGCAGCCCCTCTTCGGACCTCCAGAGTTCATACCTGCACTTCTGTAGTCAGCAGAGTTCAGGCAGGCAGACCCCATTCCTGCGCCCCCCAGGTTAGACTCCTTCAGCAAGTAACTCAAATTTGGGATCCCAGTTTACTCATCTATAAAAAGGGAATAATAGTATCTAACTGACAGAGTTGTTGTGAGAATGAACTCATGTACTTAAAGCATGTGCCAACATGCTTGACGCCTAGTAAGTACTCAGCAAACAATAATGACTTGGTATTAGAATGGACCCCACGGACCTCAACCCTACAGTAGGAAATGGCAGCCCACTCCAGTATTCTTGCCTGGAGAATCCCATGGACAGAGGAGCCTGGTGGACTACAGGGTCACATAGGGTCACAAAAAGTTGGACACGACTTAGCAACTTAGCATAGCATAACGTACCTCAAATCAAATCCAAGCTCTCTGTAATAGCAGCCCTTCAGCAGTTGGTGTTCCCATTGATCCTTTCTTCCTTATCTCCCTCTTGGTATCAATCAGTCAGCCCAGCAGTGTCCCAGGTGTGACTTGTGACTTATCTCCAAGCCGTTGCCTGCAGCTCTTCTTTCTTCCTGCTAACCCTTCAGAACTTCCCTGAAAAGCTTTCTTGGGAAAATCCCATCCAGTTCTGTCATCCTAGTAACTGCTGGGTTTGTTTCAAGTGGGGTGATCTGGGGAACAGAGGGGTCCTCCCCCTTTTCAGCCACTCGCCATTTTCTACTCAACTCCCTGACAGGGAGACCCATGGGATGAGCTCAGAACAGAGGTCCTATTTGCAATGCAGATCCCTGGGTTGGGAAGACCCCCTGGAAAAGGGAACAGCAACCCACTCCAGTATTCTTGCCTGGAGCGTCCCATGGACAGAGGAGCCTGGTGGGCTACAGTCCATGGAGCTGCAAAGAGTCGACACAACTGAGGGACTATCCTATCACTTTCACTCGGGTCACGCTGATGTTAAAATACTTATCAGCTGGTACAATGTCAGGAAATGCAAAGAGAGAAAGCCTGAATGTGTCCTAAGGATCACAGGGAGGCCTGCTGGGGATTTTACATTTGCGATGGTAGATGTACATGCACTTCCAAACCATTCTTGTTGTTTCATGTAGGTCTTACCTCCGTTGTTAAATTGCTGGCAGTTGTATGAACCATTGTTGTCGCTGGCAAAGATACTTCTTATGTCCCTCTCAATGCTGTTCTGAGTTTACTCCTGTGACCTGCCTCTCCATCTTCTAGGCAAGCTGGCATCCTCGGTACAACCTCATTGTCGTGGGCCGATACCCAGATCCTAATTTCAAAAGTTGTTCCCCCCATGAATTAAGGACGATCGATATGTTTGATGGAAGCTCAGGAAAGATCATGTATCAGCTGTATGACCCAGAATCTTCTGGTATCATGTCGGTGAGGCCTGGGCCCTCAAACAATAAATTGGGAGGAAGCAGGGATTCAACCTCATGGATCAAAAATGACCAGTTACTCCTCACATGCCCTTCTTCTGGTGCCTCCACTCCCTCCTCATGCTTATCCCCTTGTCTCTGCAGCTCAATGAATTCAATCCCATGGGGGACACGCTGGCCTCCGTGATGGGTGAGTGTACATTAGGACAGTCAAGCCCACCCTACTCCCCAAGGTTCAGTGCGGGCTCACCCCAGCTCAGCGCTGCTCCATCCACCCCCAGGATAGAGTCAGTGAGGATGACAACCAGGAGACCACGGTCTCTGGACCTAGAGCCATCCTTCTTGCTGAGTCTTGGCCATAGCAATGCCTGGCTTCTGCCCAGTTGCCTGGTGTCTCCTGACCAAGTCCTAGGTTCCCCACGCCAGCTCCAAGTTCTCAGAAGGCTGGTGATGGAAGGTGCCTCTGGTCTCACTCCTCCTAGGTTATCACATTCTCGTTTGGAGCCCGGAGGATGCTGGGACTCAGAAATGAGAGACATTAATGAAGCGGGGGCCAAGCAGGGGCTTGGAGCCCCACGAGAAGAAGTTCTTTGAGAAGAGGCAGCTTCGTATTAAAGGGCCGAGGTATCGGAGTCTTCGAGTTGGAGCTGGGGTGCTGGGACCGCGACTCGGGGACTGGACACGGGCGTGGACTGAGACCAGAAACTCCAGAGTTGGCAATCTCGCCGCCCCAAGGGTCTCTGCTGTATCTAGCCTGGAGCCGAGCTTCTCTTCTTTCTCCTCTCTGACGTGCAGTGGCAGAGGGTCAGGCAGTGGTTTTCGATTTGTGCTCACTATTCACATGGCCAATAAAACCATACCCAACTGAGCTTCTGAGTGGGTCTTCTAGCTCTGATCTGGTCAAAGGGCTCCTCAGCTCCCCAGAATGAAGAAAAGGCATAGAATCAGCACTGGGAGTCCCAAACCTTCATTCTCTGGAAGCTGTCTCAGTCCTATTCTGGGCCACAGTCTAGAGCTGTTCAGCTCACAACCTAGGGATCCCACTCCCACTAAGGGTGGGGACAGTGGTTTCAGGATTCTGTACCACAACTCACCGTCCCCTCTCCGCCACCCCTGACTCCCTCCCAAGCACAAACCTCCTTCCAACCGGCTCAAGGTGAGGGGTGACAAAGATGCTGAAGGCATTACGTCTTACTTGAGTTAACGGTGGCTTCAGCTGGACAAACGTCACTGGCTGGCTCTTGGGTGACCTGGTTCCCTGGTAGCCAGTGTTTGTACCCCCAGTACTGGGCCTTTCTTCCCACTAAAATAAGCACTGAGAGGTGAGAGGCAAGACCGTGTCCTCAGGGCCATCTGCCAGAGACTCTGGGTTGGAAGAGAGAGCAGGGTTTGATGGAGAGGCCAAGCAGATCAAGCACCGTCTCCTTCAGTCTTTTTCTCCTAGGTCCTGAGTGAAACTGGAGCACTTGTCTACATTTCATGTCCTCAGAAGGGAGCACGGAGGAGGCACATTCTGTTTGGAGGAAGCCAGTGTCCAACACAGTACTTGGTTAATGTCAGGCACGTGGATGCTGGGTGACAGGTGCCTCGGGCCAAGCTGAGCCTCACTTGTTCATCTAGGTGTGGGTGATCAGAGGGAGGCCCAACCCAGGGTCTCCTGTCCATGGGCTGGGGAGCAGCAGCAGTCAGGAGCAAGGGCCCAGCCCACCTCCCCTAGGAGGCAGAGGGAAGGGGGCTGAGTGGTTGTCAGGCGTGGTCCTCCCCGTCTGGAACGTGGCGGTAGCCAGGAGGCTGGGCCTGCACCCGGAAGAGGACGGTGAGGAGCAGCACTATGAGGAGGAAGAGGATGGAACCGCAGACAGCCAAGGCCACGATCACCTCTGAGCGCGCACCGGGGGAGGAGAGAAAGGTCGTGTCAGTGTTCGTTCAACACATGTTTGGGTGCCTGCCACATGCCAGGTGCCGTTCCTACAGTGGGGAGGTCACAGGTGCCCAAGACACAGTCTCCCTTGTAGCTTTCCCCTTCTAGGAGAGGAGACACCATGACAGGCAAATGACAGAAAGGACAGGTTAGCGGCAGACGCCATCAAGAGAGCCAAAGCAAGGCAGGTCACAGGGAAGGTGTCACCGAGAAAGTGACTCCAAGGAGTTGTTCAGTGAGACGTACGAAAGATCTGAGAGAAGAGGGTCCTCAGGCCAACGGTACACTGGGTGGGGGGGGGGGGAGGTGGGTGGATAGGAAGCAAATGCAGAAGGGAATTAGCTCGACATAGTCTAGGAAAGAAACTCAGTATCACCAGAGCAGACTGAGCAAGTAGGAGACCAGGGTGGAGGCCCAGACCGAGCAGGGCCTGGAAGGCCACGGTAAAGAATGTGGATTTTATTCCAAATGACGGGAAGCCACTGGACACTTCTGAGAAGGTTCACAGTGATGTGAACCGATTCATGTTTTTAAAAAATTTAACTGTGCTGTGCTGATAGGCTGGTAGGGCCAAGAACAAAATCAGAAAGAACGTTAGGAAGCTTTTCAGTACTTCAGGCAAGAGGTGATGGTAGACCGAGCTACGGAGCAAGAGCACGGATTTTAAAGACCGGACTGGTGGGGTATGCTGGTGGTTTGGAGGTGGGGGATCTGAGGAAGAGGGCACTCGGAATGGCACCTTGGGATATGCTGTGCACCCAGGTGGCTGAGGCAGCATTTACTAAGGTGGGGAGGCCTGCAGTGGTAACATTTGACTTTAGACCTCCACTGTGAGATGGCTTAGTTGACACCCACGTAGAGACCTCAAGTCGGCAGCTGGATATGTGAACCTGCGGCTCAGAGAAGAAGCAGTCACGAGTCATAAAAAGAACTTAGCATGGAAATGGTAACATGAAGCCATAAGGCTGGGTAAGCTCACTGGAGTAGTGGGCATCAATGGGGAAAGAGCCAGGCTGATGAGCCCGGGGCCATCCACTGGTTAGTGGGGAGGAGAAGCCAGTAAAGCAAGCTGCTGTGGGGAGGGGGAAGGAAAACCAGAGAAACCAAGAAAGTGGTCAAAGGAGTGACCGAGTCAGTAATGCAGCTGACAGGTGAGAGGAGCTGACTTAAGAACTGGCCAACTGGCTTTGGGGCGAGAGGAGGCCACTGGTTCTCAACAGTGACTTCCGTGGAGTGGCAGGTGACGGAAGACTGTCCAGTGTGCGTCTGAGAAGGAGCGGCAAGGAGGTGACACCCGAGTCTAGGCAACTCTTTGAAGGATCCCATCCGAAAGGCGGGGGACGGGAGTGGCAGCCGGAGGAGGAGGCGGGCCAAAGGAGTCTATTAGGCTCTGCGACGGGACTGATCCGGCAGTCACCGAGCACCGGGGCCCACTTGGTGAGAAGAAACGAACCTAGGGCGTACGTGGAAAGACAGGCCCCCAGCGGGGGCTCATGCCAGCGAGAAGGCCGGAACACCCCGTGGTGGGAGGATGAGACGGTTCTCTCCCTCCCAGCTGCGTGACTTTTCTCAGCTGTGAGAAAGGTGTCGCCTGATGGGGAGGAGTACGTCTCAGGGTGGGAAGGGGACTGTCTGGGAACCTGCACCAGGACTGGAAAGTGCGTCAGCCTCTGGAGACCTCGAGGTATGAACCGGAAGCCGTTCTGGGCCTCGGCCGCGCGGAGGCAGACGGCAGCTCACCTGTGTCTGCGGACCCGCCCGCCAGCTGGCACTCCTGCAGCCAATCCTTGGGCACGACGGGCTCCGTGAGGCGGAGGAAGTCCTGCAGCGGGCAGCGGTGAGGGCAGCCGGGCAGGGTCAGGGGCCAGGGGGCCCGGTTACTCTCATTCCGGAAGTACATCTCCACCGAGAAATTCCTGCGGGCGGGTAGGAGACACGACGGGAGTGGCTCCCCAGGCCAACAGCGTACCCTCAGGCTGCCCACAGTCCCCACCTTCCGCTGGAGCGCCCCTCCCGAGGGCAGACCGCGAGCTCCACTCACCCACTGTCCTCCTGATACAGCTCAAACATGTGGCAGGACGCGTAGGGGGCCTGCTCACCGTTGTAGACGCCCAGCGCCATCTGCAGAGCCAGCAGGGTGGTGTCGTGCTGTAAGGGAGGAGGGCTTCCCATTAGCACCGCGCCCCCTCGCCAACCCCAGATAGCCAAGAGAGGAGAAACCCAGCTTCCGTGTGCCGTGAGCCCCCTGGGGACGGTGGGAGCTCACCGCAGAGTAGACCAGCAGCTTCGGGAGCTGGGAGGCGGTTGTCATCAGCGTCAGGTTCTTCCGTATCTGAGCCAGCAGGACGCCTGAGGGAGACAGTCCCCCGTGTCAGCGGCAGCGGCCTTCACCACCTTCCGACCAGACCTACCTGAGGGCCTCTCACCCTCTGCCCGCCCTGGGTCTGACCACCAGCAGAGAGGGCGCGTCAGAGCAATCCCACAAACTCAGGGAGCAGCACCCCCTGCTCTCTTAAGAACTTGCAGATTTACAGAAGGAAGCAAGATAAAACAAGATATCTCTATTTCAACACAGGTGCAGAGACCTGCCCAGTTATTTAGAAAGGAGCTATGAGGCCCTGCCTGTGTTTGAAGAATTACTCCAGTTGGGAACAAATGTACACCTAAGACTGCTTCAAGGAACACAAGATGGCGGCACCAGGCCAGGGGAACTCTGTCAGGGGCAGACTCGGAAAACTTCTGAGACGTTGGAAAGGTCTGACAGGTGGCACTCCCTTGAGTAATCAGATCAGCATGTGGCCTGTGTATTACTCTTGGCCTTCTTTCAGAATGGCCCCAGGTGGTCCTTTGGGGGAGGTAGAGAGTTATTTGAGGGGATGGAGGGTTTCCTGATATGGGTGAAACTTAAAAAAAAATGAATGGCAGAAGAGATACACACCGAAAAAAAAAAAGATACACACCAGCCTAACTGTGGTCACTCATATAAGTGACAAATGTGCTTAGCATCTGGGGGACTGGGGAGGCTTTGATGACTGACGGGATAACTAGGGTTAGCTGGTCCTCAAAGAGCAGAGAACTCTTTAGGTAGCCAAGTAAGTGTGTGAGAAGCTCCCCCCTGCAGAAGGTTTCTAAAGCTGTCGGGTTCTTTCAGGGGAGTGACACGCTGGTCTTGTCACTCACCCCCCTGCAGCCGGGCCTTCTCTGCCTGCTTGTAGATCCCGAAGAGGAAGCGGAAGCTGAAGTCCTTCAGCCGGCTCAGATGCTGCATGGTTTGGGGCGAGGCCCAGGGCGGCAGGGGCAGCCCGTGTGTCTGCTGTGTGCGGCAGCGGGCAGGTTAGCTCCCCAGCCCCGGCCAGAGCCTCTCCCGGGAGCAGCTCTCTTCCCCGGTGGTATGGTGCCTGTGTGTGTGTGAGGGGAGGCAAAGGAGAGGCAGAGGGTCTGGAATCGGGAGGCGTGGTGGAGGGTGTCGAGGAGGAGGAGGAGGAGGCAGGGAACAGGAAAGGAGGCTCGGGCCCCCAAAGGATGACTCAGCAGAATGGAGTCGGATACCACGAGAGCTCTGAGTGGGGAGAAGCAGGAACTGCTGACAATCAACAAACTATTTCCCACTCTGAGGTTTTCTCACCCGTGAGGGAAATTCTTCTGTTTCACAAGAGGTGGCTTGCCTGGACCTCCCCAGCAGGCATGGCGTCCAGTGTTTTACTTGGCCTGGGCACCTAGGCCTGCTGAGGTGTGAGAGAAGACCTGAGCCAGCTTACCTCGCAGAAGAGCGTGTCGTAGACATTCCAGACGGTCTCCAGCGTCAGGTCCGTAAGCCCTGTCTCATTGGCCACCATATCTAGGAATTGCTATGAAACACGGATCAGGGGGTTAGTCCTGCCCGGGGCTGAAGGTTGGGGTGGTGCCCTCCACCTCAGCCACACTCACTGCATTCTGAACACTCTCTTTCTGATACTCGGGTGTCCGCCGGGTCTCGTTCTGCAGCTGTTCAAAGCGGGGGCACGGGCCCAACGGGAACTTCAGCAGCTGCAGGCCGGGGCGGGTAAGCAGAGGCAGAGAAGGAGTCGGGGATCAGCAGGCCAATGGCCAGAGTCGTCCCTGCCATTGCCTCGAGGGAAGGGTGGGCCAGGCTTACCCTGTCCTCGGCGATGGGCACAGTGTGGACGGGGATAGGCTGCCAAGAGATGTTTGGGTTAAAGCGCTGCATCTCGTCGGGCGGGAAGAGTCCAGCCAGGTTGGCCTCCGCACTCATGAGCGTCCGGTCAAAGTCTGTGCTTCGCACATAAACCTGCAGAGGTGGCAACACCAGTCCCACCTGTGGAAGTCGGGGGTGCAGGCAGCTCTGGCCTTGCAGAGGGGCCCCAGTTTTTGCTGTTCACCCAGCAAACTGTAAATTCACCAGGCGTCTGGCCCTCTCCCCTTCTCTGGCCTTCCCCACCCCTCTTCCAGCCAAGACTGGTGGGGTTGCTGTCCCCTGAATCTGCAAAGAATTCCTGCGGGAACGGCTCTAGGTCAAATGCCCCTCCCAGTCCGAAGTGCTTACTCAACAAGGTCCTCGGGTCTGCCTGCCAGCCTGCCTGGTTTATTACAACACCTGTCTCCCTTATCCAGGCCCGGGTCCTTGGGGGCAAAAACTGTCTTTCACACACACAATGCCCGTACCCCCCCCTCCCCGCCCCTTAATAACTGGTTTAGAGAGCAGGAGAGGAAATAAGATGAGAAACAGAGATAACTGCTTGTGAAAAGGAGGAAGACGTGAGAAAGGGCAGAGCAGGATAGGGCTGGCCCTCAAGGAAACAGTAACAACACGAGAGACAAAGATTGGATCTGGCTGATGCACTGTTACACGCAGTGCCAGCACAGTGCCTGGCCTGTAAACAGTACTTGGATGGAAAGCCTGAGTTACTTCCCGGAGTCAGAAACTACTCTGCGAGGCCCTTAAGTCCGGGCTTAGATGCTTGAACAGTTTTGCTTCTTCCCAAGCCAAGCAGGGGCAACTCAGCCTCTACAGTTTTGCTCCAGACAGCCCGCGGACGTCGTGTCCTGCAGCTGTAACCAGAGATGCATGGAGGGGAGGCCACAGCGCCCGGCCACCGGCAGTCTCCCTGAGGGCAGAGCGTGAGAACAGCCGACCCCCTCTCGCTCCCGAGCTCGCAGCCTTACCTCTTGCCGATGGTAAGAGGCACTGAGGAAGCCACGGTAGCGCTGTCGCAGAGCCTGGCCTAGTTCCCAGTGCTGGAGCACCCCCTCCTGTGGGCAAACCCACGGGTTAAGATGCCCAGGCGGAGGGAGGGGATGGCTCGGGAGAACAATAGGGCTTAGCTGTGGCTGCTTTCTACCTTGTGGTTGGAAGTAGGAGTGGGTTAATCTGATCCCACAAGTCGTTTATTAAGGGGTTGATTGTGCATGCATTGTGTGTGCCCATTTTAATCTGGGCACGGATGAAAGTAAGCTGAAGAAATGTGGCCAAAGTCAGCACCCACATGGGGAAAAGCAGTTTGGTGAGTTCTGCAGCCTGCTCTAGAGGTCACCAGTTCTACAGCTCATCCTGAGAGAGAGCTGGCTCCTGACCCACCTTGGTTAGCTGACCAAAGCCTTGGGGCCATTTGTCTTCCTGATGGGGGTCCTTGGGATATGTCTTCACTGGAGAGCGGTCTCCGTGTCGGTACAGCTGAGGAAAGAAAGTGGTTAGCCTAGAGGTCGGAGGGTCCCCTTGGTGTGGACACGGAGCCAACCTATGCCCCATGTTGACAGCCTCAACTCTACCCACTGCAAAAGACCCCAACTCAGAAGTCAGTAACTTCTTGCAGCCTCCAGAGACTTTTAACTTAGCTAAGCAATGCCGCTGGAGGCCTTGGGAGAACCGAAAGTACAGGTGGGAAAGGGAAAGAAATGAAAGTAATGCAGGTGGTGGGGGAAACTGGAAAAAAAAAATCACCAAAGGTTGCTTTAGAAGTGAATCTCTTATTATTCATTGAACTACATCCAGTCCCAAGGCAGACTCAGCAATCTGTCCTCTAACACAGAACTCCGTTCACCCTGCCCCCCCACCCTAAATACCCGATGGCTTCACAAAAACTGCGAACCCTGGCCCCCAACCCCGCAGGCCAGTCGTCTACCCCCTCCTCCAGACCCCGGACCCCAGACCGCAGCAAAGCCCCGCCCCTCCCTCCACCAGCAGGCCAGTGCCCTCCTAGCACTGGCCAGCCCTTGGCGACCCCATCTCTCATTACCAAGGTAACGAAACGCAGAGTCCGGGCCTGGGTGGGTGGCATCACCATTAGGTTCACACAAAGAATCAGCTGGAGAAGAACCGCCCGGCTCCAGCCAAACCGCCTGCCCGCCATCACCGCTGTAGTCTATGCAGTACAGAGGCTGGAACCCTCTGGGTGACACTTGCAGCAGCCGCCCGGACGCACCCTTAAGAACACAAGCCGGAAGTGAGCTCGCCGCCATCTTGGTAAAGGCGCGGAGAAGGGATGGTGGGAGGAGGAACCCGGGAGGGAATTCCTGTAGGAGGTTCGCGATCCTGCCGTGGAGGAGGAGCGTGGGAATGTAGCGCCACCTCGCCCGGCAGAAAGGGCTTGAAGACCTCGTCTTGGTAAAGAGACCCCTGAGCGTGGATTTTGCCTCTGCCCACGGAGACCCCCGTACCAAGGTGGCTCTTGTATTCGGCTGGATCGTGGCGGAGAGAGCAAGCGCCCCCTTGGGCCGGGGGTTGCTGCCGGGCTTGACCTACAGCCAGAGCCGGTGCCGAATTGGGGCGAGGAGTGGCCCGGGGCGCCTGTCTCCACAGGCCTACCTTCGGGTGGAGTTTGAGCCTTGGCGCGGGCTCCATTCCCCGAAAGAAGGCTTGATCGGGGTGTAGGGCACAGGGTGTACCAGCCCTTTGGACTTCCTGTATGCCGGAGGTTGGTCCCAGTCTAGCCTGCTGCTCATTTCCTGAGCAGAGCTAAGGTGCTGTCTTTTCCAGTCCTTTTCCTTGTCCTCCCACCCGTCCACTTCCAAGTTTTAGATAATTAGAATCACGATGCCGTGCCTCTTCTCAAAGGAGTTGGGTTGCACAGGATGTTCAGACTGCAAAACTAAAGCAGTGAATCCTCAGGGGAGACATTTCAGACCAGTGGGGAGATGTTTATAGGGGTAAGGGAAAAGAGGATATCATAGAGTAGGAGTAGATGGGCTTTCCACAGAATCAGACAGAGGCCCGCTTGGCACTCACTGCTAGGATTATAGGTGCAGCCAGTCTGGCTTCAGATCTTTGTGACTCTGAGAGCTTGGGGAGGGACTCACTGCTCCAGGAAGTCAGGTCAAAGGCTCTTGAGATTCAGATCCACCCCCTAGTAGCCAGTTACCTCAGATCATTGGAGAAATAAAACCTGATCAGAACATGTGGAAGAAAGCAGAGTCATTATTTTGCCAGGACTCCAGATTGAATTATTTACATATATTTCAGGATCTAAACTTTGCTTCCGGAATTGTTACGGAGGAGTGAATAGAAATTGAGAGCTGAAGGCTGGGTAGTCAAAGTTCTTAGCCTTATTTAGTCATAAGCCCCTTTATGAATTAGATGAAAATTTAGTCTCCTCTCCTCCAGAAAAATGTCCACACACAAATAGAATTTTGCACACAATCCCAAGAAGTTCATGAAAACCATTAATAAGCTTCATAAATCAACATCTGAATCCTTGATGTAACCTAGTTCCATTTTCTTCACAGATAAGAAAACAAATCCTAAGAGAGGAAGTGACTTGTCTCAGGTCACACAATTTAGGAGAATGGATTAAAACTCAGGTTTTCTGATTTCTAGTCAAATAGCCCTTATAATGGGCTATTTCTCACAGGTTACTCAAACTGCATTAACTATATTCAGTGGCCCCAAAATATTTTCAATAAAGAGATTTCTAGCAAAGGAAACCTTTTCACATGGGTGGGGTTGAACAGGACATGGTTAATTGGCAAAATTCTGCATATTAATGGGAGTTGTTGAATATTTCATTTTAATATGCCCCTTACTCTCCTTGCAAAGCAGCCAGACCGTTGTGATTTCAGAGTGTAAATCCCAGGCTTACTAAATTTTGGCATGTAGAACAAAAATCCCTTAAATTCATCTTTTGCTTTTTTTCCCACTTGCTCAAATATTTCTGTATTCTTTGTGCCTGCAAATATCTGATGTAGGAAGGATTGATAGAGAAGATATTATTTCAGTTTTGATGGTGAGAAATAAACCCAGGAAGGGTGAGGATTACATCACAAGTACCACGTTAGAGCCAAGAGATGAGCCCTGGTTTCTTGACCCCCAGCTTCTGCATATTTTCCACCAGGTGGTTCTGTGGTTCCCACACCTTGGTTCTTAGCTACAGATGCAGAAAGAATAGATTTGTAGATGGATACATGGGCCTACCTCAGGCCAAATAAATCAGAATCTCTGAAAAGGAGGCCAGGTTTGAGAACCACTGCTCTACCCTTTGTTGGCAGAAATGAACCTAAATCCGTGTGAGTTCATTGTTTTTCCCTGTTGGGAAGGTAGTTTTGTGTAATGGAGTGAGGTTGAAATTTCTTGTTGGCGTTTGGCTTTTGAGTCAGCTACACTTGTGTTCAAATCTGAGATTTCCCCTCCTGCTAGTAACTACTGCTTGGGGTTTTATATATAAGGAGAAATAAAATAATACATGTAAAGATAAATGTATGTCGTAGGGCCTAATAAATGTTACTTTTCTTTTTTTCCTTTCTGCCGTCTATGTCATCTCTGAACTCACAGACCTGGAATTCCTGGGTTCTTCCCAGTCCTGTGATTTGGGAGGTTGAGAAGTTACTTGGGTGGCTTGAGAGATGACCGCACCCCCGCACCCACCCCACACTCTTTGTAGCCTTCCAGAATCGTGAGGGAGGCAGCAGGGAGCCCTTGCCCCCCTCCTCCCTACCACTGTCTGTACCCTGTGGCCTGCTCAGGGGAGCGCTTTGAGGGGAGTTATCTAGTGGTGCATGTGACCATGGGCTGGGGGATGCGCCTGTCTTGGCTTCAGATTCCCTCTGGAGGTTGTGGGGAGCCGGAAGGTCTTAAATGGAGCTCCCAGGCAGGATGCCTCCTCTCAGGATGGAGGAAGCACGCAGGAGAGCCCCCACGGGACGGGGAGGCCTTGCACCCGACACCTCCTGGAGACTGGTAGGCCTGGGGTGGGTTTGGGGGTCTGGCAAAGTGAGATGTGATTCCCGCTGCAGATAACTGACTGCTTGCCCTGGCTTGGGGAACAGGTTCCAGTTGTTAAGTCTTCAGGACCCCGGTGGAGAGACCACCAACAGGTTTTGGTCTTCGCCTATTTTGCTCTCCCCTCATGTGGGGGAGGCTCCTGAACCCCTGTAACCTGAAGGGGTAACTCAGGCAGGCACGCTTCCTCCTCCTCCGAGACGAGGCTGAGGCTGACTGCCTGACATGGGAGAGATGGCGCCCTAAGCTGCTTGTTCAGCAGCCAGCTCTGACCTGGGTCAGAGGGCCACAGAGGCAGCTCGCGTGTGGTCCTCGGACCTGGCCTGTAGGGAGACAAGGCTGTGAGGAGAGGGTTTGAGGATCTGGAGCAAACGAGGGTCTTCTCCCAACTCCCAGAAGATAGGTCATCAGACCCCAGACCAGAGGTGTCTCAGGGGCACTGCTGACTCTCCGTCCACTGGAGGAGCAGGGAGCCAGGAGAGGGTGTGTGTGCTTGAGACGGAACAGTGCCAGTTGCCCAAGAGCCAGAGTCCCTGGTTTCTTACTTTCCCAGGACAGCTGGGGCCTTGTGCTCATGACTCAGAGATGCCCAGCCCAGGGTGCCGGCCTTGTGAGCAGATGACCTTGTGATGAGAGGGAACAAGAGCAAAAGCTGGAGGCAGAACTTTGAGATGGGGGGTGTCAGAGGGGCTTTTCTGAAAAGTGAAAATGAATACATGGGCAGATTTTGCAACACCGCTCAGCCTGCTGTCTTCTCAAGTTTTGCTCCCCAACCTCCGCCCGTTCCCCCTGCCCCACCCTGAGCTTCCTCCCATCTTTCACCAAGTGCCTTTCTGTTTCTGCTGGCCCGGTACCTCTCCCATCCTGTTCCCCCCACCCCGTGTCCACTCTTGCTCTGCTCCCTCTCCTGTCTTCTTCCCTGCTGCCCTGTTCATCTCCGTGTCTGTCCCTCTGGCTGCCTGCCCTGGCCTCCTGTCCTCTGCTTTAATGTGGGACCCATGGGAACTGGAGTTCACAGCAAAACAGGAAGAGCCTGTGAGCAGGAAACTGGGAGTGGGGTGGGGGGTGGGGGAGAACAACCCGCAGTAACCTTAGCCCCTTGCTTCCCACATCTGCACCGAAGCATCCCCAGGGACCCTGCCTCTCCTACTGCAGCTCCCCGGGCCCCCGCTCCGTCCATCTCAGCACTGCACTGGTCCAGCAGACCTGAGAGGCACCGAGATGAGCATCCTGGACTCTGACGCAGGAGAAAGAGGACAGGGACTGGAGTGAGGACATCTGGATTCCCATCCCAGCTCGGCCACTGACTGTGTGGTCTTGGAAAAGGCGCTGCCGTGAGCTCAGTGTTCTCCGAAAAAACAACGGAGCTCAGAGTTACTTTACCCTCCCTCCCTCCTGGGGCGGCTCCAAGGACCAGAAGAGATAGTGAGGGGGTTGTATACGGAAATAAGCACTGGAAGATTAATAGTGTTCAGAGTCAAGGTGATGGGAAAGACCCATTGCTGAAGGAATTGGGAGGTTGATCACTGCTACGGTCTGTAGTACTCTTACGAGGTCGGATACATCTGATACATTGTTTAATTGCCACAACAACCTTCTGTGGTAAAAACCACTATTATTATTATCCCTATTATAAAGATAGGGAAACAGAGGTTCAGAGACATTAAGTAACTTAGTTAAGTGGTATGTGCTGTGTTTAGTCGCTCAGTCCTGTCTGACTCTTTGCAACCCCATGGACCGTAGCCCACCAGGCCCCTCTGCCCATGGGATTCTCCAGGCAAGAATACTGGAGTAGGCTGCCATGCCCTCCTCCAGGGGATCTTCCCAGCCCAGGGATCAAACCCAGGTCTCCTGCATCGCAGGCGGATTCTTCCAGCCTGAGCCAGCAGAAAAGCCCACTTAATCAAGATCACACAGCAAATGAGAGGCAGAGGCAAGGCCCAAATTTGAATCCAAAATCTGAGCTCAGAGCCCATGCACTGAAGCGGTGTTGTGGAGATAAAACTGACTCGAGGTAACAAGTATAGGATAAAAGAGGATCATACTGTTTTCCTTGTTTACTTATTCATTCAACAAAGAGAACCACAGTACTCTTGTTTCTACTCTCTGTCAGGTTCTGTTTCAGGGGAGGTAAAATCAATAAAATGAGGTGTCCACCTTCAGAACACCTTCGGTGTTCCAGGCAGTGGGGTAGAGGCAGGGCTATGGTCTCAGGAGAAGCTGGACAGGGCCTGCCCTCACTTGTGATGGAACCCTTCCTGCACACCCTCTCAGGTCCTCCCGGGCTGGTACCCAGATCTACAGCCTCCCATCCCAGACCATGCAGTGCTGAAGCGACTTCTTTCCACCCCTGTCTCCCCCCCCCCCCAACTTCTTCCCCTCTCGGAGCGCCACCCCCCGCCCGCAGCGCAGGGCACCCACAGTCAGAAACTCCCTGGAAGGCCCAGCAATCTGCCCGTCTCCACCCCTGGAGTTCTCTCGGTTTGGCCCCGGCCTGGAGATCGGGAGAGCTGCTCGGTCCCTTCCCGAGGCAGGGAAGGCGGAGGGAGACTGGGAAAGCAAGCTGGGGCTCGGTGTCGCAATTCCGGGCCGGGCCGGGACCTTTGCTCTGCGAGATGTCTCCGGAGGGGAGGGGACGACTCTGGAAGCTGCGGAGAGTGGGGGGGTGGGGGTGCCTGGGAGGCAGCGGTTTGTGTAAGAGCCGCCGGGGTGAGGAGATGAAGGGGAGAGTCGCGGGCCGCTCTGCGGGGACATGCGGCCGCCTGGCTCGGGAGGCAGGGGCCGCGGTGGCGCCGGGCCGAGGGGGCGGCCGGCCGGCAGGGGCGGAGTCAGCTGGGGGGGCGGGGGCGAGGAGGCCCGGGCTCCAGTCGGTCGGCCCCGGGCTCCCGGCCCCTGTCTCGCTCAGTTCGGGCGCTCCGGCCGCCGCCGAGGCCTAAGGACCCGGGGACTGCAGCATCCTGCTCTCCCAGCAAGGGGGCTCCAGAGACTGCCCCGGCCGGGAAGTCTGGCGGCCTGGGCACCGGTGGGTCTGCGCCTCAGCTCTGGCCTCTAGCTCTGCGTCTGCGTGTCCGGGAGTGGGGGCGGGGTGTCCCGGGGCTTTAGAAAGGGGGTCTCAGGGGAGCGACGAGGGAGGGTGGTGATGGAAGCGCAGCGCTCGCTTTAAGCCCTAGAATAACTTGTCGCGATCAGGGGAGGAGGTCCTCTATGTGAACTGGGGTGACTCCCGGAGGCAAGGATTTTGTCCCGGGAAGTGGCAGGAGGGAGGTTTGTCTTAACTAGCAGTGTTTCTCGGGGTGGAGGGAATCTGGATCCCAGAACTTGTCCCAGGTTCGGCCCAACTCCGGCGGTCCCCAGTGCAGGAGTGAGGGGAAGAGGCTCTGACAGAAGCGGGGGGTCAACCGTTCCCTGACAGCCTAGAGGGGGGCCTGGGGAGAAAAGGTGGCACGGTAGCCAAGACACCAGGCTTTTCGACGTCAGGAGAGACCAGAGATGGGAATCTCGGCTCTCCTGCTGCCTAACTGCGTGGCCATAGGCAATTTTCTTCATGTCTTGTAACTCCAGTTTCCTGATCTGTAAATTGGGCTTAAGAGTAGCCCTAACCTCACAGGGATATTGTGAGGAAGGCATGGAAAGCCTTGGTACAGGCTAACACATACATGGCAAGTAAACATAAGCTGATATGTGAGGATAGATTAAAGGCAGGATCAGGAGGGGAAGGGACCCAGTTTGGGAAGAGTGTAACCTGGATCATTCCTGCAGGACAGTCCCTTGGTAATGTTCAGGGCTCCAGGAAGAGATGTCTTTGTGGCTGGAGGCCCCTGTGCCTGATGTTTCTCCTGGTAAGCGTCTTCACTCCAGCCCTGTCCCCTAACCCTGGACCCCGGCTCCTCTCCTCCCAAGGGAATCAGCCTCCTACGTGACCTGCCTTCAGCCCTCCCCTGGAGAGCAGCCCAGAGCTGCTCTGGGTGTTGCTGACCTCCTTCTGCCCGGACTACCTCTGCCCTGGTTCTGGTGCCTGGCCCTTGCAGATAACCTGCCATCCTTCTCAATCTGGGCTTGCTGCTGGGGAGGCTTGGCATGTCCAGGGTTTACCCAGCTTGGTTTTCAAGAGTTCTGTCTGATCTCTGAGATGGATGGACTTCAGCCCCTGCCCAAAGGACAGAGGTTAACATCCTCATTTAAGGTATTGAGGTGCAGGGAACTCCAAGTGACTCACCCTAGAGCCCACGACAATCCCAGGGTCCCAGAGCCAGAGCCAGTGTTTTGCTGCCCTCTGTGGGTGGAGATAGGCTTGCAGTTTCCCAGGAGAATGAGGGGGACCTGAGACCCCCTTGTGTCTCTCTTTCGGGTTCAGACTCTGCAGTGGAGCTGTGGGAACCAGATGCACAAGATGCAAGCAGCCAGCCCTTGGGAAGCAGCAAGTGCATCCTCAGGGAGGAATCCAGCACACCGCAGTCCGCTGGGGGCACTTCGAGGGTGGGACTGGAGGTGCCAGAGCCCTCAGCCCTGCTCCCTGGGGTGGAAGCCTCTCCAGAGTCCACAGGTGAGGAGCTGCCGGATTTGGAGGAGGGGGCTCCCTGGTTCTAGGATTGGGGCTCTTTACCTTATGAGATCAGGGTTAAGTCCAAAAGCTTTGGAGTCAACTAGACATAAGTGATCTGAGTGTAAATTTTGCATCTGTCTTACGCTCTTCACTCCAGTATTCTTACTTTACTTTAGGCTCTTCACTCCAGTATTCTTGCCTGGAAAATCCCATGGACGGAGGAGCCTGATAGGCTGCAGTCCATGGGGTCGCAAAGAGTCGGACACGACTGAGCGACTTCACTCACTTTTAGGCTCTTCTGAGCCTTGATAAAATGGAACTAATAAGAGCACCCATTTCGTAGGTTGTTGTAAGGATCAGCGCCTGTAAGGGTTCAGACAGTACCTAGGACATAAGAGCACTTGGTGTATGAGAGCTACTTTCTTAGACTAGAGAGACTAGTCTTGGTATAATGAAGTGAATGAAGGTCACCAAGTGCTCAGGGCAGTGGCCAGCTGCGCACTAAGCCTTCTCCCCGAAGAAGAATATAAGGCTCTTCCCTGCATCCAGAGCTTCGTCCACAAAAGCGGAAAAAGGGGCCTGCCCCCAAAATGCTGGGGAACGAGCTGTGCAGCGTGTGTGGGGACAAGGCCTCCGGCTTCCACTACAACGTGCTGAGCTGCGAGGGCTGCAAGGGGTTCTTCCGCCGCAGCGTCATCAAAGGGGCGCGCTACGTCTGCCACAGCGGGGGCCACTGCCCCATGGACACCTACATGCGCCGCAAATGCCAGGAGTGCCGCCTTCGCAAGTGCCGCCAGGCAGGCATGCGGGAGGAGTGTGAGTGTCTGGGCACCGGAGCTGGGGGTGGTTAGGCTGATGGGGAAGAGGGGACGTGTGGCTACCAGGGTCTGGGGGCAGACAGGCAGCTGAGTCTGCAGGCCTTCCTAAGAGTGGATTCAAGTCTCTTCTTTAGGGACTTCCCTGGTGGTCCAGTGGTTAGGACTCTGAGCTTCCACTGCAGGGAACTCAGGTTCCATCCCTGGTCATGTGTTTTGTTTTTTTTTTTTAAGTCTCTTATCTGTCTTTATACAATGCTCTCCGCTTTTCTGGAGCCTCAAACTATTCCTGTGCCCCATCCCCACTTCCTGTCTCCCCATTTCTCCCCTCCTCACCCTGTCCCACTCTGCCCTCAGGCGTCTTATCAGAAGAACAGATACGTCTGAAGAAACTGAAGCGGCAAGAGGAGGAACAGGCTCAGGCCACATCTGCACCCCCGAGGGCTTCCTCACCTCCCCAAGTCCTGCCCCAGCTCAGCCCAGAGCAGCTGGGCATGATTGAGAAGCTGGTGGCTGCCCAGCAGCTGTGTAACAGGCGCTCCTTCTCGGACCGGCTTCGAGTCACGGTACCTGAGGGACCTGGGGAAGAGATGGCTGTGCCCAGAGCACCAGGTGGTTTCTCGACATCCAACTCAGGGTGCCTTGTTTCTTTCCTCCTTGCTTTTCTGGGCAGCCTTGGCCCATGGCACCAGATCCCCAGAGCCGGGAGGCCCGTCAGCAGCGCTTTGCTCACTTCACCGAGCTGGCCATCGTCTCCGTGCAAGAGATCGTGGATTTTGCCAAACAGCTGCCAGGCTTCCTGCAGCTCAGCCGGGAGGACCAGATCGCCCTCCTGAAGACATCTGCGATCGAGGTGGCTGGCGGGGATGGGGGTGAAGGGAGGACCTGAGCAGGATGTCTGTGGGAGGAGCCTTCAGCCAGCCCCCTGGAAAGCCATGTCCCCCACTACCCCCTGCCCCGGGAAGTAGGGATGAGGGGCTCACCCTTTCCTCGAAGGTGCCCCGAGCCAAGACTAGCCTGATAATTGTGTGTAGGTGATGCTCCTGGAGACCTCTCGGAGGTACAACCCTGGAAGTGAGAGTATCACCTTCCTCAAGGATTTCAGTTATAACCGGGAAGACTTTGCCAAAGCAGGTGAGGACTGAGCTCACAAAGGGGTTGGGTTGGATGGACAGATGCATTTTGTCCCATCATGCAGGGGGTCCATAGCAACTACAGAGCTGCAGGCCTGGGGTCTGAGCGGCTGCAAAGGGAAGGACTCACCTATTTTTCCAAGATGGAAAGTTGAAATGCTGGTAGTTTTCCCTTAACTGCCCCACACAGGTTCCTGCTCTCTGTTGCATTAGGCCAGTGGTTCTCAAACTGTGCTCCCAGGAACCTGAGGCAGGGTTTCCACAGTGTCACCTTAGAGGAGACGTGTCCTTCACCCTAACTTTAGCCAAACAAGAAGCTCCATTTAAATCTGCATTATATGTTGTGCCTATGGATAATATTTTTCTTGAAGAAAACATTGCTTGAAAAAAAAAGATTTGCTTGAAGAAAAGCTAGGAAAAATACTTGAAAACTTCACTGAGCCTTTTCGTAGTCAATCACGAAAAACCTTTCACAGACGTGCTCTTTAAGGATCATGCTGACTGATTTTCTCCTTTTCAATTGCGCTTTCTGAGGAGCCATGGCATTGGTGTTAAAACACAGCAGACATGCCCAGATGGGGCAGTTTTAGGATAAGAGGGAACACTTCTGTCCCCACCCCATAGCTGGAGTATTTTCTCCAAGAATTAGTTCATAGTGCTGTTCTCTATCTGGTATTTTCTTGCAGACTAAGCAATGTTGGTTTCCTCATATTCAGTTGTGGGGTGGCATTTGTGCTGTGGCAGAAGGGTTGAAAGGTAGAAGGTATTTTCGAGGGACAGGACTGAGGCTGAACAAAAGACTGAGTGGTTTAACGCCTGAGTCAGTGGGTCTGTAAAATAGGGCTGATGCTGACCCTGTCCTCAGGTTTGGAGGATCCTGGTCTCCAGGGCAGAGTTCAGAAAGGTTTCTGGTGACTCAGGCCAGCTCTTGTCTCATCACAGGCCACCCAGGGAGCTTTCTAGGTAGGTCTCCCTTCACCATAGGGCATGGTAGGGCTGTGTGGGCACCTCTAGCCTTCTATAGTGCCCTGTGTGCTGCTTGAATGTAGAGACACCTGATAGGAGTGATGTAATGACTTTTTCCTGCTTTAGAAGCCCAGCCCTGCCCCCTTTCTCTACCCAACCACGGCCTTCTCCTTCATAACATCCTCCCTTCTGAACCCTTGCCTGTTCTCATGCCTGCATGTGTATTTCGGCACTCACGGACTTGGGCTATCTGAATCTGCATCTATTTATAGATTCATTTATATAAGCGGTTTTCATGTCGTCGTGTTTGTCTTTCATTTCTCATGGCTTCAGTGAGGGAGGAGGACAGCAGTGCTCTTGGGTAGGTCTCCTCCCCCTCTGCCTCCACTACCATATGCTGCACGTGTGAGCGACCAGTGACGTGAGCCGACTGCACTGGGGGTGCTCACTCGGCGAGCCGCAGTGGACCCTCACAGGAGGTGTAACTCTAAAACTGGCTGGCCCTCCCAACGGGCTCTTCAGCGCCGTTCAAGGCTGGACACCTCACCAAGAAATGCTTTCTAAAAGAGCTTGTCCGTTAAGTGGATCAACGCACACTTGATAAACATCGGGGTGAAAGTACAGGAAGTGACTAATCGAGAAGCCTGGAATGGAAAAGTTAGCAGATGGTTGCTAAAAGACATCTGAGAAAACCTAGGGGATGGGCTAGGGTGGAGAGAGTTTGACTGTGTTTGGGAGAAACGTTCATTAGAACGCTGTCCTTTAGAACAAGTCATGATTTATTGAACTTCAGTCTTCTCAGTAAGAAGGCTGGTTCTATTTTTTTTTTTAATTTATCATTTATTCAACAAACACTTATATGGTAGTTATTATATGTGCCACTCATTATTCTAAGGACCCATTATGAGGTAGGTACTATTATTATTTCCATTCTAGAGATGGGAAAACCAGAGCCCAGAGAGCTTAAATAATTACCCAAGGTCACACAGCCTAGGAAGTGTTAGAGCTGACTCAAACCCAGGGAGGCCAACAACAGAGTCCACACCTCCAACCCACTGCTGTCTCCCCGTGATGTGGAAAATGAAATGTATTGCTACTATTCAATGTAAGGCCAGTTGCCAGTGAAGAAGTCTTTTTGTAAATAAACATAGAGTTGCCTCTATTTCTAGTAATGTGGGGCCCTGAAGAGTTCTTTTTTTTTTTTTCCCTGAAGAGTTCTAAGAATTCTAACAGAATTGTTATTATTTAATTCAGCATGTCCTATATGCTGGGTGCAGTGCAAATGGGTCTGTATGCTTTACCATTTAACCATCACAACAATTTTATAAGTTCAGATATGATTCCCACCTCACAGAAGAGGCTTAGAGAGGCCAAGAAACTTATCCAAGGTTACACAGCAGAGCCTGGGGACTTCTGAGTTTCCTGGTAGCTTCCTAAATTGAGCAGTGCTGCCCATGTCACGGGACTCGCCTGGTGGCTCAGTGGTAAAGAATCCACTTGCCAGTCCAAGAGACCCAGCTTTGGTCCTGGGGTCAGGAAGATTCCCTGGAGAAGGAAGTGGCAGCCCATTCCAGTATTTGTGCCAGGGAAATCCCATGGACAGAGAACCCTGGTGGGCTACAGTCTCTGGTTGCAAGAGAGTCAGACGTGACTTAGGGATTGAACAACAAAGCCCATGCCACACTCCCCAGCCTCTCTTCTTCCTCCCCAGGGCTTCAGGTGGAGTTCATCAACCCCATCTTCGAGTTCTCCAGAGCCATGAATGAGCTGCAGCTAAATGACGCTGAATTTGCCTTGCTCATTGCCATCAGCATCTTCTCTGCAGGTGCGGAGGAGAAGCAAGAGGGAAAACCAGCGAGAGACTCAAACAAGAGAGGGCTGCAGGTGCCCATAGGGCAAGGAGCGTGGGGGTGGAGGCCCTTGCTGTGTTCCTGGGGGATGGCAGAGGTTGGGTGGGGCAGGTCCCTATTTCTGGGGTTGTGATTTGGGGTATGGAAATAAGACCCTGGCCAGACCTGCCACTCAACTCTGTTGGTGACCTGTAGACCGGCCCAACGTGCAGAACCAGCTCCAGGTAGAGAGGCTGCAACACACATATGTGGAGGCCCTGCATGCCTACGTCTCCATCCACCACCCCCATGTGAGTCTCCCCATTGTACCCCCTCCCTTCTCTGCACAGCTCATCCCCAGCACACCTGCTCTCCCTTCTAGAACCTCTCCCTGACTGCATCGAGCACAGACACTTCTCTGCCTCTCCCACAACCCCCCTACCCCTGGCCCCTCTTCCCTGGGGAGAGACAAAAGGCCCTACTTGTCCCTCTCTTTTCCTAGGACCGACTGATGTTCCCAAGGATGCTGATGAAACTGGTGAGCCTCCGGACACTGAGCAGCGTCCACTCAGAGCAAGTGTTTGCCCTGCGCCTGCAAGATAAGAAGCTTCCCCCGCTGCTGTCTGAGATCTGGGACGTGCATGAATGACAGCTCCTCCTCCATCTTCTGTTTTCCTGGGCTGGATAACTGAGACTGGGTGGCTGCCTCCTAGAGGTGGAGCCACATGAAGGACAAACATTCCTGAGGGCTGGGTAGAGGAGATCCTCACGTGGCATTAAAGGAGAGTCAAAGGGTTGGGAGTTTTGTGGCTGCTGAGTAGTGGGGATATCCACACTGTGCTCCACATGAAGACTCTGTGAACCCCGTCAAATGGATGAACCTGGGGGCCCCTTTGCACAAGGCTCTCCAGGGCCCTGCCCATCCTGCTTCTACCACTTCCTGTTTCCCCCCACAGGGCCCCCAGAGAAATTCTCCACTGTCCCTCCGCGGCTTGGCCGTAAATGCCTCGGGGCTGCCACACTGAGAGGTCTGGCACTGTTTGTATCAGTTCCGTTCAGTTCAGTCGCTCAGTTGTGTCTGACTCTTTGCCAGCCCATGGACCGCAGCACGCCAGGCTTCCCTGTCCATCGCCAACTCGCGGAGTTACTCAAACTCATGTCCATTGAGTCGGTGATGCCATCCAACCATCTCATCCTCTGTCGTCCCCTTCTTCTCCCACCTTCAATCTTTCCCAGAATCAGGGTCTTTTCCAGTGAGTCAGTTATTCGCGTCAGACGGCCAAAGTATTGGAGTTTCAGCTTCAGCATCAGCCCTTCCAATGAATATGCAGGACTGATTTCCTTTAGGATGTTTGTACAGGAAGACCAAACTGAATTCGGAAGGAGAGAAACCGATTTCTGGATTGGGGGAGGGGTTGGAGCCCGACCACCGGAGGCGGGAAGATAGTGTGTCCTTGAGGGTCCGCTTCCAGACTCAAGAGGAGGGAGGCAGGTCACAAGTGACAGCCTTGGCAGCGAGAGGGGACCTCCTTTTACCAGCCCCATTGCGCCGTAAGGGGGTCAATGGGGTGCTGAGGCTGGGAGGCCCGCTTCCTCTTCAGGGGTCCCGGTGGGATCGCGCGTTGTCTTTCTCTGGGGGAGGGGTGTTGGATTTATTTTTCGGAACCAACGCCTCAGTCGCGCACCTGTGTTCGCGCGTGCAGGTCCAATGCCTCGGTTTTCCTGAAAATCAAAGGACAGTTCCCTCCTCTTGGCCCGTAGGCCCTGTGGGACCCGGGGGGGGGGGGCGGGGGGGAGTCCTCTGAGGCCAAGGGGAGGCTGCCGCGTCCCAGGTTGAGCCTCTCAGAAGGGCTGGACTGCATTTCCCAGCGGGCGCCGCGGCGGCGCCCACGCCCCCTTCCTTGGAGCGCACCGGGCGTAGGTGATACCGCGGCCGCGCCTTCCGGCCTCAAGTTCCTCCCCCCTCGCCGTCCGGAGTTGGTAGGCTCCGCCGCCGCGGCCGCCGGCTTCCCTGCACGGGCGGCTGGGCGCTTCCAAAGCGCGAGCGGGGGTGGGGGAGGGACGTGAGGTGAAGGGAACGGCGAGAAAGTCTGAGAGCAGCTTATTTTGAGAAGTCGTTTCCAAGGTGAATCTCCCGTCATCTAAATGGGCTCTATTACCGTGTCGAACTGAAATGTTTGCGCAACCTATACCCAGAGCGTTCCCGTGGGTCCTCCCCTTGGCACGTAGAGGCGCTGGGCCAGCCCCGCGCGCCCCATCGCGCTCCCACTCCCTCACGCCTAGGTGTGTGCGTAAACGCCCTTCTCCAGAGACTGGCTCCGCCCTTGGGCGCTCGGCTTGGTGCAGCCCCGTCCCCCCCCCATCCCCAGGGGGTGAATGGTACGGCCCCCGGCCCCCCTCAGCCTCCCCTTCCTTCACCTAGTCCGAGTGGTGCGCGCCCCCCTGGTGCAGACGCGGAACTGGCTTGCGCTCCGAGCGGCACCCTGGCCGGGGAGCCAGTGACGCCCGGCTTGCCCGGGGACGTCCAGCCGAGCCCGGCCGGTGCCCCTAGGCCCGGGAGGTAGGAAGGTCCGGGCCACTGGGGGCCCTAGGAAGGTGTTGGGGATTGGGTTCCTCGGGGGGAAACGGATCCTGGGAGGGAACAGGAGCTCCAGGGGGAAGGGATCTCTAAGGAGGCCCCAAAGGCGTGTGAGAGGGTTTGGGGGTCTCGAGAGGCAGACCAGGGGTCGGTAAGGAAAGGGGGCGGTGGGGCTGGAGGTGGGGGCGTCCGGGCCCCTGAGGGGGTTTGGGCTGCGAGCCTGGGCGCAGTTCGCGGCTGCAGGGCTGGGTTCCTGCGAGGCGGGCTGGCGGCCCTGGTTCCGGGGTGGGGGCCGGGGAGAACTGTCCAGCAGGTGAGGGGACGGGCAGAGCTGTCCAGCTCGGGGGCCCGAGCCGTGCTAAGCACATGGCGAGCGTGTGTGTGTGTGTGTTTCTGTGCGCTTGTGTATATGTGTGTGCGCGCACGCGCGCGGCTTATCTTTGGTTAGGTTTTGAAGAAGGGCATTTGGTTCTTAAAAAAAAGAAAATTATTATTTTTTTAAATTCGGTGTTTCAAAATTGGCTTGTTGGTGAGTGGAGACGCCTTGTTCAATCTTTCCTGCAACAGCTTCCCTGCTCGTACTCGTGCACCTCTAAATTCGTCCGCCTGTTCCTGTCCTCCCCTGTTCCACATCCCTGCCTAGCGCCTGCCTTCTTGCTCTCATTCTTCCCCAAGCTGGACCAGTCTGTGCTGATGCGCTTGCAAGGTCACTGCCTGGGGAGGAGGGGGAGGGGAGAGAGCCTCCAGTCGTTGCTCACGTCAGCGAAGATGTCATATCGCTCTCTGGTTCCTGTGGTTTTACTATTAACATCCTGCCCCAAACGGGGGACAGATCCAAGGAGCTGGTCCGTATGACCATTTGTAAGCTGAAAAGACATATAATTTAAAGCTCTGTGGATGCAGTGGATGGTAACTGTAGAACTTCAGCAGGTAGGTTTGCGTTTGGAGATTGCTGCCTTTGGAATATAGGGGCTAATAATAATGGGTTCTACGCTTAGTAATAAGGCTAGAGGCTGAGTGTGGATGTGAAGACACAGTGTGAGCTATAGGTACTGTTAGAGGATCTAGAGTCTTTGTGAGGAGGGGAGAAGGGAGAGAATGGGTAGGAAAGTCTTGGTTATCTCTGCAATCTGAATAACTGAAGGCAGTGGCTGTTGATGAGATATGAGCTGAGACTAAAAATCCACCCTATCGCGAGTGGCTGGAATGGTCATGACATCTCTGGGTCCTTGTGGCTTTGGAGGGAGATGAACACTGTAGAGCATGATAATGATTTCAGTTTTATCAAGTGATTCTCAGTTCAGAGGGGGCTGGGATCCCACCAAGGATAGAGGTCCGATGCCTGGTATGTCAGTAGAAGCTGCTTCAGGTGTGATCTTCGAGATTTTTGGTTGTAAAGGGCTTCTGGTTTTCAGTGTAAATATAGATTTCAAGGCTCAGCCTTGAGCTCTGGTCCTGCAAATTCTGTTTTATTTTAAGGTGTTTTGGCTCTCACTAGGCATTTTCCACATGATTCTTTTTTATTGGAGCAAACATTTTTATTGAAGTGTGGTTGACAGTACACTGTTATGTTAGTTTCAGATGTACAACAGTGATCTGACATTTAAATATATCATAAAATGACCATCACAAACACGTAATTCTTTAGAGAATGAGTTATGCTTTTATCCGTCTTCCCATTTCATTTCTGTGTTTCCCTCTCCTTCTCATTCTGCTTGGGAGGAGCTCTCTTAACAGTGCTCCACATTCTGCAGTATGCTCATGATTCCATAGCAGTGAGGAGACCCAGAGGGCTTTTGCAGTGGTAGTGATGCCTAGAAATGAGTATACAGCAAGCTTGGGAACTTGGTTTTGGTTGTATAGAAAGGAGATAATCTCTTAAGAAAATCCAAAAAAAAAAAAAAGAAAATCCAGAATTAGAACCAAGTGCAAACTAAAGGCCCATGAGGGAGAAGATAACCTGATAATTGGTAGATGCGGTCAGTGGAAGAGGCGTCTCTAGACTCAAGGAGAATGAATTGTTAGGGGCACCGGGCAGCTCTGGGGTAGCAGCTGCTAGCACTGTGCGGTCACCAAGCAGGGGAGGGGTGGCAGCTCTGCTATAAATAGTGCTGGAGCCAGAGTTGCTATGGAGACAAAACTGAATCCTATTACCTGCAGGCCGTCTATGGGGAGCAAGGGAAAGGAGGGAGAAGTATTTTGAGGGTTTGAGAGGTGCTATAAATAGTTTTAAAAAATTGTTAAGTAGGAGAGAAAAAAGATATAACTTCTCATCTAGATCAGGTAGAGCCTTAAGCCTACAGGGAGTGTTTGCATTGTACATGCAGCGGCAAAGAAGGGAGTGGCGTGTAAGAGTGTGTAGCGCAGTGGGGTTCTGTGTATGCAGTGAACAAGGTCCTAGTGTGGCCGTGTGTGGCACACAGAGGTGCAATGCTGGAAGCGCTGAAAGTGGCCTTGGCATGGAGTGAAACACTTTATTTAGGGAAGTATATGGAAATTGAACAGGAAATAAATTGCAGTTAAGACATGGAGTGAGTGAGTGCTCAGTCGCTCAGTCATGTCTGACTCTTTGCGACCCCAAGGACAGTAGCCCACCAGGCTCCTCTGTCCATGGGATTCTTCAGGCAAGAATGCTGGGGTGGGTTGCCATTTCCTTCTCCAGGGTAAGACATGGAAGCTTTTTCTAATTTTTCGACTGTGGTTTAGAAATTTCCCTGAGCACCTCTCTCTTTCCTCCCAGAAATCTTGTTGTTTCTGCCTTCAGATTCTTTATGTCTAAGATCCAGAAGGACAGGGCCTCATCCGTGTGTATTGTATTACTGATTCAAATCCTGGGACCGCAATAGAGGCGGAAGACTATGATTCAGCACCAAGGGCAGAGCTAGTATCTATAGCCACTCAGCCCCTTTCTTGCTTAAAGAGGGGAGAGGGAAATGGTATGGAGGAAGCAGCTGGGGCAGAGAGAGTCCTCACTGGAGATCGCGTAGGGTAGAGTGGCCATCTGTTGTTGGCTGAGTGCAATTAAGTGTCGTCTGTAGGGCAGTCTCACATCAAGCTGAATGCAGAATGTTGGAACAGAATAATTAGGTTTCTACCTAGAGCCAGGATTGCAGATGAGTTCTGATTAGAGAGTCTGGTTTGATCCTGATGCACCCTGGAGCAGTCCTGAAAGTGACTTAATTTTTGTTATTATGATAATTGAGTCCCAATTGGACTGACTAGGCTTGTTTTTCAGAAACAGGCCCCAGGAGTGAGGCTGGAAACGATCTGGTTTGTAGGGATGGGCAGGTGAGCCATTACTTATCCTACTTCATGACGTGTGACTCTGTGAGCTCATAAGCCCGGACAGAGCTCTAGACTGGGAAAAGTGTCACGTTCTCCTCTCTTTCATAGTAGAATGGAAGATCTTCTGACCTGGGTTGACATGGAGAGGGATGAATTTCTCAGGTGAAACAGTGGATCTTACTAGTACTTTTTTTTCCTGTTAGGCTTGGATTTTCAGATAACATCAGAATTCCTCCTGGGAACGTTGACTCCGTGCCTGGTGCCTTGGAGTTTCTCTGAGATGGATTGATGAATTTGAGCCATGGTGCAAAAGAAGAAGTCCTGTCCTCGGTTACTTGACTACCTAGTGATCGTAGGGGCCAGGTAACCAAGAAGTGACTGATTTTCTCTAGTCATCTGGGGTAGCCACAAAATCTGTAAGGAATCCCCTTCCCTACTTCCACGTTGCTTTGCATATCTCATTCTTCTGTTATTTGACCCTGATGGGAACCTTGCTGCCAGTTGGAAAAACAAAACAGGTGGATCGAGACTACTGGCCTGGAGGAAGAGAAAGAGCAAACCTCTGCTCTTAACTAGCGTCTTTTGTGATTTTTGAGCAAATATACTCTTATATACTTCAGCTTCCTTATTTCGTAAAAAAGGAAAAGTATGTTGTGCTCCTTTTCTGTCTACCTTGGGGAATTCATTAGCGAATACACCTTGAAAGATGTTAGTCATCTTATGGTGCTGGTGATAATTTTACTGTCGCCACTTGCCTTTCATTTCAGGATAGGCATCTTCATGGCAGCACAGACCTCAATGTGCCATGTTTTCCCAGGTCCTGCAGCTAGGTTGCTTTATCCAAAAGAGCATTTATTGCTCCACTGTGGTTTAATTATTATTATTATTTTATTATTATTTTTTCTTTACTGTGGTTAAAACCCGAAAGAGCATGCTGTCCCTTCAGGCTGCTGACCTTGTCCGTATGTTCTCCAGGCACCCGAGCAGTGACAGTGTGGCCCAGACTCCGGAACTGCTACGGCGGTACCCGCTAGAGGACCATGCGGAGTTTCCCCTGCCCCCGGATGTTGTGTTCTTCTGCCAGCCAGAGGGCTGCCTCAGCGTGCGGCAGCGGCGCATGACCCTGCGGGATGACACCTCTTTTGTCTTCACCCTTACGGACAAGGACACTGGTGTCACCCGTTATGGCATCTGCGTCAACTTCTACCGCTCCTTCCAAAAGCGTGTGCCTAAGGAAAAGGGGGAGGCTGGGCCAGGGTCCCGGGGGAAGGAAGGGCCCCGAGCCCCCTGCGCCTCCGAGGAGGTGGGCCCCGAGACCTCGGAGAGCGGCCCGTCCCTGCAGCCGCCCAGTGTCGACTCCACCCCGGACGTGAGCCAGTCTCCACGGGCCAGACGCCGGGCCAAGGCAGGGAGCCGGTCCCGCAACAGCACGCTGACGTCCCTGTGCGTGCTCAGCCACTACCCCTTCTTCTCCACCTTCCGCGAGTGTCTGTACACCCTCAAGCGTCTGGTGGACTGCTGCAGTGAGCGCCTGCTGGGCAAGAAACTGGGCCTCCCGCGAGGCATACAGAGGTATCGTTCACACCGCCGCTCAGAATAGGGGAGGCGGCTGGAGTTGAGGGGTAGTTGGCTGGTGAGGGGCGTAGGGATTTCCCTCTAAAGCTTGAGGTCCCTCAGACCTCCTTAAACGCTTAATGTTAATCCATGGAAGTGAAAGACTGCTGCAGAGTTAGACCTCCTTCCATGATCGTGCTTGGAGTGATGCTGAGGAGTTGGGTGTTTCAGGATGGGCAGGACACGAAGTCCTTGCTGTGTGTACATTTTGCACTTGTCATCACCCTTGTGTGCACCCTGTGGTCCTGGCTGAGTCCATAGAGAGGTCTTCTCCAGTTGCCATCATTAGATGCTCTGTGGTTACGCTGGATTGCCGTGAGGTATCAGCTTCCAGTGCTAACGTGTCTGCTCCCTGCCGTCTGCTCCTCAGGGACACCATGTGGCGCATCTTTACTGGATCGTTGTTAGTGGAGGAGAAGTCAAGTGCCCTGCTGCACGACCTCCGGGAGATTGAGGCCTGGATCTACCGATTGCTGCACTCCCCGGTACCCGTCTCGGGGCAGAAGCGAGTGGACATCGAGGTCCTGCCCCAGGAGCTCCAGCAGGCTCTAACCTTTGCTCTCCCAGACCCCTCTCGATTCACCCTAGTGGACTTCCCGCTACACCTCCCCCTGGAACTTCTGGGTGTAGACGCCTGTCTCCAGGTGCTCACCTGCATCCTGTTAGAGCACAAGGTGAGAGGGCAGCGTTCTAGACTGTTCTAGGGGAAGGACTTTGAAGTGTGGCAGAGGCTAGACCATCAAAGATGAGGATTAGGGACTGCGTCTCTTTCATCACCTTGTCTCCCAGAGATAACATGGTACCAGGTATACAGTAGGTTCTCAGTGGGTGAGGGTTGAATTAAGGTACCAGCATCGTGAGGGTTAGGGGGCTCAGTGGTAAAGAATCTGCCTGCCAGTGCAGGAACCATGGATTCCATTCCTGGGTCAGGAAGATCCCCTGGAGGAGCAAATGGTACCTCACTCCAGTATTCTTGCCTGGGAAATCCCATGGACAGAGGATCCTTGGCAGGCTGCAGTCCATAGGGTTGCAATGAGTTAAGCGACTGAGCATCGTGTGGAATATATTCAGAGAGCTTGGCACTCAGCTGAATTCATCTCAACTGTACCAGTCTAATTCCTTGGAAATCTCAGTAATTCTGTACTGACGAGTGATCCTGGGATTTGGGGAACAAGAACTAAGAAGGTAAAGGAGTGACTCAAGGGAGGATTTGGGCAGTGCTTACACTGGGAGGTGACAGGCAGGCAGGGTGTAGGGCAGTGATAAGTGTGGAAACTAAGGTCCCAGGGCTGTGGCCTTGGTGAAAAGAAATTAAATTGTAGTGTCAGAGGCTCTTTTCACTTCAGCCTTACTTATTCTGTCGAGCAATCCTTTTGGTATGGTTTGCCACAGGTTGTGCTCCAGTCCCGAGACTACAACGCACTCTCCATGTCCGTGATGGCGTTTGTGGCAATGATCTACCCCTTGGAGTATATGTTTCCTGTTATCCCACTGCTGCCCACCTGCATGGCATCGGCAGAACAGGTGAGTCTCAAGGCATCTTGTGCCTCTGTTCTGACAGTGTCCAGGTGAAGGCTCCATGCCCAAAGAAGTTGTAAGTCAGTCCTGGTCCTGAATTCCTTGTTATAAGTTATTTGTCCACAAAATCTGAACTGATCTGGTGTGAAAACCTAGGCTATTTAGGCTTTTATTTTTTAAACTTCTTTTTTTGTATTGGAGTATAGCTGATTAATGGTGTTATGATAATTTCAGGGGAACAGTGAAGAGACTCAGCCATACATATACATGGATCCACTATTTATAGTTTTTATTTATCACAATTAATGTCAGGGATTATAGGCTACTGGCTGCCCACTGCAGGTGGTACATAATATGTATAATATATACTGTTACTTCTCTAAAATCTGAAGCATTCTGAACTTTGGAACACATCTGCCTTCAAGGATTTTGGAAAAGGGATTGTGGACCTGTGTTTTCCTCCCCTGGAAAAATCTTGACCTGACAAGTGATCACAGTAGGTTTTGGTTTTGTTCCTTGTCTTTTCCTCAGCTGCTGTTGGCTCCAACACCGTACATCATCGGGGTCCCTGCCAGCTTCTTCCTCTACAAACTGGACTTCAAAATGCCTGATGATGTGTGGCTAGTAGATCTGGACAGCAATAGGGTGAGGCCCCTTGTCTGAGGCTCCGTGGGGTCTAGAATAGGAGTGTGTTCTGTTTTTCTAAATTACTGCCAGGGTAATTTGTGGGTGATTGCTACTGTGAAACAGCAGAGCAGTTATGGTTGCAGAATTATTAACCTATGGCATAGGTCATCTCCTGGTTTTCTGGGAGTGTAGTTTCTAGTAAGAAACTGCCTTTCAGTGCAGACTTTAAAAAAGTATATTATTAACATTCTGTGATGTGAATATGTTCAAGCTTCGGTAGGTAGCCCTTTATATGTGTTTGCCATAAAACTTTAGAGAGTGAAAATAAAAGTACAAGGAATGAAACAAAAACCATGATCCTCATTCTGCCCTGGTGGTCCAGTGGCTAAGAGTCCATGCTCCCTATGCAGGGGGCCCAGGTTTGATTCGTGGTCAGGGAACTAGAACTAAGAGTTTGCATGCTGCAACTAAAAGATCCTGCATGTTGCAACTGAAGAACGCATATGCCATCACAAAGATGGAAGATCCCCCGTGCCATAGCTAAGACCTGGCACAATCCCATGAGCCTGTTGGCTAGGGAGAGTACCAAGAACATTTAGGTATACTGTTTCCTTTCAAGTGTGTATATCTGTCATATACATACGTATATATATATTTATATACATGCATATATGATGTGTGTATTTGCATGTGTATAATAGTATACATATAAGGGGCTTCCCTGGTAGCTCAGATGGTAAAGAATCCGCCTGCCAAGCAGGAGATGCAGGTTCGATCCCTGGGTCAGGAAGATCCCCTGGAGAAGGAAATGTTTACCCACTGCAGTATTCTTGCCTGAGAAATCCCATGGATGGAGGAGCCTGGCGGGCTCTAGTCCATGGGGTCGCAAAAGAGTCAAACACGACTTCGTGACTAAAAACAACAACATTGTGTACCTAATTTCCTATTCTTGTTCCTTACCCTTATGTGAGAGAAAGTCTGGAGCAACTCATTCTAAGGTTGCACCTTTGCTCTTTCTCTGGTGTAGGTGATTGCCCCCACCAATGCAGAAGTGCTGCCTATCCTGCCAGAACCGGAATCGTTAGAGTTGAAGAAGCATTTGAAGCAGGTGGGTGAAGAGGGGAGCCAAGGAAGGGGAGCAGCAGCAGCTGTTGAGAGAGCCGGTCTCCTTGCCGACTTCTAGTCGAGTAGATTTCTTTAGCCGTGGGCGGGCTCCAGAAAAGCGGGGTATCCCATTTCGGGGTGGTGGGGTGAATCTCAGAAAAGAGCCATTTAGATTCCTTTTCATTCACTGTGTGTTCACCTCCCACCCTCTAGTGCATAAAACCACCCTTCACATTGTGTTGTTTGTCACATCCATCCTTCTTAATGGCCTCGGAGTATTCTCTGTCTCCTAAGAAGGGAGTCAGCAGTTTGGACAGTCTGGCTCCTTTCATGTTTTTCTCTTGAATTGATCTCTGGTCCCTACAGAATCATTTCTTCAAAAATTCCTCCCTTAGAGGAAACCCCGTAAACGCATTTTCATTGATTGATTTTCTTCTTCCTCTGCATGCTGAACACAGTACCTGAAGGTAAAATGTCGTGAGACCCGGGCCCCCTGCCTTGATGTATGCGTTGTGTAGGACCACCAGTAGATGGCCCTGTGTTTCTTTTTAGGAACCCCTCGTTTGAAGTGTCTTCAGAAATCTCTCTCTGTGTTGTCTCAGTTACTTAGCAATACCCCTAGGTGAAATCCGTTTGGATTTAAATGAGTCATTTCGTGTCATCCCTCTCTTTCTCTCACTTGGCTCCATCACTGCTGATGCAATATGATGCCTGGTAACTGCACAGTGTGGTGAGGATAGCAAGTTCAGAAGGTTCTCTAGCTGTCTTCCTTTACTGTGTTTTCATTCTCAATGATTGCTTTAGTATGACTAATGAGATGGAGAAGTACAGTCAGAGTTGTACTTTACATGTTCATAGGAGCTAAGATCCCTGGGCTCATAGATCCTGTATTCTGACCCCTGTCACTCAAAGTGAGGTCCCTGGACCAGCAGCATCAGTATCACCTGGGCTCGTTAAACGTGCAGAATCACCTCAGACATACTGAATCAGAATCTGCATGCAGCCACATCCCCAGGTGATTCCTACGCTCGTAACATTGAAGAAACCCTACTGGGACTGCCCTGGTGGTGTGGTGGTTAAGAATCTGTCTGCCAATGCAGGGCACATGGGTTCAGTCACTGGCTGGGGAAGATTCCGCATGCCGCTACTGAAGCCCATGCGCCCTGGAGCCCACGCTGTAACCGGAGAAGTCCCAGCAGTGAGCAGCCTCCTCCCCACACTAGAGAGGGCCTACATGCAGCAACAAAGACCCAGTGCAGTCCCCCAAAATTAACTGATTAAAAAAAAACCAAACACTGCTGGTGTAAACCAGTGGTTTTCAAACTGGCCCATGGAGCCCCTGGGGGTTGATTTAGATAGGGACCACTGAGCATATGAGGCTCTAGGTTCCTCATGTCCTTCAGAGAAGCTTTACTTTTATAGGTTTCAACTGTTTATGTTCCCACCTAGATCTCAACTGAAAAACAAGGTTTTATAGCTGAAACAAATTTGAAAACTATCGCCTTGGACCTCAGGTTTGATCAGGTGGCCTTGATCAGATTGGTTTAAGCTGAAGATTTCGTAATTCAGATTGTTTTCTAAAGGTTAAAGTCTTTGGATTCTGTTTGAGAGATGAAGGCTCTTTCCTAGGAATTGACTTTGGCTGGCCGCCCAGGACTCAGCCATCTGTGAGGGACTTCTTCTTCCGCAGGCCCTCGCCAGCATGAGTCTCAACACCCAACCCATCCTCAATCTGGAGAAATTCCATGAGGGCCAGGAGATCCCCCTTCTCCTGGGGAGGCCTTCTAATGACCTTCAGTCCACACCTTCCACCGAGTTCAACCCACTCATCTACGGCAATGATGTGGATTCGGTGGATGTCGCAACCAGGTACACACAAGCCAACCAGACAGTTGCAAGCTCTTAAACTGGTCCCTCCTCACTTAGTGACCTTGGGGCAGATTACTTCCCTGAGCCCAGAGATTATTTATAAAATGTGGGTAATATCTAGTTTTATTTGCCACCTTAGTTAAAGCAGAGTAAATGGTTCATCATATTCTCAGGCCTTTTAGGCCTTGGGTGCAGAAGCGAGTTGATGATTCTTTAAGACACCTCTCCCCTGGCTGTTGGAAGCCTGTTAAATGATGACCTCGGGAGGTGGTCTGAGGCCTCGGGGGACCCTTGCTCCACAGGGCGTGGGACTCGGGTCAGCTCACTGTCCCCTTCTTCTCTAGAGTGGCCATGGTCCGTTTCTTCAACTCCCCCAACGTGCTGCAGGGCTTTCAGATGCACACACGCACCCTGCGTCTCTTCCCCCGGCCTGTGGTGGCTTTCCAAGCCGGCTCCTTTCTAGCCTCACGCCCCCGGCAGACTCCTTTTGCTGAGAAACTGGCCAGGACTCAGGCCGTGGAGTACTTTGGAGAGTGGATCCTGAACCCCACCAACTACGCCTTCCAGCGGATTCACAACAGTGAGTCCCCGTCCCTCTGTGCCGCCCCACCTCCTGTTTTGTCTTCCTGATGGCTCTTCCCTTTGCGCTCTCCTCTGCCAGTCTGCAGGCTGCCCCTGCCATTCTGACTTTGCTTGAGACTTTCTCCCACCTTTCTTTTACATTTTGCTTGCTTTCTCTTCCCCCTGTTGCCCACTCGAGTCTCCTTTTTTCCCTCCACGGGTAGACATGTTCGATCCAGCCCTGATTGGTGACAAGCCCAAGTGGTACGCCCACCAACTGCAGCCCATCCACTATCGAGTATATGACAGCGGTTCCCAGCTGGCTGAGGCGCTGAGCGTGCCGCCTGAGCGAGACTCTGACTCTGACCCCACTGACGACAGGTGAGCAGCGCCGTACAGCGGCAGGAGGGTTCTCAAAAGGCTGGGAGACTCTCGCGAGCACAGAGGCCAGATTTCATCGGGTTTGGACAGCAGTCCGCGGAGCCGTGGGTCATGGTTCAGTTGATTGTGTGTTCGTTTTCTCATTCTCTCCCTTGTTCCCTGACCTTGAGTCGCACGTGCTCCTCTGTTGATCTTTCCTGACTCGGGTTGCCCCCTTTCTCCTGTTTTGTTTTCCTTGCTCCTCCCTCTGCAGCGGGAGCGACAGCGTGGACTATGAGGACTCAAGCTCTTCTTACTCTTCCCTCGGAGACTTTGTCAGCGAGATGATGAAATGCGACATTAACGGTGACACTCCTAGTATGTATCGGAGGAATTAGCCACTCGGGGCCGGGTTTGGGGTTCTGCGACGGCAGGTCTGCAGCTGCCATCTTTGAGGTTTTTTTTTTTTTTAAAGAATTAAAATTATAAAAATCTTTTAATTGGAGTGTAGTTGATTTACATCAATAGCTTCTACGGGACGGCACAGTGAGTCCGCCAGACATATCCTTGGGTTTTGGCAGACGTGGACCCTCTGACACACGCCGCGCTGGGGGATGCCAGCGAGGTGGCGATTGATGAGCTGCAGAATCAGAAGGAGGCAGAGGAGCCCGGCCTGGACGGCGAGAACTCTCAGGAAAACCCACCCCTGCGCTCCAGCTCCAGCACCACTGCCAGCAGTAGCCCCAGTACCATCATCCACGGCGCCAGCTCTGTACGTGATGACCCGGAGGAGGAGATGAGTGAGAACTGTGACTTGGGATGTGGGTGCCTCCTCTCTGTTAGGAAAGCTAGGGTGAAACTGTTCACTTAATTTGCTACTTTCTCCGCGTTTCCCCCTAGCCTCCTCTCCGTAGAGCCTGTAGTTTAGAGCCTATGAGATACAGTCTGACCCCAGAAGTGAGCTGAGATCTCCCCCGTGCGTAATCTGCACAGAGAACAGGGGTGTCACGGAGATGTTTCTCACACACTCCTCAGGCTCAGAATCTACCAGGCCTGGCTTGGCCCCGCCCAGCTGAGAAAGACGGGGAGGCACCCCAGGTGCCAGGTGACTGCTTTGTATTTAATATGTCCCCAGGAACCTGCCGGCTCAGCGGAGACAGATGAGAAGGCGGCAGGAGGCGTCCTCAAGTCCCTGCCCACCGTGCCTCCTGGCGTGGGCAAGTGCAGCGCGGACAGCCGTCAGACAGAACCCGGAGAGGGGTGGGTGCGCCGGCGAGCCTCTGACAGTCCGAGCCTGCAGCCCCAGTTTGGCTCTCCCCCAGAGGAGGACGACGAGCCGGGGGAGAGTTACGCCCCCCGATTCAGCCAGCACACCAGTGGCCAGCGGTGAGAGCCTGCGGGTTCCCCCAGGGGTGACGGGAGGGCCTCACCCCCGTGGGCCCCGGGGCGAGGGTGGGCCAGGAAGTCCCGGCAGCCCGAAGGCATCCCCAGAGGCTCGTGCTTTGCTCTAGCCCTGTAGGGACTGCGGGGAGGGAGTGCAGTGTAGAGTCAGGCCCGTCCGCCCAGGACTCGGCAGCCCTGCCTGGGGGCTCAGAGGCGCCCCTGTGTGTTCAAGGGCTCAAAAGCTGCTGCGGCCCAACAGCTTGAAACTGGCAAGTGACTCAGACGCAGAGTCGGACTCTCGAGCGAGCTCGCCCACCTCCACTGTCTCCAACAACAGCACGGAAGGCTTTGGGGGCATCATGTCTTTCGCCAGTAAGTGCCTGCAGCTCCTGCCCGCCTCGGTCCCATCTCCAGTCCGGCAGGGCCTGGCCACAGCAGATGTTCCTAACAACTTCAGACATGGGGCTGGGTTGGCATTGTCAAGCTCCTCCTCAGGTCCTTTGAGCGATGCCAAGTGAGGTATTTTGGGGGGAAGTCAACAGAGAACAGGGACAGGTTAGTCATTGTCTTTATGCCTGGAAGTTTCAGTCTGTTTCAGGGTAAGACAGCTGGCTGTTGAACTGAAAAGGAATCATTTTATTAAAATCATAACCCTTGTACACATATCTCTTGGAAACGTTGTGGTCAAATTTGATTTGGGATTTATGTCTAATACCTTCTCTGCCTGGGGGAAGGACTTTTTCACGCACATGCCCTGAAATCTATGTGACATTGGCTTGTACACAGAGAATATTACCAGAAATGAGGGTGGTGTCAGTTCAAGATTAAAGACAGACTAGGGGCCAGAGAAGGCCATCATGGGGGGATCATTGTGATGGTGAGGTTTTTTTTGTTTTGTTTTGTTTTGTTTTAAGAAGCCAGGAAGGGACAGTACCAACGTCAGACCAGAAGTGCATTATCTGCCAGGCGTTTGCGCTGGGCCGGCAGTACAGGAGAGGCTTGGGTGTTACCATGGGAGGCAGCCAGGGAAAGTGCTTCCTGGGGGTTCTGAGCGTTCCTCGCAGTAGCCCTTTTGTTTGCTCTAAGTTAGCTGTGGTCCTTTCTAAGCTTAGGTGAGAGACTCTGGGATTACATCTGAAGAGGAGGAGGGTGGAGGTGGTGCTCCAGCTCCTGGAGGGGAGTGCTCTGACGCTTCCCCCTGCCCCTGACACATGGCTCTCGCCCGCCCCCCTGGACAGGCAGCCTGTATCGGAACCACAGCACCAGCTTCAGCCTCTCAAACCTCACGCTGCCCACCAAAGGAGCCCGAGAGAAGAGCACACCCTTCCCCAGTCTGAAAGGTGACTACCGCCCTCCTTCTGCCAAGCCAAGGTCCTCCGGGAAATATTTCAGGCCCGTGGGTGCTTGTGAGGAACCCCGTGTATGATGAGTTATCTGACCTGGCCGTTGCCTCTCACACAGCGCTTCTCATGGCTCTCACTGCACATCCTATGAGTTCTCGCTGGTTTTCAGGTGGAAACTGTCTTTCGTAGCTAAAGAGAAGGCCCTGTCGTATCATTTAGGATAATGGCAACTGGGGGATTACTGCTGCTTCCGGGGGCGACCTTTGTCTGAACCACATGATCCACATAGGGATCGTTGGCTACCACCAGTCTTCTGCCAGGTTCCTGCTGCGTGGACTTAAGACAGACTCCATCCTAAGGAGCTGACCCACTAGGGTATGGTTGTGAAAAGACTGGCAGTGTTTACAGAGTCAAGAAACCTCTTACTTTGGCTTCCTGTCAGCTCAGGGCCCTGTGAGTGTAGCATTGGTTGGCATCGAGGGGCAATTAAGACCTTACTGGATTTTCATTTGTGATCTCCCGACAGTTTGACGGGCTCTTCTGAATGTACTCTGACTTTTGTTTGTTTCCTTTGGGGTTTGTGCTGAAATATGTAATCAAAGAAGAAAGCCCAGTGAGCAGCAGTTTCGTGTATTTTCTAACTGATCTGTCTCCCCACCAGTTAGTAAATGTTAGAGATCTTAGGAACGTTCTTTGGTGGGGATGGGAGCGTAGGGTAGATGGGCAGAAGGACATCACGGCTAGGGGTGTGTGTAGGGAGCTCACCAGGCCTGCAGGGCGGATCGGCCCAGGCGCGGCAGGTTAGGGACGGAGAGGCAGCAGCATTGCTGGCTCTCGTTTGACACAGCTGCCGGGGACAGGTGTCGCCACGCTCTCATCGCATGCCATGCCGGCGCTTCACTCCATCCGCTGCACTCGTCCCTTCCACCCGCTCCCATCCTCAGCCCCGCCCACTCCCCACGATGCCATCGACACGTTGGGGCACTTCCCTCTGCCTCCCTGTGGGCCCTCCGACGCCCGTGCTGGATGTTCCATGAAACAGCTCTCTCTCATGCATGCGTCTGTTGAGTACCTAAAGGCTCCTGGTGTCGTTCCCCTGCCTCTGGCTCGGAGAGGCCACAGTCTTAGGACAGTCTTTCCTAGAGCCTGGGTTTGTTCCCCTTGGCCACTTGGCTTCCAGCCCCTGGAGGTGCCCGAGAACGAAGGTCACATGCACTCAGCTTCGGGAGGATGCTCAGACAATCTGACTGACAGCTCCATCGTGGGGTGCAGGGTGGTGGTATCATGGTGCACCTACTAATTGTGTATTTTGTGTCCCAGTATTTGGGCTAAATACTCTAATGGAGATTGTTACTGAAGCCGGCCCCGGGAGTGGTGAAGGTGGGTCTTGCCCATGAGCTCTGCATGATCTTTTTTCTCCTAGCATCTCCTGTGCCTGCCCAAGGGCCATCCTCCTCCCGGAGCAAGCGGCATCACGCGAGTGGCCCGCCTTGCCCTGCCCCCCCATGCTTGCCCGTGGGGCGCGCTGCTGGTGCATGTGGAGCGGCCTGAGTCTCCATCCCCACCTCCTCCACGTGGCTGGTCTCCACCTGTGTGTGTGTGACACCCTGGGGCCGCCCGCACCCAGCCCTTCCAGGGAATGGGTGCAGAGCATGGCTGCCCCGGGGGGCTGTGCTGACCCTCGCTCCTAGACCCCCAGGAGTGATGCCTGTCTCCTTCTGCCTCCCTGACTGCAGGAAACAGGCGGGCCTTAGTGGACCAGAAATCATCAGTCATTAAACACAGCCCAACCGTGAAAAGAGAGCCTCCGTCACCTCAGGGTCGATCCAGCAATTCTAGGTAATAAAGGGCAGCGCTGTTTTGTTTTGTTTCCTGTGTAAATATTGACTTATTTATTTGGCTGCACTGGGCTTAGTTGTAGCACTCGGGACCTTTGATCTTCGCTGTCACGTGGGATCCTTAGTTGTGGTACATGAACTCCCCAGTAGCAGCATATGGGATCTAGTTCCCTGACCAGGGATCGAACCTGGGCCCGTTGCATTGGGCACTCCCAAGAAGTCCCCAGAGCTGTTTAAAAGGTTCTCAGATGGAGGTAGCGATTCCTGTACCAAACATGAGGGGTGCTGAAGAGAGAGAGAGAGAGAGGTGAAATCTCTTCCCACTCTGACTCGGCCCCCATGAGGCAGCTGTGGCTTGTGGTGTAGAGGAGGGTGGGACCACTGCTGGGTCCTTGGGCCCACCCGGCCGTCTGGAGGGGTGGGCTTCGCAGTGCTTTGGAAAGTGGCAATGTGTTTTTGCCCCCTGGCGGCAAACATCTAGTCTGGTGAAAGTGGGGGATGCTCTGCCAAGGAGCTGCTGACCCCAAAAGTGGTGTGTGGACTGCCCCCCCCCCCCCCCAAGTGAGAACCAGCAGTTCCTGAAGGAGGTGGTGCACAGCGTGCTGGACGGCCAGGGCGTCGGCTGGCTCAACATGAAGAAGGTGCGGCGGCTGCTGGAGAGCGAGCAGCTGCGCGTCTTCGTCCTGAGCAAGCTGAGCCGCGCGGTGCAGTCCGAGGACGAGGCCCGGCAGGACGTCATCCCGGACGTGGTCAGTGCTGGGGCCCGGGGACCGGGGGCCGCCTCCCCGGAGAGAGCGGTGCCCACTCTCGGCCCTGGGCTGTCGTTGCAGGAGATCAGCCGGAAGGTGTACAAGGGCATGTTGGACCTGCTGAAGTGCACGGTCCTCAGTCTGGAGCAGTCCTTCGCCCACGCCGGCCTCGGTGGCATGGCCAGCATCTTCGGGCTTCTGGAGATCGCCCAGACCCACTACTACAGTAAAGGTAGGGGTGGGACCAGCAGGGCGGCATGCTGTCCGCAGAGAAGGAACCCGGCCCCTTGACAGGATTCCCAGTGCCAGGCTGCTTCCTGTGAGGCTCTGGGCTTTTCTAGCGCATGTCTTTATGTGGCGGGTATTCTGCTGTTGGGGCGGAGAACGAGGCCTGCTTTTCTTTCTCTGCACTTCTTCCCTTCCACCTTCTCCTCTGTCCTCGCTTCTCCCACCTCATTCCACACCTGGACTCTCTCTTTTTTTTGAAAAAGAAACATTTACTTATTTGGCTGCGCAAAGATGTCTCAGTTGCAGCATGTGGGATCTCATTCCCTGACCAGGGATCGGACTCGAGCCCCCAGCTTTGGGAGCTCAGGGTCTTAGCCCCTGGGCCACCAGGGAAGTCCTCTCTGTCTCTTTTGACCTCTTCGTGTGTTCATCTTTTCCTCAGAACCAGACAAGCGGAAGAGAAGTCCCACAGAGAGCATCAGTACACCGGTTGGCAAGGATCCTGGCCTGGCTGGGCGGGGGGACCCAAAGGCCATGGCTCAGCTGAGGGTCCCCCAGCTGGGACCTCGGGCACCAAGTGCCCCAGGAAGGAGTCCCAAGGAGCTGGACACCAGAAGCCTAAAGGAAGAGAACTTTGTGGCATCTATTGGTGTGTATCACGTGTTGAGTGAGCTGGAGGAGTTCTGGCTTCTTCAGTGTCCCTGCCTCCTTTCAATTCATCCAGAATCCCGCCTCTCTCTTCCCCATGCTTTGCTTTCCAGACAGGGAGGCGGATTTGTGTCCATTTCTAGCCATGTCTCTTTATACTTCTCTGTCCCTTATGCTTTGTTTACAGCCACCCTCACCTGAGCCTTAAAGGAAGAGTGGGAGTTTTGCTTAGGGGCCCCCGTGGACCTTAAGAGCCGGAGTCTGAGCTGGACTCCCCGTCCCCCCTCTCTCATTTATGCTGGGGTTGCTTCACGCGGTGGAGAGCTCCTGGAAGCTGCAAGGCCGTTCATAGCTGCGTCTCTGGGCTGCGACACTGTGATTGTCTGGGTCTCTACAGCCAGCTTCCACCCCCATCCAGCCATCACACTGCCCTCGGACTTGCTCCTCTGGGGCATGTCCGGCCACCTCATCTCCCTGGGTTCTAGACCTTGAGGTGCAGAGTTCTGAGTCAGCTCTTCCTCAGTGGACTTGATACTAGCGCTAGCTTTACGTGTGGTATTTCTCCATTCCCACTGAGGCAGTGCCTTGATGAGCTCTCAGGACATCTGTCTGACTCACTCGCCACCTGACCTGGACTCATCTAGATGGTACCTCTCTCTTTCTGGTTCTAGATCCCTGGGGAACATGCTTCTAACTGAAGCGTGTTTTTGCCACATCCATGAGCCAATAACTTTTACTCCCTTAAATGGTAATGCGGAGCCAGTTTCCTTTTTAGGAACCTGGCCTTCTCTAGCCGGCAAAATAGTTTCCTCGAGGCAGCCAGCAAAGCCTATCTCCTATCTGTTGTGACGCTCTAGAAACTGACTGACCCGCCAGTTTGGAGACCTGGAGTTTTAATCCTGGATCAGCTCCTAGCAAAGAAAATTACTTTGGACAGATCGCTTCCCTTTCAGGGTCTGTATCTCCTCACCTGGGAAGCAAGGAGATTGGACCGAGTAGACTTTATAGTTCTTTCAAGAAAAGAATTGCCGTGATGACTATTCCCTCTTCTCTACCCCTACTAAGATGCTCTTCTTGACCATTTAGGGTTCTCTGTCCACCTCTACTGGCTAAGGTGGGTCTTTTGGCAGGGCAGGCACTGATTCTGAGGGTAAGTTGGGTTTTTTGGTAGCAACAGGGAAGGATGCTAACTGCCTGCACAGGTGGCCTCTGTCCAATCCAGAGAAGCGCCCAGATTTGTGCTGATGCTTCTGAGACCCTTTGACTGCATGAGGTGATCATCTGTCTGATCTGGAATCTTTAAAATTTGCTGTTGCCCGGCTCATTTGGCAGAGAGAGCACAGTGTGGTGGAAGTTTCCCTTGGTCCAGGGTTACGTGATCTTGAGCAAGCGCTTCAGCCTCTTTGGGATCAGCTTCCTCGCACCAGAATGAAGGAGCTTGATTAAATGCTTCTCCAGCTCTGATATTCGGAAGGATTTTTACTGACGCATTGAGACGAGGAAAGGAATTTAGTTCTTGAGCTGGGTGGCGGGGGGGTAGGCATTAGATCTCTTGATGTTTCACCCCCCCTCCTCCCCTCAATGAAGATCTCTCTTGATCTCTTGATTTGTAGTCCTGTGCCTGAGACGGAAGCAGCTTGGGTGGGTGGGGTTTCCATTTCATCTGTCTGACCAGCCTCTGACTCTCTCTGTCTTTCTCTCCTGCTTACATTGCATCTGGGGTAGAATTGTGGAGCAAGCACCAGGAAGTGAAAAAGCAAAAAGCTTTGGAAAAACAGAGTAAGGAACAAATGCCCCTTCCCGTTCCCAAGTCTCCCATACCTGCCAACTCCCCAGGCCCAGTCGGGGCAGGCTCCCTTGGTCAGCCCCAACCCAAATTTGTTCTTGGGGGGTATTTGGAACGAAAGCAGGTAGGTGGTGTGTGACGCCTAGGTATGTGCTCGTAGGCTGCTTCCGCCCCTTCCCCTTGTGGTAAACCAGGCGGTGATCAGGGCATCCGCTGCATAAAGGCCCCCAGAGCTGGGTTCTCTGTCGCCCCAGAGTTGGTGGGGAGAACGCTTGCCTGCTTCAGCACCCCCCATTGGCTGAATCTCCCGCGCCCACTGGAAGGCCTGTGGGCACAGTTGGCAGAGATGGTTGCTGTCCCTCCGTGTTGAGTCTGCAGCTTCCCGACTCTCTCTGGTTGCTTGCCTAGGCACGCTTTCTCGCTTTCTGTCATTCTGTCCTTCTGCCATACCATTGTGGATGGGTGGGAAAGACGGGGGTGCCTTTTAACCTCGAACTAGAAGCTGGGGGGGTGGGTAGTGTCCACGGAAACAGCTGGTGCTGTCTAATCTCCCTGGGCTCCTCTTGCTCCGGTCCCTTCAGACATATTTTTGGGAAAGCACAGGGGTCGGGGGCCCCTTAAAGGCTCTCCGGCCCCAGTGAAGCACTGACCCTGAGTGCAGTGGAGCGTGGTTTGTTTGTGTAACTTTTCCTCCTTAGGGTGATTCGGTCAGAGTCTTCTCAAGTTGAGAAGATGGCTGCAGAACCCCTTGAGACCAGATCTAATTTTCCCCTACCTAGTTCTTAAGGCATCTGGGGACGTCTTTTTCCAGCGGGGCCCGAGTGAGTGGCAGTCCCTGGAAAGGTGACTGGGACACGCGGAACAGGTCTGGGACCAGGCCGTGCCTCTGTCCCACTCCCTTGGCCAGCCTGCCCCTCACCTGTATGCCGAGTAACACAAGTCTTCCCCTCCTCAGGGCCTGACGTAATCAAACCCACCTTTGACCTTGGTGAGACCGACGAGAAAAAGTCCCAGGTCAGCGCAGACAGTGGTGTGAGCCTGACATCGGGTTCCCAGGTTTGTGACAGCCTTGTTCAGAATCGTGAGCGTTCATAGTTCGCTATCTCAGAATATTTCTTTAAGACCAAAACAAAAAGACAACCTTGAAACATCATGAATATCCAGTCGCAGAGGAATGATGAAATGAGTGTAATACATTGATGTAACGGAGAAGGAAATGGCAACCCAGTCCAGTGTTCTTGCCTAGAGAATCCTGTGGACAGGGGAGCCTGGTGGGCTGCCATCAATGGGGTCACACAGAGTCGGACACGACTGAAGCAATTTAGCATGCGTGCATGCATTGGAGAAGGAAATGGCAACCCACTTCAGTACTCTTGCCTGGAGAAGCCCAGGGACCGAGGAGCCTGGTAGGCTGCTGTCCATGGGGTCTAAGAGTCAGACACAACTGAGCAACTTCACTTTCACTTTTCACTTTCATGCATTAGAGAAGGAAATGGCAACCCACTCCAGTGTTCTTGCCTAGAGAATCCCAGGGACGGGAGAGCCTGGTGGGCTGCCGTCTATGGGGTCGCAAAGACTTGGACACAACTGAAGCGACTTAGCAGCAGCAGCAGTATCCATGTAATACAATATTCAGTTCAGTTCAGTCGCTCGGTCATGTCCAACTCTTTGCGACCCCATGAATCGCAGCACGCCAGGCCTCCCTGTCCATCACCAACTCCCAGAGTTTACTCAAACTCATGTCCATCGAGTCGGTTACACCATCCAGCCATCTCATCCTCTGCTGTCCCCTTCTCCTCCTGCCCCCAGTTCCTCCCAGCATCAGGGTCTTTTCCAGTGAGTCAACTCGTTGCATGAGGTGGCCAGAGTATTGGAGTTTCAGCTTCAGCATCAGTCCTTCCAGTGAATACCCAGGACTGATCTCCTTTAGGATGGACTGGTTGGATCTCCTTGCAGTCCAAGGGACTCTCAAGAGTTGTCTCCAACACCACAGTTCTAAAGCATCAATTGTTTGGCTCTCAGCTTTCTTCACAGTCCAACTCTCACATCTATACATGACCACTGGGAAAACCATAGCCTTGACTAGACGAATCTTTGTTGGCAAAGTAATGTCTCTGCTTTTTAATATGCTGTCTAGGTTGGTCATAACTTTCCTTCCAAGGAGTAAGCATCTTTTAATTTCATGGCTGCAGTCACCATCTGCAGTGATTTTGGAGCCCAAAAATATTAGTCTCCATTAATGACTGTATTTTCAAAAATTTAGTGACATGGGAAAGTATTTACAAAGCTACATACAGTGTGATTCAGATTTTACTTTTAAAATATACATAGGAAAGACTGAAAGAAAGTATGTAAAGACTTAATAACAGTGATTAATGTGGGTGGTAAGTTTATGGGCTTTTTTTTAAATTTCCTTATTTCTTTCACATATTTTCCATAGTGAGCACATATTTGTTTTACATTCATTGTTTTTCTTATTCTGTAAGCCATATATATTTTAAATTCAGGAAAAAAAGCTGATTTCTCATGACCTATCCAGGGATGACAATAGAAGGGTGGGGATGGGAGGAGGAAGAAGATACAGTGTTTCTTAGGGAAGCTGAGAGTGGATGGGCCAGCTCCCTACGGTGTCTGAGTCAGCGTGTCTTGTTTCAGAGGACTGATCCAGACTCTGTCATCTGTGTGAGTCCCGCCGTGATGATCCGAAGCTCAAGTCAGGACTCTGAAGTTAGCACCGTGGTAGGGGAACACCAGGATGGCACCTTGGTGGGCGGGGTGTGCATCCCCCTTTGGAAGAAGGGGTTCCCTCTCTCCTGTGGAGGCTGTTCTTAGTATCAGGTCATTCAGCTTGGTTCTCTTGGTGGAGACGTGTACCTGTCATGGGTCTTTGTTCATGGGATCAGACCCCAAGATTTCACCCAGGGCTCTTCCTCCTCTTGTAAAGAAGGTACTTCCGGAGGCTATCTTAACACGCCTTTGAGGCTGGGTCCTTCTTTTCTTCATGGCAGCAGAGAGCTCTAACACGCTTGGAATCTCTGTGACGCACCCCTGGGGAGACCCCTTAGCAGCTTTCTTCCTTTGCAGGTGAGCAACAGCTCCGGAGAGACCCTGGGAGCAGACAGCGACCTCAGTAGCAGCGCGGGCGATGGCCCAGGCGGCGAGGGCAGCACCCACTTGGCAGGCTCTCGGGGCACCTTGTCTGACAGTGAGATCGAGACCAGCCCTGCCACCAGCGCTATCTTTGTAAGCACTGTTCACTGGGATGGGGCTAGGTTAGAAAAGGTTGAAAGTTAGGAGGCAAAAGGGAAGGAAGGCATGGATAACCTTTGTATATCTGACCCTCAGGAAAATGTTTCTTAAATTAGCTCTTTTCAGAGTCATCCGATGCCATGCTCTGGGACTTTGGGAACCATCTCCTGAATCATTGATGAGTTAGGCTTCCTGCCCAGTGACGTAAGGGCTTTGACTCCTATGTGGCAATAACCCCCGTGTTTAAAATAAACAAAGTGATGCCTTTGTGGCCATGTCAGGGCAACTGCGGCTCTCATTTTGTCCCAGTCAGCCTGTTTTTATTCTGGTCACTGCTTTGTTTTCGTAGCATCTTAAAATAGCATTTCATTTTCATGTATTCCTAACAGTTATTCAAAGCTTTCCTTCATGAATAAACATCTATTAAGTGATTGACTAAATGCCAGATTCTGTAAGTAAGAAAGAATCAGGGATGACAAGGCATGATTCCCCTTCTCAAGAAGTTTGCAGTTCCGTATATTGCTATGACCGATCTCTTCTGATAGGTGAGGGGAAAAAAAAAAGATCTAGCCCTAGGTTATACAGTAAGCCAGTGATCAGCTGGAATTAGAGTTATTTTTAGTCCCTGTCTGTAGACACACGGCCCTGCAATGTATACAGGCGTCCACAGGCAGCGTTAAGGGTTCTGACACTCGTGCCACGTGGTTAGGCGGAGCTGAGGATGGGTGTTCTCCACCTGAGCTCAGAGGTCCTCACCTTTGGTCTGTGGGGAGAATGGGAGAAGAAGTTTAAATGAAATAAATCACACAGCCCTGGCGACCACTCTCACCCCAGGGCCCTGTGTAGCCCTGCTTCTGACAGAGCCAGTAACATCCCAGCGTGGAGGGTGGGGTAGGATTGAGTCCGCAGAGCCGTTCACGCTCCTGGACTGTAACTGGCCCTGAGTCTGAGCAGACCCTTTTAATTAGGAGCACCTCAGATCCTTCTGGTGCACTTCTGTTCTGGAGCTGAGGTACGTGCTGCGCCACAGCGGTCTTGCAAGAAGCCACTCAGCTGTGGGCTCCTTTTCCTGGCACCTTCCCGGAACAGATTCTCACTTGTCCTGTGCTTCTGGGTAAGGGCGCTTCCTGCAGTTGAGTTGCAGAGAGCAGTGACCTAAATTTCTTGGCTCAAAAAAATAGGCTGTTTCGGCAAGAAATAACATTACACTAAGGTAATACAGTTCCCCAAACAAAGCCTTGGCTGTGACCCAGGTAGCTGGCGTTTGGACATGCTCATTAGGTATTTGTTGCCCAGGACCCTCTGATTGGAGGCTGCTTCTGCTTATGCTGCCTCACATGTTGTGAAATGGGCGTGAGAGCTACCCCTTCCCCAGCTGAAAATCTTTCCCGGATGAACATAAAGCCTAATGTTGTGGAAGTGGCAGATAAAGTGGTATTTTTATGTGGGAGGATATTTCTAAGAGATGCTAAGAGAGAAAACATTAACATTTGTCAAATGCCAGCCTTGTGCCAGTGGTAAAGAACCTGCCTGTCGGTGCAGGAGGCGTAAGAGACGTGGGAGTCGGATATATTCCTCTGGAGGAGGGCATGGCAACCACTCCAGTGTTATTGCCTGGAGAATCCCATGGACGGAGGAGCCTGGCGGGCTACAGTCCATGGGATCGCAAGGAGTCGGACACGACCGAAGCGACAGAGCACACGCATGTGTGCCAGGCACTATGCGTGATTTATGTGTCTTTTCTCATTTAATCCCTGGAATAGTCCTGTTGAGTGGGTATTATAACCTTCCTTTTACAGATGAAGAAAATGAGTCTGAGAAGCTAATAAGTTTTGTACCAAAGATCACACAACTAGTAAGAGGCAGGGATCTGATTCTTGGTTATTCTCAGTTTAAACCCAGTATTCTTTTCACTGTGTCACGCTGCTACAGAGAATTTGTCTAATTTTTAAGAGCAAAGAGTCTTATAGAAACGAGGTAGTAAAAATTAAGTAAAAATGAAAGCTCGATTACATGTTTTGGGAAGCAGTAACAGAAAGCAGTATTATCAAGTTGACTTCTCTTTTAAAAGGTTTATTTATTTTTGGCTGTGCTGGGCCTTTGCTGAGTGAAGGCTTTTTCTCTATTTGCGGTGCATGGGCTTTAGGGAACACAGGCTTAGTTGCCCCGTGGCATGTTCCCAGACCAAGGATCAAACCCATGTCCCCTGCATTGGCAGGTGGATTCTTAACCACTGGACCACCAGGGAAGTCCCAGGTTGAGTTCTGACTGAGGCGAGCAGAGTGGCCAAGGCAGGGCTGCTGGTATACATGTGGCTAATGATGGTGACCAACGTGTGAGCCTCTCTTATAAGCTGCTGGGTTTACTTTGCCCCGGTCCCTTAGTGCTTCGGGCAGCTGACCTGTTGCCTCTTCTCTCTAGGGTAAAGCCCATAGCTTGAAGCCAAGTGTAAAGGAGAAGCTGGTGGGCAGCCCAGTTCGCTCTTCTGAAGATGTCAGCCAGCGAGTCTACCTCTACGAGGGACTCCTAGGTGAGCAGCAGACCGAGAAGGCCTCTTGCACAGGAAGGAAGCAGGCCCCGGCCGGGGAAGAGGGTGGCACCCGGCAAGGAGCTGCATGGCCGTTGGCTGATCTCAGTGCGGATGTGAGAGGGCGTGTTTATATCTGAAGCCGGCGACTGTCTGGGTCTGAGAGAGGAAAGCAGTGGGGGAACACTAGAAGAGACTGAAGCTTGGTGTTAATCAACAGTCTGTCTTTCTGTCTTCTTTTACTTTCTTGCTACCGTGGTCCTTCCTGCTCACAAACTGGCAGGAAGGGACAAAGGATCGATGTGGGACCAGTTAGAGGACGCTGCTATGGAGACCTTTTCTATAAGTAACCACCTTTCTGTGTGTGCTATTCATCCCTCCTCCTTGGGAGGGACTGGGCCTCACTTGGAGGCAGCCGGGGCTGGTGGCAGGAATGCTGGATCTGGGGTGGCGAGTCTGCTGTTTCCTTTGCTCTGGAATTTGTGAAGACTCCCTTCCTAACTGGAATTGACTCTTTATCTTAGTTTGGCAGCCGCCTTCTTTATATGTTATATAAGCCCCTCAGAAACCCTCTCTTCCACACAGGCAAAGAGCGTTCTACTTTATGGGACCAAATGCAGTTCTGGGAAGACGCGTTCTTAGATGCTGTGATGTTGGAGAGAGAAGGAATGGGCATGGACCAGGGTCCCCAGGAAATGATAGACAGGTGCGAGGTTTATAAACCCTTGGAAAAGGCAAATTTGGTCCCTTCCCCATTAATTCTGCATCCTCCCACCTGGGGGGCTGACGTGCCCTGGTCTCCCGTTCAGGTATCTGTCCCTGGGAGAACACGACCGGAAGCGCCTGGAGGACGATGAAGACCGTTTGCTGGCCACACTCTTGCACAACCTCATCTCGTACATGCTTCTGATGAAGGTAGCGTTGGTTTTGCTTAGGCCTAGCTACTGCCAATGCTGAGGACAAGGCTTATTCCTGTTGCCTGGATCCCAGTGCAGTCAGGAAGCAGTCAGGGCGTCCTGCTAGGGCCCTCTTCCTCATTGAAGGTCTGAGGCCTCTCTGCAGCTCAGTTATCCTCTTCTCTGAAGCGGCCAGGCTGCTGTGTGCTGGAGAGTGATGTAAAGGGGATGATGATGGCGTGCCACTTATTTCTTTTGAATTTTCTGTGGGCTTCCTTTCCTGAATAGTTTTAGGATGCCTATCGAAATCCCCACAGGATTCAGTGGAAAAAGAATTTTTTTTAAAGTAGTAGATTCTGAAACCTTAGAAAGGATGCTCAGAATTTACTTTTCAGCACTAGTCTATCATGTAGACTTTCCCATAGATGTAAAAAGGACTGCTCATTAGAAAAGTAGTGAATAGCAGGTTCTAGTTTGACTTGGTTATATTTGGTTTTTATAGCTGTGGGAGAGAACTGTGTTCCCAAGTAAAAGAAAGGACCTGGTGGGTAGAAGAGAGTTGTTTTGAGAATGAGTTCCTGGGTTTTTCCTCTGCCTCTTCTCCCAGCCTCTCTTAATGTGAAGACATGACTTGATCCAGTGGAGGGAATACTGGTCACTGTCACTCTTGGTTATTAAGGTCCTGTTTTGGTTTTCCAGGTAAATAAGAATGACATCCGGAAGAAGGTGAGGCGCCTGATGGGAAAGTCCCATATTGGACTTGTGTATAGTCAGCAAATCAATGAAGTCCTTGACCAGCTGGCCAACCTGGTGAGCACGTCTCAGTCATTCTTCAGGGTCCTCCCATCACACTAGTCAGCTGCCCAGGTGTGGGCCCCCAGGCCTGATGGAGAGGCTTCCCTGTAGGTCGTTTTATGGCTCAGATATTTTCAGAATTCCTAGTTCTGAACATAGGGCTTGGACTCTAAATGAGGTGTTTGCCCTTCTGTGATAGGAGTCTCTGCACTGAAATCATCCTAGTGCAGCCTTTTCAACATCTGTGTGGTCTGTGGACCCCTGTGGATCCACAAGGAGAATACTGCTTTCTTGACAATACTGAAGTGTTATTTGCTTTTTTTACTGGGTTGATGTGCACACTAATGGTTCAGAAGCAGTAGTGGGTAAAAACCGCTGGTGCCTTAATACAGTGTAGACAGTGGCACCAAACGTGCTGGTGTCGCCACCTCTGCACTCGCTCGGTTAAAAAGACTTTGAAAAGCCAGCTTACTTGTGAGTGTCCTCGATGAAGCAGTTAAACTCATCAGTTTTCTTAAATCTGATTACTGATTATACATCTTCTTAACATTCTGTGTGGCAAAATGAGAAATACACAGAGAGCATTTCTGCCGCAAACCAAAATGCAATGATCATTTCGAGGAAAAGCAGTTTGTGATAATTTGAGTTGCACAGTGAACTGGCAGCTTTGTTTATGGGACATCATTTTCACTTGAAAGAATGACTAACCAACTATCATTGTTTGGAGTTGGGTATTCAGCAGACTTTTGTGCTCGAAGCTTCCCAGTATTTAAAGGCTTTTCTAGTGAGACTGGTGATGAAATTAATGAATGTGATTTTTTGATATTATGTTATGAAATTTGTCAACACTTGAAAGAGCTTCATAACTTGAAAAGCCAGTATTTTCCAGATGCCCAATGTGTGGTGTTGCAAATTCAACTAACCACTCCAAGCTTAACTCCAAGTGTAAAGCAGACAAATGGATCATAATGTAATGAAGTACAAAGTGTTCACCTATGTGTTTTCAGATCCCACATTGCAACTAAGTTTAAGAAAGTACTTGCAGTTCTAGTATAGCATCAGAGAAGACTATACATATATATATGGAAAGCCTAGTAGAATACGCCTCCCTTTTCCAGATACATATCTTTGAAGTCAGATTTTCTTTAATACACCTCTGCCAAAGCAACATGTCAGAATGGATTAAATGTAGAAGCAGATACGAGAATGCAACTATTTTTTAATAAGCCAAACATTAATCAGGTTTGCAAAAATGCAAAATAATGCTGCTCTTCACTTTTTTTTTTGTTCTGGGAGATAGAGTTATTTGAAAAACATATGTTATTTGTATTACCATGTAATGGATTTATTATTGTACCCTTGTATTCAGTCGCTCAGTCGTGTCCGACTCTGCAACCCCATGGACTGTAGCTCCTTTTCCATGGGATTTCCTAGGCAAGAATACTGGAGTACGTTGCCCATTTCCTCCTCCAAGGGATCTTCCTGACCCAGGGATCAAACTGGTATCCCTTGTGTCTCCTGCATTGGCAGGCGTATTCTTTACCACTTGTGCCACCTTATTAATGATTTACTAATTCCTTTTAAAGGAATTGGGTTTCCCTGGTGGCTCAGGTAAAGAATCTGCCTGCAATGTGAGAGACCCAGGTTCAATCCCTGGGGTTGGGGAAGATCCTCTGGAGAAGGGAATGCCTATCCACTCCAGTATTCTTGCCTGGAGAATTCCAGGGACAGAGGAGCCTGTGCAGTCTGTGGGGGTCACGAAGAGTTAGACACGACTGCGAGACTAACACTTTAAATGAATTAATAAAAACTTAAAACTTCTGTCAGTGATAATTTCTAATATGGTAAATATCTATAAATTTAACTCACAAAAACATTAGCTCTTGGGGGTCATCAGTAACGTTAGAAGAATCCTGAGACCAAGGTTTGTGAATACATCCATGGTGGCCAGTGGCCAGCAGATGGCGCTTCTCTGAGGCGACCGATAGGAATTGAGTTGCTGAATGGGGGGTTCTGGGCCCAGACTGCTCTCTGAGAGGGACGTTCAGATGTCCCTAAAGGATCTCTCTTTCTTCAGAATGGACGAGATCTCTCCATCCGGTCCAGTGGCAGCCGGCACATGAAGAAGCAGACATTCGTGGTACATGCAGGGACAGACACAAATGGAGATATCTTTTTCATGGAGGTAGGTGCTGCTGGTTCATGTCCAGAGGAGCGTTTGAAAGTCACAAGGAACTCCTAGAACAGATGCCAAGATATTTTTCCCCACTTATCTCATTCATTTTCATAGTCCATTTATCATTCATTGTCAGTTCAGTTCAGTCGCTCAGTCGTGTCTGACTTTTTGCGACCCCATGAATCGCAGCACACCAGGCCTCCGTGTCCATCACCAATTCCTGGAGTTTACTCAAACTCATGTCCATTGAGTCGGTGATGCCATCCAACCATCTCATCCTCTGTCGTCTCCTTCTCCTCCCACCTTCAATCTTTCCCAGCATAAGGGTCTTTTCCAATGAGTCAGCTCTTTGCACCAGGTGGCTAGAGTATTGGAGTTTCAGCTTCAGCATCAGTCCTTCCAATGAACACTCAGGATTGATCTCCTTTAGGATGGACTGGTTGGATCTCCTTGCAGACTCAAGGGACTCTTGAGTCTTCTCCAATACCACAGACATAAAGGTAGCACATCATATCTGCTGATCTGAACCTTTTTCTTTTTTTCATTAAACATATCCTGGAGATCTTCCATATCAGTACAAAAAGAATGTTCTCATTCTTTTTACAGCCGTGTGGTGTTCCACCATGTGACTAGACCATACTTTATTTTGCCAGTCAGTATATATACACCCTTGGTTTTCTCCCAGATTTTTATATTGTTAGTAGTGTGACTCTGGATGATGCTGTGCCTGCTTCATTTCATGCATGAAAGGAAGCTTTATCTAAGAATTCCCAGAAGTGGGATAGCTGGGTCAAAGGGAAAATGCATTTATAGTTTTGGTTGATATGACTCTAAAGTATCTCTTAACCTATAGTTTCTCTTCCATGTTGCTGTTAATTTTGTTGGGGAAAATGTGCCGTATGGAGCATCTTACATTTTAGATTTTTTTGCTGATTGCATCTCCTTAGTGTTGTGTAACATGTTTCTCTATCACTTGTATTTGTACAAACTAGTGTTTCAGTCTGGAAATTTGTTCAATTTCAGTTTCAGTATTTTGGCAAGAATAGGTGGTGCCATATATTTTCCTGTTGCCTCATATGATCAGCTCTCTCCTTGTGACCAGTGGGTTCACATGTGGGAATCTGACCTCTGCACTGCATTAGTTTTCTGATTTAACTTACGGTATTTTTTGCCGTGCAGAATTTTTTTAAACTTTTTTTGTAGTTGAATTAATCAGTCATTTATCTTCTGGCTTCTGGATTTTACGTCATAGCTAGAAAAATCCTTTCTTAATCCAGTATTATGAAGGAAGTTGGCCACGTTTTCTTCATTTCTGTGTTTTTAATTCTAAAATGGCTAAGATTCTTTCTAAGTAATTTTAGGGGCCAAGTACAGCTCCTCTGTAAAGTAGTGAAATTAGCTAACACCCTGTTGCCTTTTGGTTCAGTTGAATTTGATTTTCAGTCACAGCTTTTTGAAGAGGTATCAAACGTAGGGTGGGGTATCTGCTCTGTGGCAGAAACTTGCATGGTGAGGTAGCTGAGAAGGCTGATGTTTTCATGTCCCCTTGAAATGACAGAATTTGTGAGTGCCTGTCGGAGCTGAGGGCTACTTCGGACACCTGCTGCAGAGTAAATTTCTGCAGAGGATTCCCTGACGTGTAGGACTCACTCTCACCGCTGTACACGGAGCCTCAGACGAGGGCTGTGGAGCTTGGGGTGGGTCCGTCACCTCATGGATGCTCCGCCTTGTACCACAAAGCAGGGTCACCTCGCTCACTCTGTCAGCACCTGGCTACCATGAGGCTGTCAGATTTAACCGTTCTCAGCACAGGCTGCTGGCTGCGTGATCAGTTGGATAACAATTTGCAAAGACTTTAAAGAATCACCTTTATTGCCTTTTATTTTAATTACAAAAGTAAGAATATATGCTGGAAATGTTTCAAACCCTATAGAAGTCAACTAAGTAAAAAGTAAAAATTTTCCTTCACTTCCTGCCAATGCCATGTCTCAGAGGTAGCCACTGGTAAAGAATTTGGTGTGAATCCTTTCAGATTTTTTTTTTTAAGTGTATTTGTATAAATTCCATATAAATACTGAATTTTATTTCAGTGCTGATAAAAGTGATACCAGATTACAACTATTGTTCTATAATTTGGCTTTTCTCACTGAATGTATCACAGATATATCCATAGTATGTCTCCATATTATAGAAATTGGTCTTTTTTAAATGGATGCTCAACCGTTAGGTTTTCTATGGATGTACCATGGTTTATTTAACTAGTCCCTCCCACTTTTTTTTTTTTAAAGCAAGGATTAACTGGTTATCCTTGAACATAAACCTTCACATACTCAGATGAGAATTTCTATAGGATAGACTGTTAGTGTGAAATTTCTGGATCAAACTATGTACAAGATAGATGGCTAATGAGAGCCTACTGTGTAACACAGGGAACTCAATGCTTGTGGTGATCTAAATGGGAAGGAAACCCAAGAAAGCGGGGATCTGTACTGTAGATGGTTCACTTTGGTGTGCAGTGGAAACTAACACAGCACCGTAGAGAAACTGTACGCCAATAAAAATTAATTTAAAAAAAGGCATTTCTGGATCAAGCTTATACACATTTATAGCTTTTTAAAAAGTTTTCATTTTGTCCTGGAGTATAGCCGACTAACGATGTTGTGATAGTTGCAGGTGGACAGCGAAGGGGCACAGCCATACAGATACAGGGATCCACTGTATACATTTGCAGTTTTGATAGATTTTTGCCAAATTGCCATCCCAAAGACTATACCAGTTCACACCTCCGCCGGCAGTGTAGGCGAGTTTGACACGTTACTACCTCTGTCTCTAGCGTAGAAATCGTGTGTTCTTCTAAGTGTCTTTCCCCCCATTACATGATGTTCTTTTTAAAATTTCTTGTTTCTGGCTGCACTGGGTCTTCGTTTCTGGGCATGGCCTTCCTCTAGTTGTGGCGAGCGGGGGCTGCTCCTCCACGTGGTGCTTGGGCTTCTCATTGCAGTGGCCTCTCCTTTGTTGCAGAGCACAGGCTCTAGGTGCACGGGCTTACTTGCTCCGAGGCGTGTGGAATCTTCCCGGACCAGGGATTGAACCCGTGTCCCCTGCATTGGCAGGCAGATTTTTATCCACTGTACCACCAGGGAAAGCCTTACATGATGGTCTCAAAGGGTTATGGAAAGCGGAGTAGTGTCCTCCACCTTCCAGATGGAGGGAAGCACAGAGTCAAGCTGTGGTAGGATTCAAGTCTAAATTGCTACTCAGCTACTTCGGCCCTTGTCTTCCTCGGGCTTTTGAACTCCAGTAAAGTCTTATGTAGGTAGATTAAAGCTGATAGTCTTGTGTGTTCCTTATTCATTCACCCAATTTTTATGGGGCACATAATACAGCCAGACACTCTGCTGGGTTTGCTGGCTTTGGAGTTACAGTAGTGAATCAGGGAGATATGGTTTCTGTTGCCCTTATAGGGTTGATAAGCCATTCGGAAAGTCAGGAAATTAAACACCCAGTGTCATAAAGTATAATGAGTATTATGAGAGATTTCCAGGGGGCAGATGTCATGGGGGTACACAGCAGAAGGCCTGGGCGTTGTGGGTGATGCTCACAAGTGATCCTTGAACTTAGACTTGAAGAAGAGTTAGGACTTAATGGCTGGAGTAGGGGACGGGAAGAGTGTCCTGGGGTGTATGGGGCGGAATGGTGGGGTCTCATTCCTGGCCCAGGCAGCCAGGGGGATGGAAATGCCAGTTACTCAGACAGGGAGCTCAGAGGGAGGAGCTGCCCGGGAGATGCAGAGTTCAGAGTTGGGCAGGATGAGTTTGAGGTGCTGCCAGTGTGACACCAGCACAGAGCGTGGTCAGGACTCGGGAAGACAAGTCTCCTTTGCAGAAGGATTGGAGGATCATCAGTATGGTCGTCATAATTATTGTTTCCTACATCACAATTGTATTATTGGTATAGTAGCTGACTCTCGGGTACTTTCTACGTGCCTGGCTTTATTCTGAGAATTTTATGCACATTAACTTACTTAATCTTCACAATAACTCCATGAAGTTATTGCTGTCCCCATCGTATACATGAGGACATACAGACACGGATTAACTTGCTTAAGGTGACACAGCTAAGTAAGGTGATAGCCGGAATCTAAACCCAGGCAGTCAGATCTTAGACTGGTGCTCTTACCCATCGCGCTGAACTGCCTCCTCCACAACTGAAGGCAGATGGACAGATTCATTGGCCTGCGGGAGAATGTTGAGCAAGAAAGAGGAACTTTGTGAAGGAGAACTTCGCCTTTTAATTTATATCATCCTGTGCTGGATAACTTTTCTTTTTATTGCATTAAGCAATGTCCATATATCATTGGTGTAATTAATTTTTGAAAAGAATCTCTGCAGAACTGGAGTTGAGCCAGGGTTAGAAAATGTGTTCCTTTCCCATTTTTCCTCCTCGGTTAAGTCTGCCTCAGTCACTAAAGAGATGATCCCTAAGGTTGAAAGGTAGAGGCAGGAGATGGCCTCCGCGTACTTTACGTCCAGAACGTGTAAGAGGTAATCAACCCTGAGGTGAGACGTGGGCTTCCTTACTGGCCCACGAGTTCCTTTCAGTGGCTCCTCCTCTTGCCAGCAACCCTTCTGGTGGACGGCATGTCCAGCCGTTCAGGGTCTGCGTCTCCCCCCAATCTAGGCTGAGTGTCGGGGGAGAACCCTGACCTGGGGGATGCTCTTAGCGCCCGGCGTGCATCCGTCCCCGGGGCAGGGCGGCCCACAGTGAGGCCCGGGGCGGGAGACACCCAGGAGACCAGGGCCGCCGCCCGCCCGCAGGTGTGTGACGACTGCGTGGTGCTGCGCAGTAACATCGGGACGGTGTACGAGCGCTGGTGGTACGAGAAGCTCATCAACATGACCTACTGCCCCAAGACCAAGGTGCTGTGCTTGTGGCGCAGAAACGGCTCGGAGACCCAGCTCAACAAGTTCTACACGAAGAAGGTACCTCCCCGCCTGAGCTCCGCGTGCGGGGGGCCAGGAGGTGGGGCCGCACGTTGAGTTCCGAACGCCCGGAGGCCGCGCATCCGCGCGCCTCTGGCTGCGGGCGGGCCACCCGAGGCCGCCTCCGAGGCCCCGGGCTCGGGGCGGGTGGGGCGCCCGGGGTCCGGTCTGACCGGCCGCCCCCCCCACCCCCCACCCCCCGTGCCGCAGTGTCGGGAGTTGTACTACTGCGTGAAGGACAGCATGGAGCGCGCCGCCGCCCGCCAGCAGAGCATCAAGCCGGGTGAGGAGGGGGCGCCCGCGGAGGGCGCGGGCCTGGGACTCGCGCCCTGCGGCAGCTGACGGCACCCTCCCTCGCCGCAGGGCCGGAGCTGGGTGGCGAGTTCCCCGTGCAGGACTTGAAGACCGGTGAGGGTGGCTTGCTGCAGGTCACCCTCGAAGGGATCAACCTCAAGTTCATGCACAACCAGGTGGGTTCCAGTGGTGGCCGGAGGCTTCCAGCCCCCGCGCTGCAGGCGTCCAGTGTCCAGGTTCCCCCCTCCGCCAACGCTAGCCAGGCCTCCGGGGCTAGTGAGAGCATCCTGGCAGCTGGACCACAGGGCGATCCGTGGGGAGGGCGCAGTGACACTGGCCACCCCCACCCCGCGAAGCTGTGGCAGGGAGGCTGTGCAGGGGGGTGGGGAGAGGGGGCCGCGGTGGGAGATTCAGCTCAGTGTGAGTGGGAGCGTCCCCCAGCCCTTGTCGCCTTCCCTTGCTCCAGGGTGTGCTTTTGCTTGTGGTTTCGCTGTGAGAGTCTAGGCCGGTTGGTCCTCTGGTGCGCATGAAGCGTGTGTGTGTGTGTGTGTCTGTGTGTGTGTGTAAATTCGTCTTTTCGCCCTGCTGATCCTCCTTCCTGTTCTCTTCCTTCCTCTGAGCGCCCCGCTCTGTCCCCTGCTCCGCAGACCCCACTCCCCCGCCCGCCTCCCACCCGGGGAGCACTTCCGGATCCATCTTGCCCTCCCTGTGGTTCCACCGTAGGAGCTGACCGTTTCTTCTCTTGGTCTTCTAACTCAGCGTTACGTTTTCTCTCAGTGGACACTCCTTAAGCTAATTCCTTTCTGAGGCCCGCGCATCATCCCAGGTCCGTTCCCAGTCCTGACTTCACACAAGTGCCTTCCCTTGCCCTCCCCGAGGCTCTGAGCCAGACCCGAGTGTGCTGTGAACGCCTGGACTCTGGGGCTCCCTCCCTGCTTCCATTTTAGTTCTTCTTTCAGGACCCCCTCAGGGCAGCTCGGTGTGGTGGGGAGCAGCTGCCCAGCTTCCAGGCAGGGTACGTGCAGAAGCACTTTCACTCTGGGCCACGGTCGTGCATTAAACAGTATACTCGAGACCTGACGGTCCACCCACAGAGGGTTTACTTAAGCGGTTTTCTGGACCATGGAGGCGCCAGCAGTTGTTGGGGGCCAGGCTTCGGACTGCACCTGAAGGTTGCGGCCTCCCCCGGAGCCTCACCTTCCGAAGAACAGGTCTCAGTGAATGCGCCCCACCCTCACCTTGGTCCGCCCCCACCACCCGCCCCAGACTGACCTTGCGTCTAAGCATTACACAGTGTGTACAGGACGGTCTATGGACTATGGCTCTGCCCCAGGAGAGAGATGGTCAGACCCTGACTCTTGTTGAGATCCTGGCCTCGGGGCCTATCTTCTACCTCCTAACAGTCAGCTGGAGTGGAGGAAGTGGTGGCCCCCTGGTGGGGCTCTGCTGCAGGGGGGAAAATGTGTGGCCTCTGGAGTCAGGATGTCCTCGGATTCAGATCCCAGCTGTTATCCGCGGGCAAACCCCTTCCTGACCCTTGGCGTCGTCATCTGTGATACGCGGGTGGCCCCACACCTGTGCGTGACGCCCCACTCCGGAGACGCGGGGACAGACAGACAGTGTGTGCAGGACTCCCAGTGGGTGCTCACAGTGGTGGCTGTCACTGCCATTTCCACGCACTCCGGGGAGCACCTGGATCCCGTTTGACGGAAGATGTCCCCCACCTCCCCCAGGCCAGTGTGAGGAGAGCTTTGTGCCTGTGCCAGCCCTCGGTGCCGGAGGAGGACGCATGGCGTGGTGGAGCGCTGAGGGGCCGGGGCGGGGGGCCCCGGGGCGCCGGGTCCTGCCAGCGCTGCCCCGGGCGGAGGGTGCGGGCAGGCAGCCCAGGCCGGCAGAGGGGCCTTGGGGTTGGCTTTGACCGGTAAAACTAACACCTTCCTTTCTCTCCCATGCTTTCTCCTCCGGCCAGGAGCGGAAGGTACTGCCCTTTCTGCTGTCTTCGCTTCTTGGCGCTTTTGAGCTGTGTGTGTGTGGGTTCTCGCGCCCTCCCTTCGGGACATAGGTTTCCGGCGTGGGCTCGGGGCTGTAGCCGGGAGAGGGGGCTCTGCGGCGGAGGGGGAGCCTCTGGGCCTTACCGCTCCCTCCCTCCCTCTCTTGCAGGTTTTCATAGAGCTGAATCACATTAAAAAGTGCAATACAGTCCGAGGCGTCTTTGTCCTGGAGGAATTTGGTAATTACACTATTTTGCTCTTAGGTCTGGACTCACATGGCAGTAACTCAAACCTCGGAGCTCCAGAGGAGGGACTAGAGACAGAGAAGAAGCGCCTCTGCAGAGAGGTCAGGAGAAGCAGGAGTGTAGGGAGGACAAGAGAAGGGAGGCAGCAAGGCTAGCTGGTGCTGCCAGAGAACAGGCCCCAGAGCCGCGGCTTAACGCCGGCCCAGAGCTCAGCGCTGGTACTGCGGGGCTCCTCCAGCCAGCGCGCCTCCCCTTGCTGGGCCTGACCAGCTGGAAGTCAGAAAGTCCTGGGGGCAGAGCGGCTGAGCCATGCCCTGCTCAGCAGTGCTCGCGTAGCCCGCCTCGGTCCCTCTAGCAGCCCAGCGCCTCATCCAGCCGCCCCGGGGCCACGCCGCCGGAGGAGGGCGCACAGGGGCGCAGGCAGGCCTAGCCGCAGAGGCAGACAGCAGGATAGCCAGGAGCCAGGCCCCCCCACGCCCAGGGCTGAGCGGTGTCTGGGTTCTCACCCGGGGCTGTGAGTCCCTGCTGTGTCTGCGCTTCACTCTTTTGTGCCCCTGGTCGCTGCTATGAAAACCTTCAGTTCTCCAGCAGGTAAAGTGACCTCGCCTTGCTGCCTCCCCAGGCCCCCGCCCGCCGCCTCGGGGCCTGCGGCGGGTGGGCGGGCTCCCATCGCCAGCGTGTCTCTAACCTTCCCTCCAGCCCCTTCCTTCCCCACGTCCTCCACCCGCCACCCCCTGCGCTGGCTCACCAGTTCTGTACGCCTTCCTCTCTCCTGCCAGAGAGATGTTTTGGGGGGCGGGGGGGTCTTCTGGCTCAGGAGAAGGACCTGGGCTCCTTGTTCTACCTTGGACGAGTGTATTTACTCTCTGTTAACTCTGGGCCCCGAACTCCCCTCCCGGGGTCAGGAGGAGGAGGGGCCCCCTGGGGGCGTGACGCCCCCCACTCCTGGTCTGGGGCTGAGGCCGGGGACCGTCTTCCCTGCTCCGGCCGCGCGGCAGCCCCGCAGGGCTGGGGCCGGGGGTCCAGTCTTGCCCCTGGGCTGTGACCTGTGTGTATCTTGCCTGACGCTCCCTGTCACTCCCCCGGGTGCTGTCCTCGCCTGTCTCTCCTGCTCGGCGTCTCTGCTCCAGGGCCCTCTGACGCTCTCCCTCACACGGGCAGGCCTGGGCCTCTCCTGCCATCAGGGAAGGAAACTCCCAAGTCTGGTGGGTTTAGTGTCCCAGCCCTGCTTCGTCCCGCCTCAGGAGCCTCCGCGTCGGGGCTGGGAGCGCAGGGCGCCTGCTGACTTGGCCGGAGGGTGGGGATGGGCAGGGGGCTGAGTACTCGGGGTCCCAGCAAGGTGAGGCACAGGCTAGGAAACTGCTCTTCTACCGGCCAAAAGCTGGGCGCGCCCGCCATGGTCCTCGGGAGGCCAGGACCGGAGCGGCGGCCAGCAGGGCGGAGCCAGCCTGCGCTGGGCTGGGGCGTTGCCCGCGGGGCGAGCTGCAGACCTCAGGGCATCTGGGCCAGCGTCCCCTCTCTCCCAGGGGCTGGGCGAGGCCCGGAGGGGAAGGGGACCCTGTGCCGGGCGCCGCCGCCTGGGGGAGCGTGGCATCACTGCTCTGAAGTTTTGAACTTTCTTGTTTTGTCTCTTGCCCGTCCGGTTTTAGTTCCTGAAATTAAAGAAGTGGTGAGCCACAAGTACAAGACGCCAATGGTGAGTGTGCCGCCAGCCCCGAAAGCCGGTCTGCAGAGGGCCCCCAGGGCACTCCAGCAGGAGGGGGGCGGGCCTCGCAGGGCGCGGGGCGACGCAGTGGTCGAGGCGAGCGTGGTCTGGAGGCAGAGGTGCCGCTGGTGCAGAGTGGGGCTGCTGGCCCGCTCCAGCCTCGCGGGGCCTCCGGCTGGAGGCCGGGAGCCCCCCACTTGGCAGCCGTCCACGAGTGCGGATGGCAGAGCCCACGCCTGCGGACGCTGACCCGGCTGGTTTTCTCCCCCCAGGCCCATGAGATCTGCTACTCTGTGCTGTGTCTCTTCTCGTACGTGGCTGCGGCCCGCAGCAGCGAGGCGGACCTCCGGAGCCCGCCCCGGCCCGTCTCCAGCTGATGGCGCGCCGAAGGCTGCCCCTCGCTGCTGCCCCGGCGCGACCTCCGCGGGCCTCTCGCCGCAGCTTAGAGGCGCTCCGTGTGTGTCCCAGCGTGTCCCCCGGGGCTGAGCTAGTCTCTTCCCCTCCCATCCCTCCCCCAGGCCAGCCTGCTGTCCCCTCAGGGCTCAAGAGTGAGTGTGTGTGCGCGCGCGCGCGCGCGCGCGCCTGTCGGGCCAGTGGTTCCTGAGGACACGCAGTGCAAGCCCCCTGCCGCGTGCCGTTGAGACGTCTGTGTTGTGGTTCCCCTCGGTGACGGCGTGGCTCTCCAGGGCAGCCCCGGCAGCCCCGGGGAGCTGGGGGAGCCTCGGCGAGGGGTGGGTGGGGACAGGACGGGTCGGAGCGGCAGAGGCAGCGGGCCGCCCTGCTCCCCGGGCAGTTCCCAGGAGGCAGCGGCTCCCACGCCCCCCCCCCCCCCCACTGCAGCTGGCCACGCCGACCCACTTTCATTGCTGAGCGGCGGGTTCCCTGTGGCCTGCCCGCCTTGGCAGGAGACCCCAGGGGCTGCGGGCTGCCCCACCCGGAGCCGGGTACGGTGGGCAAGGGCCAGTCCGGGCCCCACTCGTGTGTGAGGGCGGGCAAGCCTGGGAGTGGGCGGCAGAGGGACTATAAATATTTCGGCTCCACACTATTTATAGAAGTTGTACAGAGGTGTGAATGTGAAATAAATGTCCTGAACTCCCTGCGGGTTCCTGGCTGCCGTGCATTCAGTGAGGCCCCTCAGCCCGGGTGCGGGGAGGGCCGGCCCCGGACTCCACAAAGGCACCCTCTGCCGGAGACAGTCGGGAGGTGAGATCGTGCCCGCCCCACCTCGCCCCGCGGCCTGCTCCAAGGGGAGCCCCCGGGGTGGCTGTGCTCTGAGTGCGCCACTAGAGGGAGTGGCCAAACGGCTTTGACAGGGAGCAGGCATTCAGTGGGGCCGGAAAGAGACCGAGGCTGGGTCTCAGCTCCCAGGGCGGTGTCGCGACTGCGCCAGGGCCTCCCCCAGGGCCTGGAGACCGGGAGTGTCTGAGGTGGGGCAGGACACCGAGAAGCAACCCTGGACCAGCCTCCTGAAACTTTTTTCCTATAGCATGGAAAAACCCACTCTTATCAGAGCACCTCTGAAAGCTGCTGGCTTCCTCCTCCCAAAAGGAAATCGGTGATGGGCTTCCAACTGCTGGCGGAAAAGGGGAAGCAAAGTAGGGCCCTGGCCCATACACCTGCCTGGTTCCGTCTTCTCCAGACAGGACCCTCTCCCCCCGTGCAACACAGCTGTGGGTGGGCAGCAGGCTCTTTGCCTACTGGGACCACAAAGCAGCTGGGACAGTTCCACCCCAGGGCAAAGAAACACAGACGTCCATCACTACCCCTCACCGGGCTACCGTGACCTCAGTCACCAGGACAAAGACGGCAGAGCCTGGGGTTTCTGGCCCTTTTGCTAATGATACACTTTGCTCTGTCACAGCTCATCAGTGTCTACTGAAGGTCAGGGAGACTAAGTTCCTTCTATTCATGTTTTGTGAATTTAGGATCCTATGCTGGTCCTCACTTAATTCATCCGGGAGAAAGAATACCTGCCTTCGGTTGGTTTTCAATATAAATTTCCCCACGCTTCTTGTAAAAACAGGCACCTGGGACAGGAAGAATCAGTTCTCGGTGGCCGCACCGATCTTTTATTGCCTTTACACGCTGAGAAAACTGGCAGGCCAGAAAGGCCTGTCCCCAGCCATCACTTCCAAAGCCCACACAGGGGTCTGAGAGCTTCCGCATGGAGCTCTGAGGTCAGAATGTGCCAGCTCGCCGTGACTGCTGCCCTACGGGTGCCCCCCCCCCAACTCCAGTGAACACACTTGCACACACCCAGCAGCGGGAAGGGGGCCTGTCCAGCTTCCTTCCAAGCTCCTGGCATGCGGGCCGGCTCCAGCTGCACCTGTAGTAAAGTTCCGTCTGAATGCGCCGGGCTGAAACCCTAAGAGCCTCCTGCAGCCCACTTCCTGGTGACTGCCCCAGACCAACGCGATCTGGAGCACATACCTGGCCATCCACAGGGAGCCAGCCCGGTCACTGAGGCACTGCGGGAGAGGAGGCGGCCATGCTGAATCCACTGCACCTCGAGCACCACGTGTGGCCCCGCCCCCGCCCCCGGGAAGGCTCAGCGAGCTGCTCTGGCACGACGTGCAGGGGCCAGTCCTGCCCACAAGGGCCAGGGCGGCAGCTTGGGCCAGGGTGGCAGGGCAGAAGCCCAGCGTCCCCGGGGCACCCGGCCTCGGCCCCGTGGCTCCTCACCTCGCACCTCCAGACGGCACTCGCACTGGGCCTCGCCTTCTAAGTTGGTGGCTCTGCAGACATAGACGCCCCCATCAAAGGGGCAGGGCTTTCTGATCTCCAGTGTCAACACTCCCTGCTTGCTGAACATGCGGAAGCGGGCATCTTTGCCCAAGTCCAGGCCATTCTTGAACCAGGAAATCTTGGGCTGCAGATGGGAGGGCGGGAGGGAGCTCTCAGGCTGAGGGACACCAGACGTTTCTTTCTCCTCTGAGCTCCCCCTGGAGTGAGTCCCAAACTACGGCCAAGGCCGAGGACAAACAGAGCCAGCAGGACCGTCTCAGTCCTGTTCACGGAGGGACCTGACCCCCGGGGTGGCGAGGAAGCAGGGCCAGCCTGGGAGGAGCACTGCTGGAGGGTGGGGGCCCACAGGCCGCTCTCCTGGGTCAGCCTGGACCAGCGCCCGCAGGTCCATACCTTGGGGCTGCCCCGAACGGCGCAGCAGAGGGTCGCGTTATAGCCGGCGATGACCGACCGGTTCACCAGCGGGCGGGTGAAGCTGGGGGCCTCGGAGAAGTCCAGGGCCTTGTACTTGGGTGTCTCATACTTGATGCCTGTGGGGGTGAGAACTCAGCACCCAGAGGGCGGCACCCAGCCAGGCTCGCCTCCCGACCCTGCCCAGCACCTGGTCTGGGGATAAGGACCGGCTCCTTGGTGGTGGCAGCTCTGTCGCTGGGCCCCACTGTGTTGTGACTGAAGACCCGGAAGTAGTAGCTGTTGCCGATGATGAGCTCCGACACGACGCAGTGGGTGCGGCGGTAATGCTCCAGGACGGTGAACCACTCCTGGTTGGGAGGGAAGGGAGGGTCCCCTGAGGTGGGCCCTACTTGCTGCCAGGGCCTCTCTCGGGCACCCCTGTCGTCTGCACCCTCGCTGTGGAGGGAACCAGCGCAGAGAGGAGGAGGGCCCCGCCTAAGGGCATGGAAGGGCAGCTGGGCCTGGGCAGGGATGGGGCCCGGCCCCCAGGCTCACCATGGTCTTCGTGTCGGCCTTCTGAACCGTGTACCCCCAGAGTTCTGTGTTCCCGTCGTCTTGGGGCGGCTTCCACTCCAGAGCCACATTGAAGCCCCACGCCTCTGCAACCTGGATATCCTGGGGCGGACTTGGCTTGTCTGCAGGAGACAGACTCAGGTGGAAGCCCACGCCTCTGACAGTACAAGCAGGGGACGCCAGGCTCCAGGGGCCCCCTTGCCTGCCAGGACCTGGCCTGCCATCCTCGGCAGGGGCTCTGGGCCTCCCAGAGAGGCCCCGAGCCTGCAAGATGACAAGCGGCAGCCCCGTTCAGGGACTGGAGGGGCTCGGGCTCGGAGGGAAGCCCCAGGGCCACGCACCAACGACCTGCAGCACCAGCTGGGCCTTGTCCTCCATGTCCTCCACGCGCAGCGTCACCTGGTAGGTGCCCGAGTGGGCGCGGCACGCGGCCCGGATGAACAGGATGGTGTCGGTGGGGCTGTTGCGGATGCTGACCTCCTCACCCGCCAGCGGCCGCCCCTCCTTGGTCCAGGTCACCTGAGGCCGGGGCTTGCCCTGCGGGGGAGCACAGCTCAGCTGCAAGCCTGGCCCGCCCTCCCGGCCCCTGCCCCCGCCTTGCTGAGAACCCGCGAGTGTGCCGGGACGGGAGCCAGCCCTACCTGGAAAGGAATGAGGAGGTTCACGGGCTCCCCGACCTTCTTCTGGATGGTCTGGCGAAGGTGTCTGGGCAGCTGCAGCCGAGGCCGCTCTGTGGGCACAGGAGAGCGGCTTGGCGGGGCCTGCAGGCCAGGAACGAGGCTGGAGAGCCGCGGTTGGGCCCCCCCTCCTCCCGCCACCCAGCCCTGGCCCCAAAGGTCACAGAGCTCCCGCCGCCACGGCCTCACACTGCGACACAGGCACGGACCAGGGGGTGAGGGGCTTATTTAAGGTCCAACAGCTAGTCAGTCACAGGCCAGGATGCTAATCTAGGCCTTCGCCTCAATGCACCCTGCTGTTTCCTCTGTCAGCTCTAAGCAGCAGATCCTCAACGATCCACTCTGCTGGTGACAGACTAACGAAAAGTGGATCCCCCCAGGGGCCAACCTGACCCCAAGTGACCTCACTGCTCTGTCCTGAGCACGTGGAGAAGGCCGACCTGATGGAGCTGCGAGACCCACGGAACAGCTGACAGTGATGGTGCAACGACCTGCGCCTTCCCTGCTCCGAACCGGGAATGACAGGGGCAGCCACGCGGGAGGCCCCGCCCCTCCCGCACGTGCAGCCCGGGGGTAGAGGGGGGTAGAGGGGCGGCCCGGCCGTCTCTGGCAGGCTCTCCCCACCACCCCCACCTCGCTGCCTGAGGGGCACTCACGCAGCAGCTCCTGCACGGTCACCGGCTCCTTGGTGGTGACAGGGGGCCCAGACCCCGCCATGTTGTGCGCCCGCACACGGAAGAGCATGCGGGCGCCCGTGGGCAGGTCCTTCACCAGCAGCGACGTGCGATCGATCAGCCCGGGCAGGGCGGACACCCACGCTGAGCCTGCAGAAGGGTGGAGGCGGCGGTGAGCAGGCAAGGCCAGCGGGGTCCGCACCCTGCCGTCCACCTCCCTGGTGCCTGATGGGCCCAGCAGGGGGACGGGGGCCAGCCTGGGGGCTGGGGGCGCCCTCACCGGAACCCTCCCGGCAGTACTCCACGCTGTAGCCGTCCAGCCCTCCAGCTCCCACGCGCTCGGGGGGCCTCCACTTGAGGGAGACAGTGGTGTCGGAGACATCCTCCACCGCCAGGTGGGTGGGCTCGCTGGGCGGGCCTGGGCAGAGGGGAGGCAGATGGAGCCTGAGCGAGGCTGCGCCAGTCGGCGAAGCTGAAGATCCAGGGAAACCCTCCCCCTTCCACTGGCCTTCAAGCACTCGAGAAATATCCCAGCTTCGTTAAAAGACATGTCTCTAGAGAGACTCAGAAACACACACACACCCAAATAGCACCAGCAATTACAGAAGAAAGATCTAAAAAGACACTCAAGACACCAACATGCTTAGAAGGAGTCACTTCTGTCAGACGGTGTAGGAGATGCTATAGATGTAATTTAAGGGAAAACTAGCCCAAAACATGGAAGTCTCCTGGCATTGTACAAGTGAGCTGAGAAAACAGTGAGTGAGTGAGTGAGGTCGCTCAGTCATGTCCCACTCTGTGACCCCGTGGACTGTAGCCCACCAGGCTCCTCTGTCCATGGGATTCTCCAGGCAAGAATACTGGAGTGGGCTGCCGTTTGTCATTCCTAAAGAGGGAGGCCTGAGCCCTTCTCCCCAGGGCATCTTCCTGCCATCTCACTAAACCGTGCCCCTCCCTGTGTCTGCCCCACTACCACCAGCCACCCCGCCCCTAGACTCAGGGTCCTGACACCAACAGAGGTCCTCAAGAGTGCCACACCCTTGGGGGCTGCTCTACCTTCTCAACCCCCATTATACAGATGTGGAAACTGAGGCTCGGGGGAGACCATGACTCCAGACATTCCTCCTGGGGACTTCTCAACCCCCCATTATACAGATGTGAAAACTGAGGCTTGGGGGAGCCCACGACTCCAGATACTCCTCCTGGGGACAAAGGCGCTGGCTCGGCAACCCCATCTCTGGTTCCTGGTCCAAGGCCCTTTCCAGAGACAGACACCCATCACACCCTCAGCACCCCACTGCCCTCACCCCTTCCCCGGTTCACAAACCCCGCTGGAGAGGGGGTTTCCCCCATGGGAACAGGGGAAAAGAACCATCTATGCCAGACGCTCCGCCTGCATGCTCTCACTGCATCTCAACAGCAGTTCTGTGAAGCAGAGACTGTCATTACCCCTTCACAGGTGTGGGAAGTGAGGCTGGAGAGGTGAGTCTCAGCTCCACCCCCTGCCAGCTGGGCTCCCCGAACAAGTCATTTACTTCTCAGAGCCTCCCTTCCTTCACCTGGCGGAAGACGGGAATGAAGGAAGGCGAGGGGTGTGGACGCAGCCCACAGGGCAGCTGTGGTTCCTGCGCCCTGGCCGGGGGGCTCACCGATGGGCATGAAGGGCTGGGAGGCGGGGCTGGGCCTGGACATGCCCACTGCGTTGACCGCGTAGACCCGCATCTCATAGATCACACCCTCGATCATGCGCTTGGCCTCGTGGCTCAGCTCCCGGAGCAGGTCGAAGTTCAGCCGCATCCACCGGTAGCTCTTCTTCTTCTTGCGCTCCAGGATGTAGCCTGGAGAGGGGAGGCAGGTGCGCTGGTCCGGCCTGCAGCTCAGCCCCCAGCCCCACGCGCCCTGCCCGGGGCTCGGGCCCGTGCCCTCAGCTCACCCAGGACTGGCTGCCCGCCGTCGTAGGCTGGGGGCTCCCAGCACACCGTGCACGAGTCCTCGCCCACCTTGCTGATCCCAGGGGCCGCGGGAGCATCCGGCACATCTGGGGGAGTGGACCCTCCTGCGCCCTGCCCAGCCAGGGCAACGGCGCCCATCCCCTCACCACCCTAACCAACAGGCTCCCCCATGCCCCTGGCGCCCAGTGCCATCTTTCCAGAATGCGGTTCTCATCGGGTCACCAGCCTGCACTCAACCGGCCACGGCCCCCCACTGCCTGTGTGCCCCCAGTCCAAGTCCCAACCCGCTCTATGGATCTGAGAGGGGCCCGCGACGTCCGTCGAGAGGCTAAGCGACTGAACGAATGGGTCCCCCCTGGTTCCCCCTGCGCTCTCCCCTGGACCCCCGCCTCACCGATGACCTTGACCGTGAGGTTGACTTGGTCCTCCCCCACGGGGTTCTTCACCGTGACCACGTAGACACCCTCGTCCTCTTGCTCGGCCCCCTCCACGGTGAAGATGCTGCGGTCCTTGGTGGTCTCCACTCGGACCCGGCCCTCGGTCTCACACAGCAGCTGGCGGGGGAGGAGGAGTTGGGGGGGAGGGACTCAAGTCAGACCGACCCCAGGGGTTCCTGCAGCCTCTGCAGCCGCCAACAGCCCTGAGATGGGCATGGAGCTCAGCCCCAGGTCTGCTGGGGAGACGCAGCCTGAGTGGGAACTGCACTGTGCGAGTGTCTAATCCAAGACCCTTTCCCACCACCTGCCCGGAGCACGACCCTCGCTGTTTCAGGGAACTTCAGGCAATCACCTGTCCGCTCCATCCTCAGGTTCCCTATCTGATCTACATGGCCTCACACGATTACTGTGAGGATCTCAAAAGACCTCAGCTGGGCAGAGGAAGCAGCAGCACGTGGAGGAGGAAGAAAAGCCAGGAGCAGTGCCCCGGCCGCGACTCGGACTGAAAAGGGCCAGGGACCCACTCCCACGCTGGGAGGAAGCACAGTCAAGGCGGGCTCAGGAAGACAAGAGCTAGGGAGACCCCTAGTCCGGAGGACTTCCTGGGGTGTGGAGGGTGTGAGCATGTCTGTCTGGGGCCTGAGGGCCCCGTGGAGACCCTGCCTGGAGCAGGAACACAGCTGGCCAGATGGAGCACCTTCACAGAGACCTCGCCTGAGCGCAGATACCACCTGGACAGAGACTGATGGCAGGCAAATGAGCCTCCTCCAGCCTCGCTCACCTTCTTGTCAAACACCCACTCGTCACCAGCACCCGACTCCTCTGACGCATCGGGGGCTGGACCTGCTGGGACCTTCTTCCCCTGCACACAGAACAGGAAGGAAGGAGGGAGGGAGGGAGGAGGAGGAAGGTCTGGTTCGTCCTGGAGGGAAACTGTGCCAAGCACCCCCAATCGGTGTCTCTGCCCACCCTCTCAGCCAGCTGTAGGGCGTGCACAGGTGGGGTGGGGACCATGCTGGCCCCTTGCACCCATTTTACAGATGGGGACATGGGGGAGGGGTCCACAGTACCTTTGTGATGGTCTTCTGCCAAATCACAGTGGGAGCAGGGTCCCCAGAGATCGGGACGTCCAGGCGTAGCTTGTTCCCGGCCACCACCACAATGGTGTCTGGTACGCGGCCCGGGCAGTCCAGGTGGATCTTGGGAGGTTCTGGCAGGGAGACAGGACAGGTCAGAGAAAGAGGAAAAGGGCCCCAGGCCTTTGAAAGAAGAAAAAACTGGAAGAAGCACACGCCCCTGGGTGTTGGTTTATTTTCTGAATTTATTTTATCGAGGTACTGCTTAATAAGTACTGACAAACATATACACCTGTGTATCCACTGCCTGACCAACACCTAAAACACTGCCTTCTCCCCAGGAAGTTCCCAGGGAGGTTCATAACATTGGGTCACCTAGGATAGCGATTCTCAGATTGTGTTTTGGGGAACACCAGTGTCTTCCTAGAAAAAAAAAGTTTCCATGGAAAATATTTAAGAAACCCTGGGTTAAACCAAGTTAGGTAAGACTTTTCAGAGCCTTTGACATGCCAATGCACTTTCTGAATCAAGAAGCAGTAGGACAGATGGTTCAAGGTTTCTCAAACTTACTGAACCCTGTTTGGAAAGCCCTGACCTAGAGCCTACCTCAGCCTGGACGATTCTCCCGAAGTTAAAATCCTAAAATGCCTGATTACAGTTTAACCTAAAAGCAGGAGAGGTAATTCTAAAAGCAGAAAAGGTTTAATAATAAAACCCCACAACTGTGATGTCCTCTGCAAGCTCACATGTACCACCTTAGGTCGTCATTCCTATCAGCCCATCGGGGAGCCACTTCGGGGTCCCCGTCTTAGAGGTAAGGAAACTGAGGCTGAGACAGACCGCAGCTGGCTCATGGTCAGGAGTGGTAGAGCTGAGGCTGGGCCTCAGACTGAGCCAGGTCCCGACTCCCGGCTCCTCGCTTCTGTAAGTGGAGGGGAGACCCTGGCGGGGTGGGGGAGGCAGGATTCAGGGGCCCAAGACTCACCCTGCCTGGGCACGAAGTCAATCTTGACCTCTGCAAGAGATGGAAGAGCAAGTGGCACCAGGGTGCAGGCTGGGCCCAGAGGCAGGGGCCCCTCTGCCCCTCAGCACCCGCTCACCCATGAAGTGGAGCTTGGCAGACAGGTTACAGGCGAAGCCTTCCGGCACAAAGCTGTAGTCCGCCTCGTCTGCAGGCGTGACGTCATCAATGGTCAGCTTGTGGACCCTACAGGGCAGTGGTGGCTTAAGGGACCCTGCTAGGCCACGCACCCCATGCCTCACCAGACACCCCAGCCAGGGCTCCAGGGAGCCCCCACCCTGCCCTGGCTCAATGGTGTGCAGAAGTGTTTTCTTGGACTTCCCTGGTGGTCCAGTGGTTAGGAATTCACCTGCCAATGCAGGGGACACAGGTTCAATCCCTTGTCCGGGTAGATCTCACATGCTGAGGAGCAACTAAAGGGATTGCACCTAGAGCTGGTCCTCCTCAAAACGAAAATCCACCGCAGTGAGAAGCCCGAGCACTGCAACTCAAGGGAAGCCCCCGCTCGCCCCAGCTTGAGAAAGCCGGTGCACAGCAGTGAGGACCCAGCACAGCCAAAGAAATGGTTTTTTAAGTCCTGTCTTTCTCTGCTTTTGAATTTTTCCACTCCCTTGCCTGCTTTCAGAGGTAGGCAGTGTAGACATGTCCCCTTGGCTGGGCCCTTGGAGACTGGGCAGGGACCTGTCACATTAATCTCTGTGACCTTGGGCCCAGCATGGGCTGGCCCAGATACTCAGGGAATGAGTAAGAGAGTGGGAGACAGTGAGGGCCCCTGGCCAGAGCCGTGCCCCGCGGCGCCCTGCCCTGCCCTGGTCATGAGCTGGGGTCGCAGCCTGCCGGTCTCACTGCTTCGTCTTTGTCTCTGACTTCCTCCTGTCTCTAGTGGACCCTCCTTTTCTGCATGCATCTGCCTCTCCACACTGCTGTGTATCCCGTTTCCCGTCTGTCTCTGTCCTGACTGTGTGCCTGTCCCTTTCTGCTCCCCTCTCTCTCCTCTCCGTACTTGTCTCTAGCTCACTCTCAGTGCTAAGTATCTCTCTGCTCGTCTCTTTTTCTGTTTCCGTCTGTTTTTCTATGCGTCCGTCCCTCCCTCTGTCTGTGTCTCTGTCTCAGCCTCTGGTTCTTGCTGTGTCTCTGAGAGCCTGTCCCCGGCACACCCTGCACACTCACCGCCCGATGTGCGACACCTTTATGCGGTTGTCAGGCACCAGCTCCTTTCCGTTCTTCAGCCACACGCCCCGCACGTTCTCATCCGACACCTCACACTTGAACACAGCCTGGTCCTTCGAACCCACCGTCAAGTCCGCGATGCTCTGGTACACCTCCAGCTTCTTCTCTGGGGGGCAGGGCAGAGCCAGTGAGCTGGGCAGGGTGTGTGTGGGTGGGAATCCCTGCGGAGATCTCGTGGGCTTGTGAAAACACATGAGTGCGTGCGTGAGTGCAATGCCTGTGATGGCGCTGTGTACACAAGGAACGTGAGTGCGCCCGGGTGGGTGACGCTAACCAGGCCCATGTGAACCTCCCAAGGCTCTCCCGATGGTCACCCCAGCATCCCCATTTTACGGATGAGAAAGGGGAGGTTTGAGGTATTAAAGTGACATGTCCAGGACCATGCTGGCCTCGATGCTGGCTTTGCTCAATTCCTGTCCATGGCTGGTGGGCTCGGGGGCCCCCCGGGCCTCACCCTGCACGATGAGCTCAGCCAGAGCCTGGCCCCCGCTGGTGCGCAGCGCGTAGTGCCCGGCGTCCTCCAGTGTCGCCTCATTGATGATCAGGTGGTGTTTCTGGCCATCCTTCTTGAACCGGTACTTAAAGGTCTCCTCCCGGGTCAGCTCCACGCCGTCCTTCAGCCTGGCCAGAGGGTGGGCAGCAGGTGCCAGGGCCCCCTCTGGGGACACCCCAGGCCCCCCGCCCTGCCCACGACCCCCTGCCGCTGCACTCACCATTTGACCTGTGCCCCCTCCTCAGACACTTCACACTCAAACTCCACGCGCTGTCCCACCATCACCAGCTGGTCCTCCAACGGCCGCGTGATCAGCACGGGGGGCTCTGTCAAGCAGAGGGAACGAGATGGGCGGGCCGCTCTGTGGGGCCCCCGTCAGGGTCTCAGGGTCCCGGGCCCACCTTTGACGAAGAGCTCGGTGCTGCACTTCTCGCCGCCCACCACGCATTGGTAGGCCGCGTCGTCTGCCAGCGAGCACTGGCTGATGGTCAGCGTGCGCTTCGCGCCGATGGACTCAAAGATGTACCTGGGTAGGGCCGGGGTGGGGGCAAGAGACCCATGGACGCCCCGCCTGGGCCCTGGGTGCCCCTCAAACCCCCGTCGGGACCCCTGTGCCCCCACCCCAAGACTTCCAGGAACCTTACTTGCTGTGGAGCAGAAGAAGCCAGTGGAGCACTCCCGATGGGAGGAGCGAGATCGAGGGAAAATGAGCAGAGAAAGAGCCGGGCAGAAAGAGAGACAAGGAGTCAGAACCCAGAGAAATGGGGGGAGAGAGACAGAGAGAGAGGGAGAGAGAGCTGGCCCGAGGGCAGGGGCGGAGAGAGAGCGGGGACAGCGGGGTTGGGGAGCAGCCCTCGCCCGCCCCAGCACCCCCAGGCCCCGCTCCCGCCCTCACCTGCCGCTCATCTGAATCTCCTGTCCGTTCTTAAGCCACTTCACCTCGGCATCAGGGTCGGCCAGCTCCACCATCAGCCTGATCTTGTGGCCCTTGCTCACCTGGTAGGCCGGCTGCAGCTTCTTCTGAAAGGCTGAGCACCCCCACCCTCAGCCCCCTGCTCCCCAGGCTGGCCCAGGCCCAGTGGACGAGGTCCTGCCTCCCCACATCTCTCTGTGCCTCTGCTGTGGCTCTGTCTCTTTATCTGTCTGTCAGCTGCTTGTCTCTCTGTCTCCCTTCCTTGGGGTCCACTGAGCAGGTCCACCTGCTCAGCTCAGGGCTAGGGTTCAGGGCTTCCAGAAAGGCAGGAGCTTGGCAGGAGAATGGGTGATGGGACAAATGGGCCTTCTCTTCCTCTCCAGTCTGTTTTTGCAGCAACCCCCAGGTTCATGCCCTCCTTCTAGGCACCTCTGCTGTCTCAACTTGGTTTCCAGGGCCTCCATGTCAAGCCCGTGATGGGGAAGGGCTGGCCTGAGCCCTTGCCTCTGACCCACCTCGGGTGGGGGCCGGGCGCGCTCACCTGCACCCACCTGTTCTGTTTGCCTATGAGGGGGCTTAACCAGGGTTTTCTCTTCCCGGGTTGGGGGCCGGGGTGTCCTCTGGGCTAAACTGGTTTCTTCCCCTTCTGGGGGGCATGGGGAGAATCAAGCAGTCTACTTTTTTCGCCAAGGGCGGGTGGGGGAGGAAGGGGTCTCCTGGCTTTGGCTGTGGAGAGGAGGGCTGGCCTGGGCTCTGTCCTCTTCCTGTGGTGTCTCTGGGCTAACTTTGCCCTTTTCTTTTTCTGTACGACCATATGCCAACCCGGGCACATTGCTTTTTCCCCCCACAGAAGAGGACGTTCACCCAAAAGGTCCCTTCCCGGGTGCCCCTGGGTCAAGCTGGACGCCGCTCTTTCCTGTGAGCGAGTCTGCGCGCCCTCGTGCGTGCACGTCCCTGCGTCCGCGCACCGCCCTGCGTGCACGTGCCTGCGTCTACGCCCCGCCGTGCGTGCACGTGTGCGCAGGTGCTCATCCAGCCCTAGGTCTGCTCGGGCTCACCTGTGCTTTTCTTTTCGTCCCGCTTTATGCCCTTGAGCCTCTTGAGCATGCCCCGCAGGTCGGTGACTCCGTGCTGGAAGGCGATGCGCTCGTACTCTGACGGGGGCGCCTGCCGCAGGATCTCCCACACGTCCTCCTCGGCGGGGGCCTCCAGCCTGCGTCCACGTGGCGAGCCCTCAGGGCCCCGGTGGCCAGGACAGAGTTGCCGTCCCCTCCCCTCCCCAAGCGGGAGCTGCCCCTGCCCCTCTGACCCTTCCCTTCTGGTGGGGCAGCTTGAAATGGAGTGGATCCCGGGCCAGTTCCGGGGAACATGAGGCCTTAGGTGCTCAGTGTGGGGGACTGGGAGGGGCTCCTGGCTGAAGTAGGGGTGATAAGGGGGGGCGGGGGGGGTGCTTCCTGGGACACTCACCTCGGGGTCCGTAAACTGCTGCTCCAGGTAGGGCAGAAAGGCAGTGTACACATTAGAGGCAGAACAGAGAAGAACAAAGGTGCCTCAATATTGAGTCCATGCCTTTAGCACTAACCCTTGTGCTCTGTTGCCTGTTCTTAGTCAAGCTGGCTCTGCACCCTTGTAAAAGCATGTTGTCTATACCCTGAACATAAAGTATATGATAGTCCATTCTCAAGGCTGTGTCTCCCTGGCTGGACCGTTAAAGGTTTAGAACTCTCTTCATTTGTATAGAGATAAAAAGTTACAAAAGATAAGGATTGTCTTGTGAGATGTTTACAAGAACATTCTGACCAAATCTACCTGGAGGGCTGCAAGAACAAGGCATTGCACTAAGAAGTCTGCAATAACCAGCCACACGCCCTCCCGCTTTCAGTAGAAGAGACCAGAATTCTATCTGGGGTAAGGTGGTTCTTCGGGACATTAGTCCACCATCTTCTTGGTTTGCTGGTTTGCTGAATAAAGTCGCTATGCTTTGCCCCAACAAGTTGTCCCTCGATTTACTGGCCTGTCATGCAGCACGCAGTACAAGTGTGGAGTCAGTAACAAAGGCATGGGTCATCCCTCCATGAAGAACAGCGCGTGGGGCCTCACCTCCACTTTCCTCCCTGCACTCACACCGTTCCTTTTACGGGCCCCCGTGGCCTTGTTTATTCCTCCTCAGCTCTGATGGGTGAGTGTCAGGAGAGCCGGAGGCTCAGAGACTCTCCCCAGTCAGTGGAGATCCTTGCCCAGATCCTCACCCAGGTCAGTCTGATCTCCAGCCTTCTCATCTGTCATCTGCCCTGGTGGGGATGGCCCTGCTGCCCCCAAAACACTTGACCCCAGTGCTCATTCTCTGGGCTGAAGCAGCACTGGCCGTAATGCAGGGTCCAAGGCACACAGGACCAGACAGGGACAGGACACAGAGGACACAAGTCAATTGTGCTGGGCGGGGCTAGGTGGGCAATTCCTGAGGCTTTGGAGCCTTCTCCCACTTCTGGGTCTCCAGAGCCTACTGAGAAGAGCTATCACAGACTCAAGTGTAGGCTGGTCATGGGAACAGTGTGGGGATGTTAGTTCATGGGGTGTAACCTCTGCTGAGCCCTCTGACACTTCCCTGCACCTGGACTGTCCCATCTGATGGACAAGGAAACCAGCTCAGAGAGGTGCACGACCTGCTTGGGATCATGCAGCTGGAAAACCACAGGACCGGAGTTTGGGAGCCACATGTTCTGGGAGCTGCTACCCTGGGGCTTACCTCTTCCTCAGCAGCGAGCTGAAGTCCAGAGTCCCAGCATCCTCGTGGCTGTCGCTACAGAGAGGAACCCCCAGTAAAGCCACAACAGAGCCAACTCTTAATAGGAGGTGTTTGGGAGCAGGGGCTGGGGTGGGGGTGGGGGCGCAGTGAGAGAAAGGGACACTGACTGCACGGGTGTGCCCTGCCCATCTCAGACCCCCAGTGTCACCATACAGGTGGATAGGAAGGGGTACCTGATGCGCCGACTACCTCCAGCCAGGCTCCTGCGGGGATAAGACTCAAGTTTTTCAGCTGCCCGGGGAGCTTACTCTCTTCCACACCCATCCATTTCAGTCTGGCCATTCACATTACCCCAAGCCCTGGTCCCTATGTTATGCCCCTGCTCTGACCCCCGTATCAACCCCAGTCTTGGTGCCCCCGACATCCCACCCCAGCCCTGGCCCTTCACATAATCCTGGCCCTGACCCCAAGGGGCCACAGACCCCAGCACTGGCCTCCCCCACGGGCCCCGAGGAGAGAGGGCCACTCACGTGCGGCGGAAAGTTGATCGGAGGTCCACATCTCCGGAGCCAATGGCCTCTGGTTTCAAAGAGGGGGGATGAGAGTCAGGGGGGAAGGTTTTAGAGGGGGCCTGCCCTGGGATCTCCTGGTGTCACAGGCCTGCCCATCTGTGACCCCTTGACAGTGGGCATCTGTCCCAGGAACCTGCCTTCTGAGCCTTGCCCAGCCCGTGTCAAGGAACCAGGGATGTGGCGCAGTTTATGTTCCCCAATACCTTCCACATTCATCTCCCTCTCATCTCTCAACTCACCCTTCCCCTCTTCACTAGTGCCTAATCATCAGACATCAAGATGATAAAGACCCCAGATGAGATCTGAGCTCAAGCCCCACTCCAACTCTAGAAGCTCTGACGTATTTCTTGCATGCTCTGTGTGAATAGCGCTGGGCGTGTGATCAGCGGGCGTATGGTCAGGCCTCAGCATCCCCCTTAGTACTGGGAAGTGGAGGCGGGTGTGGGGACTGGACCCATGGGGAGCCTGAACCCCACAGACACCAGAGGGCCCCTCACCGTGGACAGTGAGGTTGAAGTTGCAGCTGTCAAATTTGTCCTTGGTGGACACCTCACAGCGGTAACCACCGGCAAAGGTGGCCTGGGCATCCGTGATGTGCAGCTCAAATAGGTAGACCTGTGGAGGCGAGGTGTCAGGGGAGGTTGGAGGCCAGGACATGCGGCCCTGCACCCGAAAGGAGATGGGGTGACTGAGGACCACCGACCTTTTCACCCCTCGGGGCTTAAGTGAATCCATTCAGTTTTGGATATCTAAAAACGGGGCCCCTTCTCAAGACGCATTGCCATCTGCTGGCACAGGGTGGTGATGAAATAGAAATCAAGGGTGGCTACAAGGCAAGTGGCATTCGCTTAGGATAAGTCATTTGGGGGGAATTTCCTGGCAGTCCAATGGTTAGGACTCCATGCCTTCACTGCAATGGGCCCAGGTTGGATCCCCAATTAGGAATTCCGTGAGCCACGCAGTTCAGCCCCCGCCCCAAAAAAGGCATTTTTGTTCAGGGCACTGCCCACACAACTGAACATGTCCACCCTACCCTTCCAGAAGCCCCCTTGCCTGGGCCAGGACTGTGGAAGAATGGGAGTTGCAAAGGCTGGGAGTCAAAGCATAGCTTCTAGGCCTGGCTCTGAGTGACCTGGCACCGCCAACAGCAACCTCTCAAGCTTTGGTTTCCTCGTATGTGTAGAGAATTGTGGGTGCTCATCGAGGGCCCCGTGAGCTCTGATAGCCTTCCATCTGGGGCCTTTGCACCCTCACTGACTGGTGCCCCCCAGGCGTTATTATGCCCCCTTGAGACTATCATAACTTCCCTGGTGGCTCAGTGGTAAAGAATCCACCTGCCAACGCAGGAGATGTGGGTTTGATCCCTGGGTCGAGAAGATCCCCTGGAAGAGGAAATGGCAACCCACCCCAGTATTCTTGCCTGGGAAATCCCATGCACAGAGGAGTCTGGCGGGTTACAGTCCGTGGGGCCACAAAGGTCGGACACGACCGAGCACACACGTGAGACTGTCACGGCTCTGAGCCCCCATGTTCTTCTGTGCCCCCCAATAACCCTCCTCCAAGCCTCCCCAAGCTCGCTGAGTGCCACTGGCCCCCCAGCCAGCTTTGCAGGCTTTCCACGCCCCTTCTCTGCACCTCCTCTGTGGCTTGGGTCTCACAGTGCCCCCCTGCCTCTCTGCCCCCAGGCCTTCCGGGGGCTCCCCGCGGCCCCTCGCTGTGAGCCCCCCGTGACCCTGTGCCCGCGGGCCCCACCTTGCTGGTCCGATCGTAGCTGTCATGCAGCTGCAGGTGCTGCCCCACCTTGCTGCTCAGGTCCACCCACTTGCCCTTGAACCACTTGACCACGGGCGGTTTCAAGAGGCTTGCTCCGGCCACGCGGGCTGAGAAGGTGATGCTGCCACCTGCAGGAGAGGGGTGATCGTCTGGGCTTGGGGGGTGCCCTGTGCCTCCCTCCCCCACCTCACCCCGGGGGCAGCAGACCCACACTCACCCACGGTCACCTCGCCGTCCTGTGGCCTCATCACAAAGAGGCCGATGGGGTCATCAGGGGCACCAGGGCCCTCGGGGGCCGCTGAGCTGGACCCTGTGGGCAGAGGAGTTTGAGACCTGCCCTGGGACACTGCCAGCCACCAACCTGGCCTCCCTGCCCCGCTCCTCTCACCTTGGGGACTCGGGGAGCCTCCTTCCACCTCAGGGGCGGAGGTCGGGGCCTCTCCAGGGGCTCCAGGGGCCTCGGCGGGGGCGGGAGCAGGCACTGCCACAGGCTCCGCTTTCCCTGGAGGGGATCAAGTCCAGGGCTGTGGAGCAGCTTCTAACCAGAGCCCCCTCCCCACACACACACCCGTTCTCTTGTCCCTGGTCCTTCCCATCTTTGCAGGAAGTCAATTCAGCCTGCGTTTCACCTTCTCCCTGCCCTCATCAGCTGTCTGTCCCCTCATCTCAGAGGGTCAGCCTGAACATCCCTCCTCTTTTCCTCCAGGCTTGGATCTTGGTCCAGCCCGTCCTGTTGGGCTGGGGCTCGGCACACGCCCACAGGTTCGCGGGGCTTCCCTGCCAGCACACCCAGCCCACCAAGTTCCCATCCATGCGGGGGTGTCCAGCGGGAGGTCAGTGTTACATCTGACTCATCTCTGAACTTCCCCCACCTCCGGAACGGCCCAGATGGGCCGGGGAGCCTCGTGGGGACACTCAGAAAGGTCTCGCTACAGAAAACAGGAAAAGGCCACGGCGGGCTGAGGGCACACCCAGATCCAAGGCAAGAAACCGGGAGGACATCTCCTGTGCCGTGATTGACAGAGAGCTGGAGGGGCTGCTCCAACTTCAGGGAAGGCTGCCCAGGCGCTCACCTGCATCTATGACCTTGAGGTCAAACTTGACCTTGGAGGAGCCAGCGATGACCGCATAGGAGCCCTGGTCGGCGGGACCCACGTCCCGCACCGTCAGCGTGTGCCGCGTGCCCTCGGCTGCCAGGCCGTATTTGTCGCTGGCGCTGATGTCACTGCCCGCCCGCTGCCAGCGCACCTTCAGGCCTGCCCGCTCTGTCTCGGCCTCGAACACGGCAGGGCTGCCGGCGGCCACCTCTGCGGACCGTGGCTTCTTGCTGAAGGCGGAGACTGAGGGGCCAGTAGAGTTTGCAGGGGTCCCCTGGCTTGCCCCTGCACGCCACTCCTACATCCCCTCTTGTTAAATAAGGTGATGAGTGCTTTCATGGGTCACCTTGTTTAGTGCTCCAACTGCTCTGTGAGGTGGGTGCAGTTATTACGCCCAGAGGAGGGCTCCGAGGCTCAGAGAGGTTAAGTGACTTGCCCAAGATCACACAGCCAGGAAGTGGGAGAGCCAGGCCTGTGGTCCACCCACCACACAGGAATCTTGCTGGGTGCGTCCCTGAATAGCCCACCCTCTCTGCCTGTGGAAGCCCAGCCCCCACCAACGGGGGCCCTTGGCAAGGGGCCAGTACTCTGCCTACTTGGACGCAGCTAAAATTGTCCTCTAAGGGCCTGGGGCTGGGAATCAGCAAGTGAGATAAAGTTGGCCTGGGAGGGGGCTGGGGCTGGAGGGCTGATCCCCGACCTGGACAACCTTGGTAAGGCCAGGGTGGGGACTCCGGGCTGTGACTTTCTCCGCCCTTGGCGGTGGCTCAGGGACCTCTTGACCACCCTCTCCCAGAGCAGAGGGCCTGCATCACCTCAGTGTGGGGGCCGTGCCTGGTGTGGGGGCCACAGCGGCACAGGCTGCTAAAGCAGAGACTCTCAGAACTGGAATCGACCCACCGAAGTCCTCTTTGAACAGTTGGGGAAACCGAGACCCAGAGAGGGGAGGGGCCCATCCAAGATGTTCAGGGAGACTGCTGGCTCGAGTCTGGAGCCATCCTGGGGGGCCTCCTGCAGCAGCCTTTCCCCAAAAGGCAAGCCGGGACCTAACCTTACTGCAGAAGATGGGGATGGAGGCAGGGAAGGGGCCCCCCGGCATCCTGACAGTGGGGCAACAGCCCTGGGGCCTTCCTGCCTTGGCTGTCTCCCCCTCTGGGCCCCTGACCCTGGTTTACCCTCACTCTCATCAAAACAATAAGAAGGAGAAAGTGAGAATCGAAAAAGAAGCCAGGAGGACAGAGCCCCTGTCCTGGGAACCCCTCAGAAGCTCATTCCCGGGCCCACCCCCAGCCGCGGGTGCCCCCAGCCCTCCCTGCCCCACGCTCGGCCCCAGCCCAGGCCTGGAGCTACCTGGCTTCTTCCCTGCCTCGGGCATCTCGAGAGAGGTCACAGCAGGAACCGAGCAGGCACGGCCACCCGAAGAGACTCTGAGCAGGGATCCGGTCCCCGACTATATAAGGGGCCGCCCCCTCTCCCGGCCCTCCTTATCTGCACCCTGCCTGGCCACCTGCTAAATATAGACAAATTCCCGAGATCAAGGGCTCTCCAGGAGAATGTGTGGCCCTGGCTTTCTCCTCTGGCTCCAGCGCCTCCCCCACCAACCCAACAGGACAGATTCTGCCCCCCAACCCTCGGTGAACACAGGGGCACCCCAAGCCCCGTCCGTGTGTCCTTGTGACAGGCAAATTGTGCAGTGAGAGTGTGCGGGGCCCAGAACCCTGACGCTGTCGGGTCAGATGCATCCGTGTCGGGCGATGGTTACGTGCACAGACCCTGAGTCCCGGCTTCCCTCCTCTGTGTCCTTCTGCCCGCCCCCCCCAACTGCCTCCACACCCCCGCCCCCCCAAAGTCACAGAGAACATCAGCGCTACACAGAGAGAAGCAAATCACATGTGACCTACTGTGAGCAAGACCCACTATCAGGGAAGGTCGTTTGTACCCCGCCCCACCATCGTCAGGAGAGAGGAATTCTATACAAAAGCATTGTCCGTGTGGTCAAAACTTGCCATCCCTTTCAACATAAATCCATTCTCTTCTGCCATTTTAACCATGTTTAAACAGCATCTCATGTCCCTGGGCCGTCTTTCAAAAGGAATTGGGGCTTTGGGACATCCCTGGTGGTCCTAGTTAGGACTCTGCTTCCACCGCTGGGGTCCAGGTTCAGTCCCTGGTGGGGGAACCAAGATCCCATATGTCATATGGCACAGCCAAATATTTTTTTAAAAAATTAATTAATCCATAAAAATTCAAAGAGACTGGGCTGCACTCTCCCTCTCTCGGAGCTCAGAGATCCATGGAAGGGGATTATGGTTGGGTTTCCCCAGTCTGAGGGCTCAGGTCACTGTGCAGGGTGTCTGCCCCAACACAAAAGGCACCAGAATCTGGATTCTCTGAGGTCTGCAGGTTGCTCAGGAGAGTTCCCTCACTCCCAGGCTCTCGGTTGCCTCTTCTTGCTACTGTTGGAAGCAAAGCCCGTACAGGTTTCATGGCTCATCTTTTTCTCTCTCCCCTGCTGTGAGCCAGAGGCCAGAGCGACCAGACGCCAGGGTACATGGGAGGAGTTCACTTGTGTCAGGGTCCTGCCAGCAGGGATCCCGTGAGCTGCTCTGCTGCTGACAGGAGCTCTGGGGCTTCATCCTTGCTCCTGATCAAGCTGCACTTTACCCCTTTCCAGACACATGAAGCTTCCTGCCTCACGTGGCCATGGCAGCCCTTCACTCCACGTGTGACCTTGAACAAATTAGTTGACCTCTATAAGCCTCAGTTTCCCAGTTTATAAAATGGGGCATTAGGTTCCACTTCTCAAGGTTAACACGCAGTAAATGGCTAGAATATCCAGTGTTATTGCCCTTATTATCATCATCATCATTTGGCTCCTAACAGAAAGATTCAATGAGTTTAAGCCTCATTGAAACATTAAAAAAAAAAAAAACAACCATTTATCAGGTACAGGGAGCTTTTTAATGATTTATTCCTCTAAGAACAACTGAGAATTCGTTCCCTCCGTGGATCACAACAGCAAGTCAGGCAATATCAATTGTCTGCACAAACCGGACAACTAGAGAAAGTGTCAACCATCCCGAGGTCTGCAGGTGCAGCATTGGCGAGGATCCTTAGTAAACGCTCAATGGACAATTGAGAAGGCAGATGAGATGTCGGGGTTGGGGTGCGTCAGACAAGGTGCACAAAAGATTTTAAAAACAGCATTTCCGGGCTGAAGAAAACTGAGAATAACTTTAGGTAAATGGGTTTATTGAGAATGCTGATGGGGGTAGAGGTGTGGGGAGAGAGGGCCACTGAAAAAAAAGGGGGTTCAATATACACAAATAATGACGGCTTCCAACTCCCAAGGCCGTTCGCCCCGTACTAAGCAAGCTGACCCTTCGCGGGGGCCAGACGCCCAGATGGCCTTCCGGAGCCGGGCCCTGGTGGGAGGCGAAGCAAGGGGTGTGGGGCGGGCAGGGGGCTTGGAGGAGGAGGGGGTGGGCGGGGAGGCGAGGCCTGGCCCGCCACAGTCCTGCCCCTGGGAGCTTCCCTCCTGTGTCCGGCCGCCCGGGCGAAGGGGTTAATGCTATGGCCAACGGGGCGGCCTGGCGGCCCGGTGCGCTCAGGCCTGGGCTCAGTGGGGCGGGTGGCGCCGCTCGGCCAGGCCCCCGCGGCCCAGCACCTCCCCGCTGAACTGGTAGGTGAGCTTCTTCTTGACCTTCTTGACCTCGCCCGTCTTGCCGTAGTTGCGCAGCGCCCGGGCCATCTTCTGGTAGGTCATCTTCTTGCGGTTGCCCTTCTGGATGCCCCAGCGGTGCGCCAGCGCCTCCTTGTGCTTGGACGAGAACTGGAACGTGCCCTTGTCCTTGTCCACCCACCAGATGCTGTCCTTCATGTCGCCGCTGCGCAGCAGGTCTAGCAGGAACTGGTACAGGCGGATCTTCTTCTTGCTGCCTGCGGCCGGCCGGAGACGGTCAGCGCCCTCGGCGGCGGGGACCCAGCCCGCCTCCCGGAGACGTGGGACCGCCCCCTCCTTCCCCGGGTCGGGTGGGCGCAGGGGCGGGGCTACGGCCAGCACGGCGCATGCGCACGCCCACAGCGCACGTGCTCAGACCCCGGGGTGGGGACGGACGCCCCCCCACCCCCACGGAACACACACGGAGACACGTGTTGGCAAACACACACCCGTACGCGAGCACTCTGCTCTGTGGCCAGGCTGCCGCGTCCGTGGGCCTTGATTGGGGTGGGGACGGGGCACAAGGATGGCCAGGGTGACGGCTGGGCCCAGGCTAGGTCAGGGGCGGGTCACCTACCTGTCTCCCCGTGCAGGAGGCCAGACCCTGGCTCCAGGCCGTCGGCCTCCCCGTCGGACACCTCCAGCGGGGGGCTCTGCCGCTCCGCCTCCTCTTCATCCGAGCTGGGCCGGGCGGGGGACAGCGAGGGGTACGGCAGGCACATCCGGGGCATATAGGAGACCTGGGAAGGAGGCAGAAGAGGGTTGGGGTCCCCGAGGGACCAATGAAGGCGGCCAGGCAGGGGAGGGTCCTGGGGCGCGGTGGCCGGGGGGGGCAGAGGGACTTGGGAGAAGGCTGGGGACACTGGAGGTCGGGCGGGTTATGGAGTCATACGGGTCAGCACACACAGGGTGCCGGGGGTGGGGACAAAGGGGCTCCTGACACCCCACCTGTCTGCCTGGTTTGCGCGGCGGGAGGTGCCACGTGGACAGGCAGCTGCCCTGGGGTGAGGGGCTGAGGAGGAGGGTCGGCCAACGGAGTCAGCGGGGAGATGGGGAGGTCAGCAGATCTCAGAACTCAGTGACTCGGATGCCAGACCCACGAGGAGCCAGGGAACGAGGTGCGGGCTGCAGCCCCGGCGTTTCAGAGGCCCCCGGGGGTCAGGAGGACCCGTGGGGGTGGGGTGGGGTGGGAATGGCCTGGGCTCCGTCCTCGGTGGGGCGGGCGCAGATAAGGGGTGCGGGGTCAGGAGGTCAGCCGGGGGGGTCAGGAGGCAGCCGTTGGGGCTCCGGCCGCCGTTGGCGCTGTGGGGCAGGAAGCCGGGTTGAGTAAGAGCCTGTGTCAGCTTCCTGCGGAGCGCCCGCCTCACCGCAGGCGCGGGCCGGGCGGGCCGCCGCGCAGGCACGCACCTGGTGGGGGCCGAGGCTGGCGTGGGGAGGAGCCATGGGGGCGTCGAGCACGTGCATCTGCTCCAGCTCCATGTGGCGATAGAGCTGCTGCAGCTGCGGGGGCTGCACGCTCTGCAGCTCCGTGAAGTGGTTCTCCGCGAAGCTCTCGAACTCGCTGTGCACGTGATGCGGGTGGAAGTCCCAGTAATGGTCTGCGGGCCAGGGCAGGAGGGGCTTACGATCGTGTGAAACATTATGGGAACAACGATAGTGTGTATCATATATAATTATGTACGATAACTATACATAATATCATATATATAACAATAATAGTATGTATAAAAATAACAGTGCCAGGCCTTGTTCCCTGTCATAATCACCGCCACCATTCTGGACTGCAGATTGGCATTAATCGCAGCACCACCCGTCCTGCTATTTTCCGACCCCCAATTGTATAGATGGGTCTTCCCCAGGTAGCTCAAATGGTAAAGAATCTGCCTGCAATGCGGGAGCCCTGGGTTCGATTCCTGGGTCGGGAAGATCTCCAGGAGGAGGACACGGCAACCCACTGCAGTATTCTTGCCTGCAAATCCCATGAACAGAGGAACCTGGCGGGCTGTGGTCCATGGGGTCGCAAAGAGTCAGACACGACTCAGGGACTTTAGAATACTCAGAATATGCTATGGATGAGGACACTCAGGCTTGGAGAGGCTACATGACCTGCCCACGGTCAAAGGCCGTGGGAGGCAAAGCCTTTGTTCTCAACAACCGGTCTAACGTGCCTCCCATGCCCATTCCAACGATGCCGGTTTTTGGGCCAGAGTCCGAATCCAGCTGTTTCCTTTCTGTGTGGCCTCAGGCACTTGCATTGACCCCTCTGTCAAACAGGGATGCTAGAAACTAGGAGGCTCCACGCAAGTTCACCTTTGTAAAACCCCCTAGCCCCAGAGCCTGCACTCGGGAGTGTGTGGAATCGCTTCTCCTGCCCTTCAGACGCAGCAGTGGTTCCTGAGCTGACTGGCTGCCCGCAGTCACAGCTCACTGCCCTGTCACACAGCCGAGGTGTGACTGCAGAGTCACAGGGCTGACATTCCTCAGCCGAGCTCCCCCTGCGGCCCCTCCAAGGCCGCGTCCTTGGGGAACTGCACCTGAGTCCCAGGGAGGTCGCCGCGGCACCCGAGGCTTTCCCGGAAAGCCCCTGGTGGGTGCTTTCAGAGTCTGCGGCAGGGTGGATTTGAGTTTGGGGAACAGCTCCGTGCCACTGGGAG